CTTGAATGTCTAGCTAATTGTATATCAAGCTTCGAATGCAACTTGTGTTCTTCCGAAGTCACAAAGTCAACAAAAAATCAATCAGACACTAAAAAAAAAAAAAAAAAAAAATTTTGTTTTTTTTTTTTTTTTTTTTTTTTTTTTTTGTTTGCAAGATGATCATCATCATATCTTTCAAGAGTACCCACTACTGCTGTTCATCGAACTTGCAAACGTATTGGCTTTAGAAATGGCCAGACACAGGAATGGAGACTCCTCAAGTACTATTCAACTACCCGCTCAAATCCTAGAACAAATCAATGACAAACAATCCAGGGGAGAGTATGACGCGAATGATACTAGATACGGTACTCCAACCACAAATGGGTCTAAAAAGAGAAAGTCAAGCAAGGTGCTATCTCGAAAGGAAAAGCGGAAACAAGAACGAGCGTTGAAGAAGCAAAAGCTGAACCCACATGTCAAGAAAGTGGCCTCTTCGACGAAAGCGGACAATTTTAAAGTAGGGAAGACCAGAGGCTCTATAGAGAGTGCATCTCAACATCCAACCAGTAAGCTGGAGGATGTAATGGAGAAGTTGAGGAAATTGAAGGAACAAAAGAGTGCTACCCCTGTGGCCAAGCTGCGAGTTTTGGGCGAGGATGATTTGGATGATGATTCCGTGTCTGGTCTTTCTAACCTGCAGGAGGACGAGCAATTTAGTGAAGACGAAGGGGACCAAGATACTGATCCACTAGAAGCATTGCGGCTCTTGAAGGAAAAGAATCGCAATAATGGTGCAAAACAAAAAAGCGAGATACGAATCGTGAAAGAGGATGACCTTGACGATGATGATGATGATGATGAAAATCTACTGATTAGCGATTCTAGCCAAGTCGAGGAAGATCCCATGGAAGCGTTACGGAGATTGAAGGAGAAAAAATCTAATGGGACACCTAAGAGCAATGGTGAAGTCAGAATAGTCAAGGAAGACGACTTGGAAGATGACTCAATTAGTGAAAGTGAACAACTGTACTCGTCCGAAGATGACTCTGAGTTTGGTGGATTCGATGATGCATCTGATGACGAGCTCGATTATAAAAAGGACAAAAAGCCGATTCTCAAAAAGAGTAAAGATCAGTATGCTAAACCCAATGATTTAGTCTCTGGCAGAGACGATGATGAGATTGAGTATTACGCGAAAAAACTCGGATTGAAGGACGGAAAGAAATCCAAATTGAGCAAAACTGACGAGAATGATATAATAGGGGGCCTTTTGGATGGACTAGACTTGGACTTTGCAGATGAACTAAGTGCTGCACACAAAGAGTCATTTTCTGACTCTGAAACTGAAAGTGCTCAGCTGAGTAATTACAAAGAAAGTACCAAGTACGTGGCACCTCCAACCTCAGCGATATCTCAACGAGATGAAGACGACTTAGACTATTATGCAAAGAAGTTGGGTATCAAGAAAACTGACAATTTGCCAGACGCTGATGACGATGATTTGGGCCACTTATTGGACGGTTTAGACTTTATCGATCAAGAGGAAGCTAACGAGAGTAGTGACATACTGGAGGGTGAGCTTGAAGATGGCCAACTGGATTACTTCTCCTCTGAAGAAGAAGAAGAAGAAGAAGAACGAATACGCGAAAATCCATATGTGGCACCGGGTGCTGATACACAAGACCAAAGCGGCACATCTTTGTCATCAGAGCAAAGGTACATACCCCCTGCATTGCGTAAAAAAATGGCAATGGAAGCGGAGAACGGCGATTCTGAGGAAGTTTTGAGTTTGCGTAAGGCTATCAAAGGTCCCATGAATAAACTTTCAGAAGCAAATATATCATCCATTGTCAATGAAGTTCAAAACCTATTCATGTCTCATCCTAGACAGGTTGTAAATGAGCAGTTGACGAACATTATTATTGATGGTGTTATTCAACAAGGAAGATTATTGGACACATTTGTCTACCTCCATGCTTGTCTCGTTGCTGCAATCTATAGACTACAAGGAGTTGAGTTTGGTGCTCATTTCATTCAGACATTGGTTGAGAAATTTGAACAATTCAACCAGAAAAACAATAAGAAAACGGAAGCATCCAATTTGATATCGTTGTTGTCGTCAGTATATTTGTTTCATTTGTTGTCATCAAAAGTGCTCTATGACCTAGTGAGAGAGCTCATTACTAATTTGAATGAAAACAATGCAGATTTGTTGTTGCGTTTGATTAGAAGTTCCGGAAACCAAATGCGTACCGATGACCCCTCATCTTTGAAAGACATCATTATCTTGTTGAATGAGAAGTATGCCAAGTTGTCGACTGATTGCAAAACCTCAAGGATTCAATTTTTGATTGATACAATTTCTGCATTGAAAAACAACAAAATGAAGGTACTAAATGAGGGGAACCATCAGTTGTCCATTAGGCTCAAAAAATTTTTGGGTAGCATAAACAACAACAAAGGTGGTGACCCAATACAAGTTTCATTGGATGACATACACAATGTCAACACCAGAGGAAAATGGTGGTTAGTGGGGTCAGCATGGAAAGGCAACGACGAGTTGTCTAAGCCTAGTGCTGATTCCAACGAGCTCGAGGTCAACGACATTCTCGACGCGGCCGAGCCTAATTGGTTAGAACTAGCAAAAGCGCAAAGAATGAATACTGACATTCGTAGAGCGGTATTCATTTCAATTATGTCGGCTACTGATTTTGTCGATGCTAGGACAAAATTGGATAAATTGGCATTAAAGAGGGCTCAGGAAAGAGAAATACCGAAAGTGTTGATACATTGCACCACTATTGAGCCTTCATGGAATCCATACTACGCAGTATTGGCAAACAACCTTTGCGACACGCATTCGTTCAGGAAAACATTTCAATTTATGTTGTGGGATTTGATAAAAGAGTTGGATGGTGGTGATTACGACGATGAAGAAGTCAATGTTTTGGGTATTAATGACGACGATGAAGAAACCAAATTGAAAAAGATTTTGAACCTTGGGAGATTCTATGGATATCTTTTGGCTGAGGATTCCTTACCGTTGCACTCGTTGAAAACGATCAATTTCTTGACGTCATCTGCAGACACTACTCTATTTATTGAAGTGTTGCTTGTCACCTTTTTAGATCATATTGGAAAAAAGGCAAGAAAGAATCAACTTGGTGCAGGGGTGGTGGTTGATAAATATAGCAGGAATGACAACTTATTTGATGACAGGGTGTTGGTCGAGCGGGTAATTAAAGCCAAAGACCAAATCACTTTGTTACGTGGATTACAATACTTTTTGCAAGAAAAGATCAAAGATAGTGATTTCGTCACTAAGGAGAAGCAAAGAATCAGAGTCGACTGGGGAGTCGATGCCATGTTTGACGTTATTGACGAATTGTTGAAAGAAGCAGAAGAATATTGAAATTGAAAAAAAAAAAAGGGGGTGGGGTTGGGGTTATCCTACGTAGATACACTCTTTTTCAATATAGCAACTGATTCAACGTGTTTTGTTTGTGGAAAGAAATCAAACCCTACGATGTCCTCCACTCTGTATTTTTGATTGTCGCCTTGTAATTTTTCGAAATTGGCCAAGTCTCGAGCTTGTGTAAACACATTACAACTAACATAAACAATCATGTCTGGTTCGAATTGTAAAAGTTGTTTCAAAAATAGCTCATCAGAACCCTTTCTAGATGGATCGACTATAACAACACTTCCTTTTCCCTCTATACCACTCTTTTCAAACTCTTCATTGCCAAATATATTCGAAGCGTCACCCAAAATGAATCTTGTCCTTTCAGGGTACAACCCATTCACCTTCATATTATGATTTGCATACTTGATACTTGATTCACTAATCTCAATACCAAATACATTCAATTTGTCATGAAAGTTTGACAATGCAATACCAAAGAATCCAACTCCGCAATATGTATCCACCACATTCTCTACTGGTGTTTTCAATTGCCTCATGTGATGACGTATGTAGTCCAATACTGACGGCAAGATTGAATTGTTGTTTTGGAAAAAACAATTTGAATCAAATTGGTAGACAAAGTCCTCGATTTTTTCCGTAATGACCTTTGATTGCCCCTCCAATGCAGTCTCGTAGAATTCTCCAGTATTGTGATCAACACGCATGCTTTGTCTCAAAGTCAACTGCTTCATTGGCGGTCCGTGTAGATACTTATCTCTGGCCTGTTTCAATTTCTCGTTTATCTCCACAGTAGCAATGGGACAATTTCCAACATCAATCTTGCCTCGATTGTTGACATGTTGAAATCCCAATTTAGTACATTTACCATCTCGAACATCAAAGTGCGGAGTTAGCTTCGTTCTATACGAATATTGAAGTGGTGAAGGGTTAACTACACCCAACTCGCGATCAAGTTTCAAATTTGGATAGAATAATTGATACGCCTTTCGAATGACATTTTGTTTAAACAACAATTGCTCGGGATACGATAACATCTGCAACTGACACCCATTGCATTCTTGGAAATGTTTGCATAGTATCATTCGCTCATTCCTCTTACTGTCTCGCAGCCCCTTGTTCAAAACCTCAATTAATTCCCCCTCAGCATAAAATTCATGATGCATCTTAAGCAAAACTGTAACCTTGTCGCCGGGTACAGTTTTCGGAATCATCAACACTGTATACTTTCCAAGTACATTTTCCGAGTCAGCATACTCGGAGGCATACATCGACTTCGGTATGATTGCCAACCCTTCACCATTGTGCGATACACCCCATATTTTAACATTCGGTATAATGTGCAGACGCCTTTGGAATGGTAAAAAGGCCTTGACGACATCATAAGGGTTATGTATATCGACGTCGGTAACGTTTGCATGAGTCTTTTGAGAATAATCTTTGAGAAACTGGCATATTTCGAGAAAGGTAACGTTACTGGGATGAGTTGGATCCGTCAAGTCCTTTCTTCGTTTGGTCTTTTTGAAATATTTCAACAACGAGGAGACCTTCTCTTGCTTTCGAGCTGTGGTTTTAATCGAGTATAATCTTTGAGTTGTCCATAGTGAAGGTTCTATTCTTCGTATCCTTGCCAACATTGGATCGTGATCGAGACTGTTTTCATTTTTATTTCAATTTTGCGATGACCCCTTCTACTTTTTTCTTTTTTTTTCTTTATCTTTTGCAACAATTAAAAAAGAACTGACTGCCAATCACATTTACTCCATTACTCATTCAAAGATTTCTACACACAACTATACGGCAAGAACTGGGTTCCCAGGTAATGGAACATCTTCATCTGGGTACTCACTCAAATCAAGCGTCACTGTCTTGGAACTATTCTCTCTTTGTTCGCGATATATACCCACGAGAGCATCAGATTTCTCATACAAGTTGTTCTTTAATGAGATAACAATAAATTGGAAATTGGGGCCAGCATGGTTCCTAATGTAATTTCCAATCTTTGCCACGTTGCTGTTGTCCAAAGCAGCATCAATTTCATCCAAAACAAAAAATGGTGCTGGTTGGAAGGAATGAATGGCGAATAATAACGCCAATGCTGCCATCGTTTTCTCTCCTCCCGATAACAACTCCATGTCCTGGAACCGTTTCATAGGAGGCATTGCATGATACTTTACTCCGGACGAATAGGGACTATCTTCATCCTCCAAGATCAAAAATGCAGATCCACCCATAGGAGATACGTTAGATTTGGTCAATTCTTTATAGGTGGCATCAATGCAGCCGGATATATGATTGAATGCCTCCATAAATTTTTCATACCTCTTTTCGCTAATTGCTTTGAACTTATCTGCGGCTTTCCTTTCATTGTGGCGGGCGACTGAATAATCTTTGTCGTAACCTCTCAACTTGTTTTCAACATCCTTGAATCTCTCCAATGCTTTGGCATTCGGGGTCAATTTTTCCAAGCTTTCAATGGTATTCTGAAGCATCACCTCAAGTTCAGCCTCCAACTTGGGGCTGAAAGTTTCCTTGTATTTGTCGTCGAGCATTTCGTAATCAATTTCGATTTTGTAGATTTCACCCAAGGCTCCATCTGAATCTTCGCCCATAGATATACCCTCAAGGTCGCCTGCCTCCAATGGCAAAATCGTGTTTTGTATTTTGCAACTCTTCAAAAGGTTGGCTCTAATGGAATCTACTTTTAATAGCCTCTCCTCCTTCTCGATAATCTCCTTTGTAAGATTTGTCGTCTCCTGTGACTTTTCAGCCAAATCGTTTTCAACTAGCTTGGATGATTTCAACTTCGATTCTAAAAGCTGCTCCACTTTCTTTTGCTCCTTGCGTAAAACCTCATTCTCTGCTAGAGCAACATCGAGCTCATCTTCCAAGCTGTTCTTCTCCTGTTGTATATTGCTCAACTCCTCCTTCAAATCAGCAATTTGAATCTTGATGGCATGTCTACGCGACTCGGTCTCCTGGCATCGACTTGTGTCAAAGTCAAATCGATTCTGCAAAACGGAGATTGATTTCAAAAATAACGATCTCTCTTTGGCTCGTGTTCTCAAGGCTGTTCCATGCAACTCCTCATATTTTTCAATACCATCATTAATTTTCCATTTTTGACAAAAATCTTCATATATTGCAGACTTTTTCTTCTTGATATTCTTTTCAATTCGAGAAATTTCCTTATCGATTCGTTCAAAGTCCAGTTTCATTTCTTGCAAAGTCTCATCAAATTTGGTACACTGTGTCTTGAGAAACTCAACTTCACTGAGTTTATCATTAATCGCCCTTTCTAAGGTGGCTTTCTGATTCTTCAACACCGGTAATTTGTCATCCAACAGACTAATCTCTTCTGCCAACAAATTGATTTCCAACTCCTTTGGTCTAGTTTCTTGTAATTTCATCACCCTTGACAACAAAACCTCTTTTCTTTCATTCATCTTTGTCCATTCCTGTTTATTCCAACTGATATTTGCAGAAGACTTGCGAAGTTGTTGACCACCAGTCATTTGTCCTGACTTGTGAATGACTGATCCTTGCAATGTCACAATTTTGTTTTCAAACTTCCTCGACGAGTTCCATCTAATAGACCTGGCTACATTTATATCATCAGCAACTAAAGCGTTTCCAACAATGTATTCAACTGCAGGTCCTAGTGACTTGTCATCGTATTCCACGATATCCATTCCTGGAACAGCGGCGTCATTTACAGACCTCAAATAGCTCAAATTTACTGGGTCAAATTCAACTGAATCCAACGGAATAAACGTAGCCACACCTGCTCTCCTTTCCTTCAAAAGGTCAATACACCTATAAGCAATTGCGGCAGTTTCCACAACTATGGCATCAGAATTATGCCCCAAGATTGTCAGCAAAGCAGATTCGTATTTCTGTTCAGTTGGACGAATCAACTCATGCACCAAGCCCTTGATAGACCCGGTTGGGAGTAATCTCTTGAGGCTGGATATATTTTCTCTCAATTTCTTTTGCTTGTTGGATTCACGTTGTTGCGACGATAAATCTTCCAACTTTAACAAAACATCTTTGAGCTCAGTATTGAGTTCAAACTCTTCCTTATTAAACGCGTCTTTTTGCTGAATAAGCTTGTCTCTAGCAGTATTCTTTTCCTCCTTTTTATTCAAGATCTGGGCAATTTCGTTTTCCAAATCGTTCAACTTTGATTTCAACTCCAAGTTGAGACTCGATTGAAGATTTCGCATTCTTGACTCGGTGTTGGACTTTTGATTGGTCAAACTCATTTCTTTGATTGCCAAGGAGTCTTTATCATTAATCAATAAGGAAATCTGTTCTTCGAGATCGGAACCGCTGGCCGCCAAATACTCTGCTCTAAGCTTCTCGTACTCTTGCTGACCCTCCTCTGGTATATTCAAGTTTGATGATGCAGCGATAGAAGATCGAACCTGTTCCTCAAAATCTTTAAACAACTTCTTGCTATCATTTAGTTGCTTTTCGAGTTTCTTTATTTGCGCCTTTTGAGAAGTAATATCAGTCTCCAAATCTGATACTTTATTTTCGTGTGACTTAATTTTAGAGGACAATGATATCTTGTTTGACTCTAGGGGAATTAATTTTCGCTTGATGGATTCAACCTTCTGATTGGATTGTTCGATTTGTCTAGTGTAACTTTTTGAATCAAGAGCTATGTTGGAACACTCTGATGTGAATGATTTATAAGTACTTTCCTTTTTTGAAAGTTCACTTTTCAATTCTTTCAATTGGTCATTCTTGGCCCTAATTTCCTCCTCTAACTGGTAATGCTTTCTTTCATTGTGGTACAATTGATACAAGTTTAATTTCTTGACAAGGTCGTTTCTCAAGATAAGACTCTTTTCGAATTGCCGTTGTTCAGAAGCTTGTTCCTTGTACTGCTTGGACTCTGAGTTCAAAGTTCTCTTTCTTGAAAACACTTCATTGGTGACTTCATGGGCCCGATCCTTTTCTTCTTTCAAACGATCGTATTCTTCGATGTATTCGTCGGATCCACTAATATGCTCAATAATGGCAGATAATTCCTTTGGGTTCTGTGCAGCAATCTGTTCAACATCACCTTGAAACACGAGAAAGTTTCTTGCCTTGACTAAAATGTTCTCTTGCTTCAACGTAGCTGCATAGTTGAGTCTAGTCACAGATTGATCATTGATTTGATACTCGGTACTTCCACTAGCTGAAATCGATCTTTTTAATCGCAAGATTTCACCATCATCTCTTTCATATATGGCCAATACATAAGCTGTTCTAGGATCTTGTTCAATGTTGGAGACGCTATCGTCTAAATCGACAGTTGCATCCTTTCTCCCACGGTATATCAAGTCTCGTAAGTGCCTTGACCTGAGCTGAGACGAGTTGAGACCCAACACAAAGGATATTGCATCCATCATGTTTGACTTTCCTGAACCATTTGGACCAATGATAGATACAAAATTGGACGAGCCAAAGCCAATTTTTGTTTTACCCCTGTATGATTTGAAATTGTTGAGCTCTAAACCTAGTAACCTACCCATGACGCAACTCCTCTGTGAATTAGCTATTGATGGTGTGCGTTGTGTTGTGTGTTGTGTGTGGTGTGTTGTGTGTGGTGTGTTGTGTGTGTTGTGTGTGTTGTGTTTACACCAGGAACGCGATTTCAGAGGAAGCCAAAAAAAAAAAAAATAATAAAAATAAAAAACAGAGAGATTTGCAAAAGACGCGTAATATCAATCAATCAAGATAAACCATTTTTTTAGACGACACTATATTTACAATTCTTTCATCCAATCTATGAACTCGTTCATTTCTCAACAGTTTCATCAGGCAGTTTGACCAGTCGACTTCAAATACTCGTTGTAAAGTCTTTCCTGTTGTTGATATTGCTTCATTAACTTCTTCTTCATACTTTTGCTAACTTCCTCTCCTTTACTATCAATTGTTGGAATTCCCATTTCGTCAAATTCCTTGAACGATGGATCCTTTTTAAACAACTCACTAGGAGGAATCTTCATTTGTGCCAACTTTTCCGCCTCCTTCTTTGCCTTCAAAGCCTCCTGTTCCTTCCTTTTGGCTTCCTTCTCTGCCAGCTGCTTAGCTTTAGCTTCCTGTTGTGCGAGTAATTGTTGCTTTTCCGACTCGTTGAGGAACTTGACCAAAGCACTTCCATCTGGTCTATCATCTAGGGAAACATTGATATTGATCAAGTCTGAGCGAATAGCATCAGAAGCAGATAAAAAATCCTTCAAATCGGCTTTCTTAATGGCCAAATTTCTCACTTGGTCTCTAAACTTTGCCAACGCTTTAACATAGGGCATTGCAACTTCCTCCTCTGTGGAGCCTGCACTACCAGCTGAAGAGGAGGATTCATCGACCCAGCCAAGTTTATCTGGCCTTGATTGGAATCCTAGAATGTTGAGGATTTTCAGAATCCATGAAGTGACCAGTAACAAAACTTCAATTCGTAGTTCGCTCTTACCTGTAGTAACCAATTGTATGTAGTTGTTGCTCTTGGAAACCAACTCTACCAAATGTTTTATGGCATCTCCACTTGATAAATTGTCGTTGAATGCAATATTCACATCGTCTTGGGCTTTGCTCAAATCGGTATACAATTGTTTTTCAATTTCTCCAATACGTTTTGACACGTATTCCCCATTTTCCACTTTATGCTTGTACTCGTGATTCAAAGCACGAACGTTTGTGAAAAACTTGCTAAATGTGGACTCAATAGACATCACCTCGCTGACTAAAGTGTCTTTAAAGTCTAATGGTTTGTTCCATGGGCACAATGCAAAAACAAATCTCAATTGCCTCGAGTTAAAATCCTTCAATGCATCATTAATAGTGATGAAGTTTTTCAACGATTTCGACATCTTTTGCCCTTGAATGTGCAAATGTCCATTATGCATGAAATAATTAACCCATTGGTTGTTGTCAAAGTATGCTTCAGATTGTGCCAACTCGTTGTCGTGATGTGGGAAACACAAGTCCACGCCACCACTATGTATGTCCATTTGTGATCCGGTGATATCAGAAGCCATCACCGAGCACTCAATGTGCCACCCGGGCCTGCCTTTACCCCATTTCGAATCCCAAGCAGGTTCACCTGGTTTTGACGCTTTCCATAATGCAAAATCGCTAGGACTGCGTTTAGCGTTGCCTAGACTCAATGAGCCTTCACCATCATTGATCAAGCTCATGTCACCTTTGTTCCAAGGTTGCAATTTGGCATAATCGTGTTTCGAGTGTTCATATTTCACTGTATCAAAATACACGGATCCGTCCTCTGTTGCATAAGCGTACCCATTGGATATTATCTTGTCTACGTATTCAATGATATCTGGGACGTATTCGGACACTCTCGTAGTCACTGAGGGAGGCAAAACGTTGAGCTTTGACATGTCTTCGTTGAACTTGTTTTCCCAGTATAATGGAAGTTTTTTGAAAATGCTAGGTTCTGTTACTGATGCACCATGCTCTTTGTCCAAGTATACAACAGCAACATCCTTAATCTCATTCAAAAATTTGTCGTAAGAGATACTCTTGTCATTTATGGCATTGAGGGCTCTCTCCACGGCCTTGACATACATTGGGAATTTTGGCTTTTCTTTCTTTATTTCCTCGATATTTGGTATGGATTGAGACCACTTGATGAAATCTGTTTCCACGTCACCTTTGAACTCCGGTAAGTTCTTTTCCGTGTAGTAGCTCAAGTAAGTTTTCGATAAATCAAGTACTTCCTTGACACCTTTATACTGACTAGCAATTTTCTCCTCAAAAAGATGCTGTTGACGAGCAGCTATGATAATTTTGTCATCTATGTCAGTTACATTTTGGATAAACAAGACATTGTATCCAAAGTAATCTTGCAAGATTCTCCTACAGATATCTGTGGACACATAATTTCTAGCATGACCCATATGAGAGTGGTCATATACCGTTGGACCACAGCTGTACCATGTAATGTGACCAGGTTTAATTGGATGGAACTCGTTCTTGGTACGCGTTAACGAGTTGTAAATTTTCAACTTTGGTTTAGATGATGAGTTATCTATCGGTTCATACCATTTGGGTTGTTGGACAGATGGCTTTTTGGTTGCTGCAGTTGATGCTGTTGTAACAGTTGATGATAATGAAGACATAATTCGAGCAATATGGTTCAATCTTCGGCTATAAATCATACAGCCAAAAAAAAAAAAACCAAAAAAAACAGGTGGTTTACGACTGGGTGTTATCGTAGTGATGTGTTTTGACTCACCAAAAGGTCCGCACGCTAAAATAACAACAAAAAAAAAAATGAGAGAAGTTTACGACACAAGTTGCAAAATGGCGATACTTGACTTTATGCGATAGTAATGAAGGGAGAGGCGACCGCACTGAGAGAGCATCAGGCGTGATTCTCTGGCTAAAGAAGACATAAGTGCCGTAACTACGTAATAGTTATTGCATGGAGAGATCTTATAGTAGAGTGGAAGTTGCAGAGTGAAAGTTTAATCAACCGCTTTCTTCACAAGTCTGCTTCAATTTCATAGATTCTCAGTTAATAAAATTGTCGCATGATGTATTCACCCCATATTGAAACTAGGCGTGTTTCGGATGTGAATACTCTAGAACGCAAATTATAGGTCATCATAGAACTAATGAGATTGAAGTAGATCCGAAGACCTAGTGTCCTGTATTGATAAACTCAATCTTTGTTCTTACACTTGAGTAAGTAACAGACTGAGTTGAGCCTTACTGGAAACGGTCTCTTTCTGTGTGGTATCAATAAGCTCGTGGAGGTAAGAGGGTACCACTTGTGCGTATTGAAACATTGTTGCCTTCCTCTGGTATGATTATGATGTTGTTTATGTTTTTTTTTGTCTTCTTTATTCGATTCTGTTATGCAATTTAGGGCTTTGACCTGAATTTATTATTTCACGTGACTTTATTCATTCTACAAAGTCGTGTGTTACAAACAACACATACAATCTTTATTTTTTTTCTTCTCTCTTTCACTCACGCTCTCACTCTCGCTCTCTGCGATTCTTCTATACACTTTGTGTGACTGTTTCTTAAAGTGCTACCAACCAACTACTAACAAAATCCTTCTCACTTCACCCATTGCCTCACTGTCTCACTGAAGAACAAAAATTTAATTTTCAAATCCTCCATACAAAGTTTTCACTGTCATCTACACAACCTTTATATCCATTTACTACAACACAACCAAAGATGTCATCAACTGTTAAAGCTGCCAACTGGAGATTTGTTGAAGTCGGACGTATCGTCTTAGTAGACAACAAGAACTTGGCCACCATTGTTGAAATTATTGATCAAAAAAGAGTATGTCGAAAATTTCACCACATCGAGTTTGTGTGGGAGCCACTTTGAAGATATTGCGAGACATCACTAGATTTGAGGTGATCGAAATGACCAACAGCTACCCTACGATGTGTATCGAATCACCAACTACTTACACATCCACTGGTTGAAGGTTACTACACCAAATCCAATGTTGTCGCCGTTTCTCTTCACTCCATTAATCCAACATTGTTTATCAACAATATACTAACATCTATCTTTTTTTTTCTTTAGGCTTTAATCGATGGTCCAAAAGTACCAAGACAAGCTATCTCCTTCGCCAAGGTCACCTTGACCCCAATCGTCTTGCCAAACTTGCCAAGAGGTGCCAGAACCGCCACTGTCCAAAAGAAATGGGCTGCTTCAGAAGTTGACAGCAAATGGGCTTCATCAGCTTGGGCTAAGAAATTGGCCACCAAGGAAAAGAGAAGTCAATTGAGCGACTTTGAAAGATTCCAAGTTTTGGTTTTGAAGAAACAAAGAAGATACGCCACCAAGAAAGCTTTGGCTAAGGCTTAAATGAAATCTTTTGAAAATCTTTGAATCAAAAAAAAATAGGGAGAGGAGTTCTGGCGAAGATATAAAGAGATCAAACACTGTGTAATAGTCAAAAAAAAAAATTTTTTTGTTCATAATACTATATTTTCATCTGGGAAATAGGACCATTTTGTTTTCCTGAAGCTCCAAGTTAAATCTTGGAGTGGAGTTGGGGAAACAAAACACCACTATCATGTCACTTACATCATCATTTCATTCTGTTGTTAAACCATTCCAATTTTATAAGTTTATAAAATATAATATTAAGTAAGAAAAAAAAAAATTACGAATCTTGTATAAATTGTCAAGAAAGCGGTTTTTGCTGTATCTCTCTCTCTATCGTTTTATCTACAAGAGTCTATATACACATATGGACAAGTGTCTTCACTTTTTGTTACCGTGAGCTTTTTCGTGATCACTGATTAATTGCTTTTGCAACTGAGGACTGGCTTGAGAATACTTGAGGAATTCCAATGAAAACTCTCCTTTACCTTGAGTACATGCTCTCAAACTTGTAGAGAATCCAAACATTGAATTCAACGAACACTCAGCAGTGACAGTAAACTCGTCCTGTCCGTTAACAGTTTCGTTAATCATACCACCCAACTTGTTGACCAACCCAACAACCGATCCCTGAAACTCATTTGGTGCCGTGATTTCAACATTCATAATTGGCTCCAAAATCACTGGAGACGCATTGAGGAAAGCTTGTCTGAAAGCACCTTGGGTAGCGGTTCTGAATGCCAATTCCGAAGAATCCACAACGTGGGTTTGACCATCATTGATAAGCATAGAAACACCCAAAACCTTGTGCCCAATCAATGGACCTTTTTCCAAACAGTCATCAAACCCTTTGTTACATGCCAACAAGAATTTTTCAGGAATTTTACCACCAACTATTTGAGTCTCGAATTTGTTTTCACCTTCAATCGGATTCATCTCACCAACAACTCTACCATATTGACCAGCACCACCGGATTGTTTCTTGTGGGTGAAATCAAAACTTGCAGGCGCCGTAATAGCTTCTCTATAAGCAACTTGAGGTTTTCCAGTAACACAATCAACACCATATTCTCTCTTAATTCTCTCAACATAAATTTCCAAATGCAACTCACCCATTCCGGAGATAATAGTTTCTTTCGACTCGGAGTCGTAATGCACTTTAAAAGTGGGGTCTTCTTTTTGGAACCTATTCATGGCTTTGGAGAATGCACCATTGTCTTTGGACTTGGGTGCAATACTCAATGAAATAACCGCTTCCGGGACAAACATTGAACTCATGGCAATCTGTTGTGATGAGCCTTGGCCAATAAAAGTGTCCCCTGAAGCACAATCGATACCAAATGTAGCACAAATCTCACCACTTCCAACTTCAGCTACATCCTCCATATCATTCGAATGCATTCTCACCAATCTTGAAACTTTAACCTTTTTGCCGGTTTTGATGTGGGTCATGTATGCTCCCTTTTTCAATTTACCTTGATATACTCTGATGTATGTCAATTGACCATATGGGCCCTCTTCCAATTTGAACGCCAATCCTACAAATGGAGCAGCACTGGATGGGATCAAATTGATTGGTGTCTCACTTCCGTCCTTGTGGATCTCCAAACCAGTGTTTAAAATCTCGTTAGGTTGTGGCAAGTAATCAACAACTGAGTCCAACACTGGCTGAATACCTCTGTTGGCCAAAGCCGACCCCATAAGCACAGGAGTAAACTTCCTTCCAATGGTTGCACGCCTAATTGCAGCCTTGATTTGCTCCACTGTGGGTTCTTCACCTTCCAAGTAAATGTCAGCCATTTCTTCATCAACATCAGCCAAAGTTTCAATCAACAATGCTCTTTTCTCCTCAACCAAATCTTTCAACTCTGCAGGTACCTCGGCAGCTCTAATGGTCTCCCCTTGTGCACCTTCATTGTACAAAGCAACGCGATCAATAATATTGACAACACCTTTCAATTCATCTTCAGCACCAATGGGGACTTGGATAGCTGCGGCCGGCATCTTCAACTTTAAATTAATTTGCTCAATGGCCCTCCATGGGTTAGCACCCATACGGTCCATCTTGTTGATGAATGTAACTCTTGGAACATTGTAACGACGCATTTGTCTGTCGACTGTCACGGTTTGAGATTGAACTCCAGCAACTGCACAAACCACCAAAACAGCACCATCCAAAACACGCAATGCTCTTTCAACTTCAATTGTAAAATCAATATGGCCTGGAGTGTCAATCAAATTGAAATGGTATGCCTTGTCGTCTTTATCCCATGAACAGTACGTGGCTGCGGATTGAATAGTGATACCCTTCTCCCTTTCCAAATCCATATGGTCCATTTTGGCACCAACCGAATCACGTCCTCTGACCTCGTGGATGGCTTTGATTCTACCAGTGTAGAATAAAACACGTTCAGTAAAAGTGGTTTTACCTGAATCTATATGTGCCGAGATACCGATATTTCTGATCCTTTTGGATGCATTGATATCTTCTTCAGGAAGGTTCTTCATGATCTCATCAATGACAACTTTTTCCTCTTCATAAGTCTCTGGCTGTTTTTGTTTCAAATCATCGAGTGAACGTAGCGACGTTTGGAACCCCCTTGACAAGATATACGATTGTTGTAACTGGACCAGGTGCAGAAGAGCATATCTCTGCAACCTGCTACTCCTTAAAACATTGCGTAGCACGCTCGTCATGGGAAACTCTTGTGGTTAAAACTGATACAGCTATTACAAAACCATCACCAGATCATTGGCTGAAAAATTTTTGCAAAGTAGACAAAAAGAAAAAAAAAAAAAAAAAAAAAAAAAAAAAAAAAAAAAAAATTAAAAAAAAAAAAAAAAAAAAAANAAAAATAAAAAAAAAAAAAAAAAAAAAAAAAAAAAAAAAAAAAAAAAAAAAAAAATGCGAGTTTTTGCAATTACGCATACAACAACAGCATTTACACTGGATGGTGTGATCTAAATAAATAAACGTTGCAACATCTAAATACATACAACAAAAGCTTTGTACAGGCATTAGTTCTTTGGTTGAACACCGAGTCCGTTGACGTTTCTAAACATCATCACTCCCTTTGCATCCTCCTTATCGTCGTCAACAAATTGGCATCTTCTAAGACACTTCCACAAACTGACCCACATTGACTCCCCTTCGTATCTATAGTGTTCACCCATAACTTTCTTGATGGCTTCGGTGGCTTCTCTTGCATTGTAAAATGGGATTCTAGACACATAATGGTGTAAAACGTGAGTTTCAATAATATCATGGAAAATGTGTTGCCCAATGAATCCAAAATTACGGTCAATTGTAGCTGCTGCACCACGAGCAAAAGTCCACTCCTTGGCGGTATAATGGGGCATAGTGGGGTCTGTGTGTTGTAAGAACGTGACAAATACCAACCAATGGTTGACCCATAACCATGGAACAAACCAATTGATCATCATATTGAATAATCCAAAGTTCTTGTACCATTGGTAAACAACAGTGAATGTAGTAATGATACCAATGTCAGATAAGATGATATTCCAGTACTGGCTTTTTTCAAAAACAGGTGAAGTTGGGGAGTAGTGTGATCGACCATACCAAGTAGTTCCCTTGTATTCTTGCCCAGTGGCATTCGTGGCCAAGTAGAATTGTAAGCCACCCAATTGTTGAAACACCAAAATGGCAAAAGTCCAAATTGGACTCTCTTCCATCAAATCCTCAACTTTCTCAACGTTACTCTTTTTCAAATACTCTTCCTTTGTATATGGGATGAATACCATATCCTTGGTCAAGTGACCAGTAGCCTTGTGATGCTTTGCATGACTGTACTTCCATGAAAAGTATGGCACAACCAAGTATGAATGGAGAACCCAACCAATAAAGTCGTTGACTTTTGGATAGTCAGAAAAAGCACCGTGGCCACATTCATGCGCCAATATCCATAACCCAAATCCAAACAATCCAATCATATACGATTGCACCATCCAAGCAGCACCTCGAAGTGCAGTTGAAACGGTTTCATGGCCGGAAATCTCAAGTTGTGGAATGAATTTGTGTCCAATGTATCCAATCAAAACCATCATGGTGATATCTCTCACCACATAACCCAATGATCTGGTCAAAGACCTGTCGTAACAGTGCTTGGGAATAGCTTGTAAGATCTCCTTGATTGTGTAGTCAGGAACCTTGAACACATTTCCATTAGTATCTATCGTTGTCAAGTTGGAAGATGGCACGTTGGTGCTCAATGAAGTGACATTTCCTGATCTCTTGACGGTAGATTTAGAGTCTTCGACTAACCCAGTAGTCGTGGATGCATGCGCGATAGTGCTCATTGTATTAAACAAACAGAGTCCCTTAAAATTAGATTTGGATCTGAGGAAAGAAGAGCAATACAGAACTGTAATGTATATATATATATATATATCTATATTTTTTTTTTTACATTTATGCCAACACGATATTCGCATCTCCTTATCATCGCCTAATTCCCCATTGGCTCTCTTAAGTCTAAACTCGAAAGAGTGCAAAAGGCCATCAAGGAAAAAATTTTCCATACTTTGTGGCGTCTTATATTTTTTTTATGGAAAGAGTAGAATAGGCATAACGAAAAAAAAAAGAAAAAAAAAAAAACAGAAAGTTTGTATAAGTAAGGCGTTGAGAGTGTACAGTAAGATCATCATAGTTGCTCTCACTTTCCCATTTTCAGTAACGTCGGTAGGCTGTGTACGAACTGTGTGTATGTGTATAGCAAATGCTCCTTCCCCTTGTGGGTGCAAACGTATGCGTTGAGTAATGTGAAATATGCTCCTCCACACAAAACATATCAAGGAGGGGGAGATGGAGGGCGGATGCGGGTCCTAATAGCAAAAAAAATAAACAAAAAAAAACTAAACAAAAAGAAATGTCTCAGCCTTGTGTGTGTTATATGCAGGTACGAAACTGGTAGCAGGAAGATGCAACGGTTGCACTAAAAATAGAATCATAGAGTATATGTGGTCGTGTCAAGCATGGAAATTGATAAGAGTGGGTATAAAATAGTGCCGAGATGTTTGGTGAATCTGGAGAAACGTACTATAATTAGCTTCAAGCTTGAAAAATTGTGTGGTTCACTTCGCCTAGTGTTAGTAGTGAGTGTTGTCTCACCACATTAATGGAAATTTCATCAAGATGTCATGCAAAAAAAATTGCCAACTGTGTTTGGAACTAAACTATCCTGTGCTCAAACTGACAATGTTGAGTACTCTTTATCTAACACTCGGATCCAGTTACAATATTGAACTTTACAGTTGATGCGCTATTGGTGGAAGTTAAGCCAATTGCACGTGATCTAAGTCACGTGTATTCGGAAGTATGTCAGGAAAATTACTCTATTGAAAACACAATTCATTCCCATCCGTGAAACCATTCAGAGATACTAACAAAAGTCATTTTTTGGGAAGGTGCAATTGTACGCCCTCTATTTCCCTTGTTAACTTCTTTAGATTAATTCCATCAGCCAGTCCATACTGAGAGACGTGATTGTTGCTTCAATTGTGGTGATCGTCTTCCACGTTTTCAGAGGGTGCGTGGGAGTATGAGATTTGCAGCTGCTGAGAAGTCAACGAATCTTTGTTTTTGTCATACCATCGACGTCCTTTATCCAGTTCACCTATAGACAGGTTACCTAAGGTTCTTCTCTTTACCACAAAGAACCAACCTATGAACTCTAGACGTTTTGATGGCTCGTCATCTTACATTATACGAGTTATCACCTCGCCTAGGTCTTCCTCGACTTGCTCACTGCAGAACTAAAACGTTTGGAAACTATAAATCGAACGTAAATAATCTCGAAATGAAAATCAGACACCGAACTACTAAATTCAAAGCATACTGAACCAAATAACAACAAGTCTGGTTAAGCAAATACCCGAGATCACCATTAAGCCAGTCATGAGTAACATGTCTGTGCAATTCAAACACGTTGAAGTTCAATGCATTCACAACTTGAACCACCTTGCCCCCCCCCCCCCTTTCCCCCTCCGCTTATGTTTCGCAATAATTTCGTAAAAGAACAATGAAACATCAATTGGCGGATCAAAGAAAATTAAATTGATACCTCGTAAATCAAATTCAAACGAAGTGGGGTCATTCGGACGGAGGTGTGGCACCAATTTCAAGTACCACAAAATCTCGATCCGTTTGTTGTTGCTTAGATTTCGAGTGGTACAGAACAATGCCTTTTTGCCTGAATAGAGAAAACATATTACAACGGTTACAAACTGTTTTCAATTTCCTTACTCCTCCAAACAAAGACTATTTCGGTAAAATTTTGAAGACCAGTTAGGAATTAATGCACGTTGGGTAGATTTTGTCTTGCTTCCCAATTTAGTTTCAAAAATATGTACAATGGGTGCAAAAAAAAAAAAGAAAATAAAAAAAAAATATAGTGAAATTTCAGGGTCGTGCGGAAAGTCTAAAGCCATTCAATATTTATTTTGTTTTTCTTCTTTTTTTATTTTTTTTTTTCTTTCTTTTTTTGAGGGGTCGCAATCTGTTTACCGCATTGGGAAATTTCTCAGAGGCACAAAATTGAATGCGCCCTGTTTTTTTTTAAAATGAATTAGCATAGCATTAATTTGTTCTATTTGTTAATATTTGTTTTCTTTTTGCACCCTCTTCCTTGTATTGGGAAGTAATAAGGAATGTATTATAGTTGTGGGGCGGGGCAGGGCTCAGAACCAAGCGGCATGTGCGCCTGTTGTCTTGTCTCTAAAGAGGAGAAAAGCAATAATAGTTCTAGCTCAAAGCCTCGACATTTGAAAGTTGAGGCAGAGTGTATAGCTTAAGGTAAGGCAACAGTGATTTCCCTTTTAGAGCTCAACATTGTTGCAAAAGTTGTTTATCAAAATATGCTCAAACGTTCGGCTTGATCTCCCTTTGTTGACACTTTGAACTTGAGGCTCCAAATATAGAACGATATAGGCACGATAAGGAGATGCTGTACTTTGACACGGCTCATGGTACTACGCTGAAAATGTTGAATTCCTGCGAGATCTGGGTGGAGATCCGAGATAACACATGCATTGGTTCATGTGCATCCCTTTGCGTGAAAATTAACCCAACTGTAACCTAACAAACTAGGAGAAAATATCCTGAAATTCATTTCCTATTCATTTAAGTAGAATCTAGTAGTGTAAAGAACTGTGGTAAACAAACCAAGCTTTTGATTATGTGACGTTCTTTTTTTTATATTTTTTTTTGTTTTTTGCTTTTGCTGGTAGACATTTTGGAAGTGTGGAAGCATCCCCATGAGAGCAAAGACCACTAAAAGGATTGTATTGGTACCTCCACCGGTTATGCAGCAAATCACTTTCCCGAAATAGGAATGGAAGGAGCATTCGATCGCATTACGAACCTGATGTATGCCCTCCTTTTTGTTGTTCCAATATCGCCTTTTTACTCGTTGTCAGTTTTGTTGCACAAAAACAGGGTCCGCATTGAAAAAATGTGTTGAAATAATATACACACACCAATTATGACAGCACTAGAACACAAACCACTGAAAGGGATGCAGAGGCGTTACTCCTATTTGAGTTGAGCTAAATAGTGCCGTCAAAAGAGCAATAGCCCACCATAACCTTATTTTTATGTAGAAGGTGGAGTTGAGCGATATTGAGACCCCACTGGGCTAAAGACCTTGAAGGAGTTAAGCCTGAACTAAAAAGAGCAGGGCTCATAACGAGACGTTATTATTATTATTATTATTATTATTATTATTATTATTATTATTATCATCATCAACATTTGTTTTCGGGGAAGTGGTGGCCACTTCTGAGTAGGCTTTTCTATTTTATTGCACGCAATTACAAAATCTCTGCTTATGCTCCTGCTCTCTGAATGCAAAAGTAGAACATCGAGACAAATCATCGCTCATCTTCAGCTTACTCTCATTGTGACTTGAAACATGAGTCTAGATCACGACCACCTTTCCAAAAAGTGGTCCAGAGCAATTATGACCAGGTCAAACAAAAAAAAAATAAAAAAATCGTCGTCCGCCACAAACCCTTTTCTTCACCACATCGAGTAATAGGGAACATGCCTGTAGATCATTCTACCAAGAAATGTTTTGCAAAGTGAAAGAATTTTAAGTTTAGTATGTTGAAAACCCCATTATTTCCGCAGTTAAGGGCTTAATGTACCCTAATGAACTCGTTAAATAAATCGTTCAATTGGGGGAATGATAGTGTGATTTACCAAAAAAAAAAAAATTATTTCCTAATCGGGTAATGTCGTATTTATGGAACAATTTATTTTTTTAAACTTTTCACTTTTGTGTCACAACACAGAGTATAAGCTTATCCCTATTACTTCCAACTTTAGTTAAAGGCATGATCATATGCCTTAACTCACACACAATGCCATTTCGACTTTATATTGCCCCATTGTTTTTTGCTCATTCATCAGATGGATTCTCGTAAAATTCGAATTTTTTATAAATAGTCTTGGGAATTCTCGAGTTGGTAAAACATCAGCCTTTCATCTTTTTGCCTTTTCTTATCATCTTCATCACTGCTTCCTTACCCCAAGCTAAAGACATTTGAGCTATTCATAACTCGCTATTCCATATTCCCAACAGATAAAACACTTTCAAACAACAACACAACTTGATTACAAAATGAAATTCTCACAAACTACTTTGCTCGCTGTCTTGGCTTCATCTGCTTTTGTCTCAGCCGCCCCAGCTATTGTTGCTGAACAATCCATGGTCAAAAGAGAAGATGTTAACGATGTTTTGGCTATCTTGAAAGAAATTAAAGAACACAACGCCAAGAGAGAATTCTTGGAAGGGGATGCATTGATCGAACACGACAAGAGAGCTGACTCTGTTTTGGGTGAATTGATTAGCGCTTTGACAAACTCAGGTATAATTGGTCAAATTTGGAACACTTTAACCACCAACGATGCTATCAAGTCTTCACTTTCCAACATTATCCAATCTGCTATCCAAACTGCAGTTGTGCAAGGTCCAGCTTTGATTTCAGCCATTTGGAACTCAGGTTTGTTGGGTGACATCTTCAACTCCTTCTTGAACGATACTGACTTGAGAAACGCTTTCTTGGATGTTGCCAAGTCCATCTTTGGTACCGCTGTAAACTTGATCACCTCCTGGTTGGGTGGATCCTCATCTGGAGCCAGTGCCACTACTACTGCTGCTGCTCCAGCTGCAAGTGGTGCCTCTTACAAGAGAGAAGTTTTGGACCTCAATGCTGAATACATTGACAAGAGAGATTTGTCCTCAATCATCCAATTCATTGTTCAAGAAATTTCAGATTCAGGTATTGTTTCTTCATTGGTTAATAAGGCCTTGGCTGACCCACAAGCATCCATCAGTTTCTTGACTTCAGCCTTCCAAAATGGTTTGGTCATTGCTCAAGATATCTATGGATGGGCTAAACAATCAGGATTGTGGGACTCTGCTTTGAGCTACATCCAAAACAATGCTGGTACTTGGGCTAGTGCTATTGCTTCCTTCTTGGGTAATGCTTTGACTTCAGGTCAAGTTAGCGCATCAGAAATTGACAATGCATCCTCAGGAATTTCTGCTAGATCTACTACTCCAGTTAGCACTGCTGCTGCTGCTGCTAACGCCAACACTGCTGCCGCTGCTGCTCCAAGTGTCACCAAATCAACCACTGCTACTGCTGCTGCTCCTGCTGCCAACACCGCAGCTAACACTGTTGCTACTTCTGCCACTGCTGCCGCTGCTGCTGCCTCGGGTAACAATGATGCCTTGAACTCCTTGATCAACAAATACGGTGGCTCTTCTGCTACTGGTGCTGCTTCCCCAAGCGTAGATACCTCAGGTTTGTCAGGAAGCGTAAACCAATTGGTAGGTGCTGCTAACCAAGCCGCTTCATCTTTGAAGAGAAGAAACTACTAAATCTACAAACTACACCGAACAAAGAAAAGGGATGCTTATAAATACAATACCATTCAATGATTGAAATCAAATTGGCTGCAGTCCAAAATAGTTTCTTTTGGGTCATTGTTTCTTACTGTGTTCTTTGTTTCAGAGTTTGAAGAAGGAGGAATGGTGGTTTTTGATATTTTACTTTTTAAAGTTGTGGTGGCTTTTGCTTTTGCTTTTGCTTTTGCTTTTGCTTGATTCTTTTCTTATCATGTTTCAGGAGTTTTTGAAAAGAGGTTCTCTCCCATATACCAAAGTTGGTGATTATTTTTCTTTTATACGTTATTAATTTTCATATTCAATTCTTTAGCCACAAAAAATATATACACAATTTATGGAAAAGACTCTTTGAATTTGTAAAGATGGATTGAAATTGGGTTGATGGTGAAACTGCAACGATTGGTTCGGTCAACTGCAAGTGATGTTTGCAGTGATACCCGTAGATTTCAAATCTATACCTCATTTTCGAAACAATTCTTCTCTTTTGTGTTACTAACGAGTGGAAATAGTTATAGGAAACTCCAAACTCACCTGAGTAAACATGTGTACGAGTTGTGTCCCCTCCAATGTGGTAAGAAAAAAAGCTTGCTCAAGTCTGCCTTTACTTTATACAGATTGGTTAATGTACAACGCCAGCCTTGACAATACCTAAATACTTTTCTTTTAAAAAATCACCCGATTCATATCCTTGTTGCAGAAAAATCACCACACCAAAATATACACCGCTTTTCTTTCCATTTTTTTAAAGTTGTCAACCACCAACTATGTCTTCAATCATCAATCAATTAGGCCTCAACACGAGAGTTCCATACCACTTCTTGTACTACTCGTTGTCCTTTGGGGGTATTGCCTTCTACTCCTATGTTGCTTCCCCAATCATGAATAAAAAGTTGACGAAAGAGGAGTACGGCAAAGTCCAGTCTAGCGTGTTTCCGTGTTACTTTGGATTCCAAACTGTGTCGCCAATTTTACTCGCTGCCATCACCCCATTCAAGTTTTGTCCATTTAAGGCTGCACTTTTGGCAATTGCTTCCATTGCAGGCTGTTTGAACTTGTTCTTATTCAAACCTAAATGTCATGCTTTCAAAGAGGGGGAAGACAATTTGGAAGCAACTGGCAAGGACAAAAAGGTTGACAGTACACCGACTGAGGAGATGCAAGCATTATCGAAGTGCTTTTCCAGGTGTCATTTATTGAGCTCAATCGTTAACGGTTTGTCAATTATCTCTTTGGCTGTGTACGGATTGACAATAGCAAGAGGATTGAGTAAGATTAAGTACTAAGTAGTTGAGTGTTGCCTAGTTTGTTAATTTATCTACTGCTTCTATTTCATATTGCCCGAATCATGGAGATAGTACGGTTTTCTTATGTGAGTGAAAGTAGAACACTTGTAAGGGTAAAGGGCATCAACTGGAGCCACTAGTTAAGGTACGGGCTCGACGAGTGCAGATAGCCGCTAAAAATGTGGGGTCACAGTTAAACCAGAGTCATTTTTGCCCACAGATAAATACAACAATGTAGAGAGTGGAGTTATTGTCTTGCAGTTCAAGATTGGTTGTACTTATGTAAATGCAATACGGCATTTGCGGGTCAGTCAAAACACCTTACTGCACCGAAATTAATGAAAATTTTATTCTGCAATTGGTTCCCCCCCCCTGTCAGCAGAGTCATCTCTGCAGGTACGCGGCTGTTGGCAATTTAGCTCACTTCGAAGGAGCTTCCATCAAGGCATTTGAGCTCCAAGATCCTGATTTGTGTAATATTGTAAGATCTAATCTGTTTTTCATTGCGGACTTATACTTCCATACTTCTTATAAACATTGTTGTAGCAGCAGTTGAAAAAAAAAAAAATTTTTGACAGAAAAGCGGCAAATTGAGAAGAATGAAAATTTCTTTTTTCTATTGTTGAAGTTTTGTTGGTTCCCTCGCATTTTGCAACATAAACTTTTTGTTTGCCGTACGACACTTTGCAGGGCTCTGGTAAGCCCATACTTCGCGGTAAAAGTGGGGAAGTGAGTGGATATGCCTCTTGTAGCGGGATTCCAAACAGAGTAGAGGACAAGCCAAGCTTTTGCGCCAATTGCAAAGTTCTTTCCCCCCCCCCCCCACTAAATATCAATTACGTATACCAATATTGTTTTATTTTTTTGCTGGAGAGAAATAAATAAATTAAAAAAAAAAAAATAAAAAAATAAAAAAAATGATGTCAAGAAAATGCCCTATTATTTCCTCATCGACATCGGAAACGCCTTACAGGTTACAAAATTTTTGACCCAGAATGCCCTACAAAGTCCGAAATACAAACCCATATAAAACTTAAGAATTCCCCTAATGGCAGGAGCAAACTGGTCTCATGCATAGATTGCAGCTTTTTCTTTTCCAACCATCACAAGACTTTTTACCCAAATTGGAACAGTTGCAAAATAAGTTTACACAGTGTCATGTCATGCAAAGAAGCCAAATTGGAAGATGGGTACTCGGTATCTTCATCGCAACTTCAAACCACTACTAAGCAACTCAGTCAGGACAACCAATCCTACGATTCCTCATTTGTCTCATTTTTCAAATCATTCAAAGTAGACAGGTCAGAAATTGCCAAAGGAGCAGATGTTCTCACGCCAGAAGATAGTCTACGCGGTTACCAAATTAAATTGATTGCGCTTTCTTCATGTATCGGGTCCGGATTATTCATCAGTAGTGCATCGATGATCTCGTCAGCTGGTGCAGCGGGTACGGTGATTGGGTATTCTATCGTGGCTGTATTGATGTTTTTCGTTGTACAAGCATTGGGCGAATTGACAAGCTCATACCCCGTTAGAGGTAATTTTCTCATTTACAACTCACGTTTTATCGATGAATCGTGGGCATTTGCCATGAACTGGAACTATTGCATGCAATGGATTGTTACCATTCCTTTATCATTAGTGGGAGCTTCAATGACGATTCAATACTGGAATCAAGACATAAACCCCGGTGCATGGGTGGCCATTTTCTGGGTGTTTATCTGTGCCATCAATGTTTTCGGAGTGAAAGGGTACGGCTACGGCGAAAGTGTCTTTTCAATGATCAAAGTAGTTGCCATTTTAGGCTTTGCCATATTGGCCATTATTTTAGTTGCTGGAGGTGGTAAGCAAGGCTACATTGGTGGCAAGAACTGGCATCCACCTTTTGCCAATGGCTTCAAAGGGACTTGCAACACCCTTGTCAATGCAGCATTCAGTTTTGCTGGTACCGAGTTGGCAGCAATTGCTGCTGCTGAAACCTCAAACCCTCACAAAGCATTAATCAAAGCAACAAAGCAAATTTTCTGGAGAATCGCCGTGTTTTACATGTTGTCAGTCATTTTATTGTGTTTTTTGGTGCCCTTCAACGATCCTAAATTGTTGGGTAACTCAAACTCATCAGCATCGCCTTTTGTTATTGCAATTTCCAATGGGGGAATTAATGTTTTGCCATCAATTTTCAATGCTGTCATTTTGATTGCACTTTTATCAGTTGCAAATGCTAGTGTTTTTGCCACTTATAAACCATTGGTTGCGTTGGCGGAGGCTGGCCATGGACCAAAATTTTTAGCATATCTTGACCGAAAGGGACGACCAATTTTTTCCATAATAGTTGCGTTGGCGTTTGGATTGATTGGATTTGTCGGTGCTTCCAAAAATCAGGAAACTGTATTTGCATGGTTGTTGGCCTTGAGTGGATTATCGTGCCTCTTCATCTGGTTTTCAATATCTTTGGCTCAGGTTCGGATTAACTATGCATGCAAAGTTCAAGGTTTGGATTTGTATCGGCCATTTAAAGCCATTGGTGGCGATTATGGTGCCTACCTTTCAATGATTTTGAATGTTTTAATTTTGGTGGCTCAGTTTTATGTTGCATTGTATCCAATCAATGGGAAGCCTTTGCAAGCAGACACCTTTTTCCAAGCATATTTGGCTGCTCCAATTGTGTTGGTATTGTATGTCGGCCACAAAATTTGGACAAGAAACTGGAAAATGTACATCAGGGCAGAAGAAATGGATCTTTTGACAGGAAGAAATGAAATGGACATAGAAGTGGCAATGCAAGACCTATATGACGAAAAACAAAGATGGAGGCAAAAGCCGTGGTGGTATAAAGCTGTGGATGTATGGTGTTAGGTGATGTTATAGAGTGTAGTAATAATGACGATACGAATGTTTTCCTCCAACAGAGTCATGTGACTGGCGAGAAAACTAAAGAAAATAAAAAATACAAAAAAAAAAAAGAAAACACCCAACCGACACGATATAAGCTTGCAAGGAGGGAACCTATTCACACCAATTCAACAAATGAACAACGTTCAATTGCTTCAAGTTGATCTCACTCATTTAAGTTCAGAAGCAAAGAAGAGGTATCCCGATGTACGACAGCTAGCAGATTCTGTCATCAAGAGCCTAAAGTCGTTGAATGCAACAACTCAACTTAAGGATATTACCGATGATAGTTTGAGATTACAAACTATCAATGCATTGATACTAGCATGTGATTCGGGGAACTTAAAGCTCAACAATGCCTCAATCCCAATCATGCAGAAACTAATTCAAGCGCGTTTCATACCTAAGGAAAAACTCAAAGATGTGTTGAGAACCTTCTCCGATAATTCGCACTTGGCCGAGGGGGTACAAGTGAGGATTCTCCAGTGCCTTCAACAATTCACTCAGGAGTACAAGCAAGATATTTCCGGAGTTGTGCTATCCAGTATGGTCGGTCTTTGTTCTGGGTTGACAACTACAAATAAAGCGTCAAATGTACTGGGTGTCGCCTCTGCTACTTTGGAGCAAGTCTTTTCCAATGTATTTGATAACATCAGTGACGCACCTCTAACAGGAAGTAACGAAATCAAAATTGAAAATGAATTGGATGTACAGGTTGATGATGCTTCATACGAAGGGTTCCGCGTCTTTGAAGATTTGAATAGTTTGGCAACAAACAAGAAACCGAAATTCTTGAATGCTGGAATCACAATTCGAAGCCAATCTGCTCTCGATATAATTGAAAATGTTATACTTCTGCATGATAAACTATTCCGACAGCACAAGGAGTTGGCTTATTTGTTGCGTGCTCAAACAGTTCCCTCCTTGTTGAAGGTTTTAAATTCACCTTCAAGAAGCTATCAATTGACTCAGAGATCCATACGAGTAATTCAATCATTGCTCACCACCCAACTCGAGAGTCTAGAGATTGAAGTTGAGCTAATATTATCCTATTTGAACCATGCATTGCTCGAAAATGACAATCATCAAAACGGATCGGTACCGTATTGGGAGAAAATCCTAGTTCTCGAAATGTTCAAGAATGTATTTTCAAAATTTGATGTTGTAAAGGCGATTTATGAAAATTACGACCACGATGAGCTGAAAAAGGATGTGTTAAAGGAATTGTTTACCGTTCTCAATTCTTACTTGCAAAATGATAATCTGTTGAAGGATGAGGCTTTAGGATATGGTGATGTGCAGGATATAACAACCTACAATCACCATTCCACGCTGGATCTACTGAACACAGTTCCCTTTTCACGGAAGAACTTCAAGATTCTGTTACTTGATCATTTGGATAAGACGGAACCACAAACAAACATCCCTGGCTCGTACACCCAGTACCTCATCTTTGAAATACTCGTCAACTATTGCAATGGAGTGTCCCATTTCGTTACAACATTGCTGGACAACACTTCTAATGAGCAAGTCTTGGAAGAAGATGTTGACTTTATTAATGCTATCTTGGCGTCCACTGCTTCTGAAGTGAGCCATTTGTTTAAAAGGTTTATTTACGCTCAATTGGATGATGAATTGTTTCGTACCTTGTTGACTTCGTTTCAGAAATTTGCCCATTCTGTGGGGCTCTTGGGGTTGAACTCGATACGAAATGAGTTGCTTTCACAACTTGCAAAAGCAGCCATAGTGAGTGTTAACAGTACCACACCTACCAAAGAAGATAATGAGTCTTCTTCGTTGTACGATGATTCAAAGAAGCACCTATTGGCACTTGGTGGATCATTGGCCGAGTCAGTCATCTCAAGTAGGATATCAATGAGAAGTGAAAGTAATGGTGCAAACAACACTTTACAACAGGAGAATCTGATCAGTTCCAACTACTTCAACTCGCGTCATGTCCTTTGTTTGAGAACATTGTTGAACTTGGCCATTTCATTGGGGTCAACGCTTGGTGAATCTTGGGCAATCATTTGGATTACGTCACAGTGGTGTGCGTGCTACCTCTACGGCCCAGATGAGTATAGCAACTTCTCGAGGTCTAAACAAAGTCAAGAATTGGGGGTACCGGTCCCACAACAGCAACTATCGGAAACTGATTATGGGATTATCCAAGCGTCGTTGAGGTCGCTTTTCGAAAATATAAGTAGTTATGAACTGGACTCGTTTAAGCAGCTATTGGCGTGTCTTATTGAGTTGAATGACATTGCGTTTTCGGAAGATGTTGAAAAAGTCGTCAAGCTAGGTTTGTCTGAATCTCCCTTCAACAAGGCGTATTTTTTGCAAAAGATATTCCAAATTTGTCGACTTGCGCCAGCAAAGTTTTTAATCGAGGATGATGCTGGCATTTGGGAGTTAGTGACATCGTACATAACCAAGTTTGGATCCAAAAGAAATTTGCATCCAAAGTTGCGGCTATACGTTGCAGAGTCATTTGGAAATATAGTAGAGGCATTAGCAAGTGCAGGATTCAAAGATGATTCAATAGCTCAAATTACCGCAACGAGGACTTTGGAAGGATTACATCAGTACATTACACCGTTGTTTGAACAAGGTCCTCCCAAGGAGTTATTGACTTTGAACTGTGAGACGGAGATTCACTTGTCAGTATTGACAAAATTGCACTCATTGATTGACAATTACGATACGCATTATCAAGGTTCATGGGCCCAAGTATTTGAAGTTCTCAATACTCCATTCAAGGCGGTGGAATCTGATGATGTTAATTTACGGGAGAAGTTGCAATACCTTGTGGAAAAGTCGTTTGATACTTTGAAATTGATACTTGATGAGTTTTTGTCGTCTTTGCCATTTAAGCAATTCAAGTACCTTATTGATACTTTGGTCAACTTTTCGTCCCAAACATATGATCTCAACATCTCATTTAGCTCAGTTAGTTATTTTTGGCTCATTAGTGACTCCTTGAAGTCAAGATTAGGACACTTTGAAGGTCATAAAAGTATGCCAATTGATATCGAACTGGAAAATGAACTTGTTGCATTTATTGACAGTAATGACGAATCGTATCAATCTTATGTTTGTCTTGAAGTATATTTATTATTTTGTTTGGCGAAATTGTCTCAACAAGAAACTAATCGTGCACAAGTGAGAGATGGTGCTCTACAAACTTTTTTCCAAATTGTTGACGTACATGGCCCCGCTTTGGAGCAGAGTTGGGACGTGGTGCATTTGTTGGTATTGCCATGTTTATTTAGTATTGGGATTACGTCAACTACGGAAGCAACTATTACCCCAAAGGAGTCCTTGGAAACGATTCGGTTGTTGTTGGAAGGATTCACTAATATGTATCGCAAATTTTTCACCACCGCCGATAAAACTAGTGAGTTTCAAGATAGATGGCAGAAAATCTTTGATTACATGGAAAAGTTGTTGAGTTTGAAGCATATTGAAATAAACCTGATTGTATTCAAGTCCATTCGAGATCTAATTGATCCTTCAACTGACATAAGCACAAGAGAGATTCGTCTGGCATTGTTCAAGTTATGGACGGGTTATACCATTGAGTATGATTTAGTAAATTCAAGTTATCAAGACTCGCTTGTGCAGTATATGCAGTGTTTCCCACCATTGTACAAGATTATTCAATCTGAGTTGAATTTGCAGGAAGTTAACAAAATTGTTGATATTTTCAACAAAGGAGCTAGGTATCCCGTGTTGCCATTGCACCAATCTGACATTAATAAACCCAGTAAACTACAATCGGCAATATTGGCAAACATTGGCGTTTTGGACAAGGATGATTTGGAAATACAAGCGTCAGTGGTGCAGCTACTTACAAATATAATTATCTATCCATGTGGGGTCCGAATGAGAATTGAGCAGAAGTTTCACAACAATGCATTTGTGCAAAAGAACTATCAGATACCTACATTTGTTGCCGTTAGTCATTTGGGATTACAGTTGATGAGAAGCAAGTTTGAAGAATTTGGCTATACGCAAGTGTTGACGGATGAACAGGGGATCATCAAGACTTTAAAAGCGCTTATTGAAGTTGTTGAGAAGAAGTTGTCTGGTATTTCAACAACCTCTTCAGCACTGTCACTGCAGACTCCACTTTGGAGCGAAGCTCACCAGGTGTTGAAGACCCTTGTGGAGAAATTGATCAATGGGCAAGAAGGACAATTGAGTAGTGAAGTTTGGACTTTACTTGTGCAATCTATGATGGTTACATTTGCTTTTAGATTGGATGTTGATTTATCGGCTGATGACTCAAATGTTAAAATTGCTCATTATCAAGAGTTGAGCAGAGTGATTGTGCCGAGCTTGATCAAAAATGACAATCTGTTGATATTGGAACTTGCACGTAAAATGTATGACAATTCATACCTTTACAATCTCAATGCCGATGAAGAGGAACTTATTTTGAACAGTAGTGTCACGAAGAATGACATACAAGCCATTGACAATTTAACCTCCTTCCAATTTGATGAGTTTTTCAGTACGACTGAAAGTTTACGATTTTTCCCCAATACGAGGATCAGATTCAATTGTTTATTGCAATTGTTTGAGTTGCTGCAATTTGAAACCAAGTTCAAGCCTGATATAGAGATTTATCTTTTGAGAAGGATTAGTTTTACATTGAGGAGGGCAGTTGCTGATTTGAGATTGAGTGGTGGTAGACCTTTGCCTCGATTTCAACAGGATGAAATAGTGACTATACTTGAGCAATTGCAAGACAAGTTGCTGAAGGAAAGTGATTCTTTGTCCCGTGGTAATATGCAAGAGTTTAAGAAATTGAATCGGTTATTGGTGTTGCTTAGTCCGTTTGCAGATAAGTTAGGTGAGAGAAAGTCACTTATTCCTGAGCTTTTGATGAAGTGTATATAGATAGAGGGAGAGATATAGATAGAGATAGAGGCAGATGGAGAAGCTCGTGCAAGAGGAGAGGTATGTAAATGAAATAGAGCTAAGATGTAGTTTGTGAGTGTATATTGCGTACAGTGTCGTGACATGTTGTGTTGTGACATTCTAGAAGCTGTATGATGCAAACTTTGCTGTTAACACTAATGAGAGAGAAAAAAAAAAAAAAATTTCTTTTCTTTTTACTCCTTTCGGGAATCAAAACATATACAGCTCATAGATTTTCTTTTACAACCAAAGATCATACCAACCTAGTTGTGTACACTAGTTCTTCAAGTATTAGACCACACTAGATCTACACATCTATATCCACATACACTAGTATACACACACTCACACACACTCACGCACACATAGTCTCAGAGACATAGAGAGTGTAGCTCAAACTTGTCGGATCAAAGCCACAGCCCATTTTCCATTTATTCCGTTTCACTTGCATTCGCTTCACTTCAAAAACAACACTCATACCAGCGGACTATCCAAGCTTCCACCCTTCCTATCGCTTAAGACCCTTCATTACTACACTTTCAGACTTTAGCATACCACACAATATACATGGCATTTCATAAACCCGGTGGAAGTCCTACACGTGGATACACTGAATTTGATCCCGAGTCAGGTGACGGAATTGGAAGAAGCAGATCACTTGTCAGGCCAGAAAGAACACGTTTGGATGAAAATCACCGAAGATTTCACTATACTCAAGTGGCCAATCAAGAAGCAGACCATATAAAAGTACAATCATCAAATGGTCTAGATCCAACAAGATCAAACGAACTAGGTGGTTCAAGATCACATCTTTCTTCTTACAACTCAGACAGATTTGCCAGTAACAATCAACTTGAAGATGAAAATGAAGGTATCCCATTGATGGATATTCATGACTCTTCGCCACAAGGAAGTCCCAATACTCAAGATTTAAAAGGCGGTAGAGAAGTGTATGGTTTAAATGATGAAATCAAGGATTACTCTCAATCACCACTGAAAAGCAAAGTTATATCCAACGGTATACCCAGGCCACAGGTTCAAGGTACTAAAAGTAGAAAAAAACCAACCAACAAGAATGACATTTATTTCTGGAAAGTGTATTGTTATGTCATCACTTTTTGGGCACCAGCACCCTTGTTGAGACTATTTGGATTGAAAACCAAAGATCGTCAGTTTGCATGGAGAGAAAAAATTGGTTTGATTTCGTGTATTTTATACATTGGTGCATTTGTGGCTTACTTGACTTTTGGTTTCACCAAGACTGTTTGTTCAAAAGAGAGCATTAGAACTAGAATTAATGAGGTCAACACTGGGTACTTGATTATCAATGGTAGATCATTTGATTTAACCTCGTCAAAGCATCCAGCTGCCGCTGGTATTGGAGCCGGTTCCAATGTGTTGTACCCGCCCATCAATGCTGGTGGTAAAGATGCTTCATTTTTGTTTCAAAATGTGAATGGAAATTGTAAAAACTTGATTGTACCAAGAGACAACTGTACCATTCCTCACAACGATGACAACGAGCTTGCATGGTATATGCCATGTAGAGTTTTTAGTCAAGATGGATCCGACCCGGTTAACAATACCGCTGCATACTACAATGGTTGGGCTTGCCATACTAGTGAAACTGCTCGTCAAGCATATTATGGTTTGAAAGTTTCGGGTGATGTTTATTTCACTTGGGATGATATCAAGAATTCCACAAGGAACTTGGTTGTTTATTCAGGAAATGTTTTGGATCTCAATTTGATAAATTGGATACAACATGATGATGTCACCTATCCCGATCTTTTCAACAAGTTGCGTGATGATCCTACATACAAAGGAATAGATATTTCATTGGTTTTGACTGACCCTAGTGAACGACAAGCAGCAAGGTGTCTCACCGAGATTATTAAGGTTGGATCTATTGATTCCAAGACTATTGGATGCATTGCATCTGAAGTTGTTTTGATTGTTTCGTTGGTGTTTATCTTGTCTGTTGTTGTTGCCAGATTTGTTATGGCATGTTGGTTTAGATGGGTGACACTGAGAAAACAAGGTGCTACCGCGTATGACAATAAATCAATGGTTGCTCGTAACAAGGCTATTGAAAATTGGGTAGATAATGGTGCAAGTGGAGCAGGACCAGAAATCAAAACTGTTCCTGTGAAGGCAAGAGCCAATTACAAGGCTGCAAAGACCAATAGACAAAGTATTTTCCACAGAGCACAAAGGCTTGCTTTGGGACCAAATGCCGACTTGTCGCAATATTATGATAACCCAAATGCGCTTTCAAAGACATTCAAATACACCACGATGTCTACTCAGGCTGCTTTGTTGGGTAAGAATGGGTATGGGAAAAAGAACTTGGGTAGTGGTGGGGCTACTGGTAAAAGTAGTACTAGACAATCGACTATTTATTTGAATGATCAAGGTTCGTCGACAGATTTATTAAACCGTCCAGTGTCGTCATACAATCCATTTGATGGGTTTGAGGAATCAGTTGTGCATGGACTTTCACCTGATATTATACACCCAGATGTTGTACCTCAACCACCAGTGGAGTACCAACCATTTGGTTATCCATTGGCGCATGCCATTTGTTTAATCACTTGTTATTCCGAGGATGAGGATGGTATTCGTACAACCTTGGATTCGATAGCCACTACTGATTATCCAAATTCTCACAAGCTCTTGCTTGTGGTATGTGATGGTATTATCAAGGGTTCAGGAAACGATAGGACGACTCCTGATATTGTGTTGGATATGATGTCAGACTTGACTGTACCAAGAGATGAAGTTGAACCTTATTCGTATGTGGCTGTTGCTCAAGGTAGTAAGAGACACAATATGGCCAAAGTTTATGCTGGTTTCTACAATTACAATGATGATACGGTTCCTCCTGAAAAGCAACAACGTGTGCCCATGGTTACTATTGTCAAGTGCGGTACACCAGAGGAAGCCAATATGCCCAAACCTGGTAATAGAGGTAAGCGTGATTCCCAAATCATTTTGATGTCATTTTTGCAAAAAATTGTGTTTGATGAGAGAATGACTAGTTTAGAATTTGAAATGTTCTCGAGCATTTGGCGAATTACGGGATTAATGGCTGAATTTTATGAGATTGTGCTAATGGTTGATGCTGATACCAAAGTTTATCCTGATTCGTTGACCCATATGGCTGCTGAAATGGTTAAAGATCCCCTGATTATGGGTTTATGTGGAGAAACCAAGATTGCCAACAAGGCGCAGAGTTGGGTCACGGCAATACAAGTTTTTGAATATTATATTTCGCATCATCAATCCAAGGCATTTGAATCGATGTTTGGTGGTGTTACTTGTTTACCAGGATGTTTTTCAATCTACAGAATCAAAGCACCAAAGGGGTCAGATGGGTATTGGGTGCCCATTTTGGCCAATCCTGATATTGTGGAAAGGTATTCTGATAATGTTGTTGATACTTTGCACAAGAAGAATTTGTTATTGTTGGGAGAAGATCGTTTCCTTTCGGCATTGATGTTGAGGACATTCCCCAAGAGAAAGCAAATCTTTGTGCCTAAAGCTGCTTGTAAAACGGTTGTTCCTGACAAGTTTCTGGTTTTGTTGTCACAGCGTCGTAGATGGATTAATTCAACAGTGCATAATTTGATGGAATTGGTTTTGGTTAAAGATTTGTGTGGAACTTTTTGTTTTTCTATGCAGTTTGTTGTGTTTATTGATTTGGTTGGTACGTTGGTGTTGCCCGCTGCCATTTCATTCACCATCTATGTTATCATTGATGCGATTATATCCACGCCCACCCCAATCATGTCGTTGGTGTTGTTGGGAATCATTTTTGGATTGCCTGGTTGTTTAATTGTGGTGACCATATCATCATGGTCCTACATTATTTATTTCTTTATTTATTTGATTGCATTACCAATTTGGAACTTTGTTTTGCCATGTTATGCCGATTGGAAATTTGATGATTTCAGTTGGGGGGAGACAAGAACTGTTGCTGGTGGAGAGAAGGGACTGGACCATGGTGCGACTGAGGGTGTGTTTGATGCGTCAAAGATTAAAATGAGAAGATGGAGAGAGTGGGAGAGAGAGCGTAGAAGTGTTGAGTATGCTCCAGCTGGTGGCGAAGCTATCGTGGGTGGTGCTGGTGGTGCTGGTGTAGGTGTAGGTCCGTATGGTAAAGGAAACCTGCAAAACTTGTCTATGCCTTCTGCAGTTTGGGATCCATCCACCAACAATGAAAAGTTGGTTGACGATGGGTTTGAGAGGGAAGGTTCGTCGTCAGGATCTAGTTAGAGGGAATTGGAAGCTGAAAAAAAGTTATGGCTACCGTATTTTTAGTTTTGTGCATAATCAATAGATTTAAGAAAGAGAAAGTTTTTTACAAATTGCCAAGTAAGGTTTGTGGATACGTTGGACATGTACTGCTTCAAGGCAATATGCGTTTGCAATCTAATGATATGTCCTGATGAAAGTATATACTTATAGATCTCTATAGATCTCTATAGATCTCTATATAGATCTGGAGGCAGTTCTGTATACATTTGACTTTCGCTTAAAATGTAAACTTAATTTTTTCTTTTTTTCTTTTTTTCTTTTTTTTTTTGACGAGAAAAAACAAAAAAAAAAAATTGGTATTGGCCTTTGTGTAATAATTACTTTATTTAAATCAATTTCATGTTGGTTTTCACAAGAGCAAATTGACTGACTAAAAGAGTGCATTTGATTTTTTGGGAATTGATCTAAAGCCTGCTCAGAACTAGTTACCCAGAATACAACACGAAGTTATCCTTTCATCAAGCACAATCGATTGTGCTTGAGAAAGAAGAATGGTACTTGTTTGATCATTTAAATGTGGATTCTGTGTGATGATGAAGATGAAGGCGTATAAGAATGTGAAGCAGCGGCAGAAGAAGAAGCAGGCAAAGAAGGCAACGAGGGTGATGTGTCACTTGAAGCCAGTTCAGTGAACGATACATCGCTTGGTGGGTTCGACAATCCGCCTTTTTCAATGTACAATTGTTTGAATTTTTTCAACCGCCATGAGTTTTTCATCTTCCTGATCAGGGGTTTGAATGAGGAGTTGGGTGTGGCTAATGCGTACAACATGGTTTGAGCTTGTGGTGTTTGAGCTAAGTAAGTGGGAAAGAAAAGTAGAATCAGCAGGATAAGTTTTTTTATCGACATCAAAAACAGACACTGGAAGATGAGTTGATGTATTTATAGTTTCATCTTAAAATTGGGGGAATACATGGATAATGCAGGGTTAGATTTGTGAGTATGTGCATATGCTGTATGCACTAAATGTAGAATACAATAGACTACAACCTGGAGCCTAGTTTTTGTTACAATAAAAGGGCCTCTCTATCCTTCTCTGCATAATACGGCAAACACTCTCTTTCAATAGTAACCAGTATTAGCGATTTGTGTAGCAAAGGTAACACGCGGGTTTAAACGAAATAGACGAATAAACAAACAGACAACAAATAGTACAAACAACAGAATGGAATTTATTTTTTCTTTTGTTTTGTGAATTTGGGGCAAAATTTCATGTCAATCCTTTTAATTAATAAATCAAATGTTTTCTTCGGCAAGTGCTAAAATGCATCTGCCCGCCTCGTGTATTATTGCGTATATGTGGGTTATGAACAAACGAGGCGGTTTACTAAAGTTTTTAGCCTATTGCAACGCACCAATCTCTCCTATTCTTGAGAAAAAAAGAAAAATAAAAAGAGAGAGAAAGAGAGAGAGACTTTTGAGTTTGACAAAGCTGTTGTAATTCATTTGCAATTTCAAGTTTTTTATTTTTTTGTTTTTTTATTTTTTTTATTTTTTAGAACATTCCTCCAAAAGAAGTTGAGATTGTGTTTGTGCTGTGGATAATTTCAGGGTGTATACTCTGTAGTAGTTTGTGTATTTGGTTGTGGTTGTGGTTGTTGTTGTTGTTGTTGTTGTTGGTGTAGTTTGTTGACTGAAATTGCCAAGACACAGCACAATCAACACATACACACAGCACAAAAAATCTTGCTCTCTATACTTTCTTGTGCTTTGTTGGTTCTTGTTGATGTGATTTGTTGGTTGATTGATTCTTGTTTTGAAATCCGCTTAGAAATTTATCCGAGTCTTCAGAAACACACACACACACACACATACAAAATTGCACACTCACAAGGTGCAATTCGGGAAAAGAAGAAAAGAAGACCCCATAGCTAATTTGGTCGATTACCTTCCACCCTCCTTCTTATCAGCTTTTGGAATCGCAGTTCAATTCTTTTGATTTGTTTTAACGTCTTTCACTTCTTGTCAGCTTAACACGTTACCCTATACTTCAAAGGGAGGCGAGGGGGAGAAATCAAATCACAAACAAAAAGAACTTGATATATGAGACGAAGGAGAGCTTGTAGGTTTGTGGTTAGATTGTAACGAGACCAAGACAAAGAGAAAGTGACATATCCTACAACAATGCCAGAATTGTTTCGTTGACATCCCTTTAAGGTCGTTTCAGAGCAAGTGCTTTTTATCAAGAGAAACATCAAATTGATAGAACAATAGAAAGAAATCCAACTCAACATCGCTTGCTACTTACATATATAAAAACTGTATGTTTTGTGTAACTTGCTGTTCCGCATTTCTCCTATTTCCCTTCTGCCTATTGTGATCCAAACAGGGGAATTCCTTCACTCAAACTTTGTCTTACGCAGAGAAGGAAAAACGTATAACCGCACTTCGTGGAGTAAAACCCTAAAGAATAACGTAAACTAAACTCACCTTCTTGTGTTAAAAATGAGTTACCAAAAGTGGTAGCGAGACCTTTCAAAAATGTCACGTGACTCATTTTACTCATTTCCTTATTTGATGATATTTCAAGATCTCGATTTTTTCCAACGTAGTGGTATATCAGATATAGAGTTATCCGTCTCACTAATTATCCTCATGTAGATTAATACTTCGTTTTAGTTTTTTTTTTGTTTTGTTTTTTTTTCTTTTTTGTCTTTGCTTTAAGATCCAACTTGTATATCATTATTTTGGTGCAAAAATGTTAGTCTTGATTGACACTTGAAAGAAAAAATTAGAATGAAAAGCATATACCTTTTTTGGCCATTCTAAAACACATTCGTGTGCTCGGCGGGTAACTTATGCTTGCTTGTTAACCTCTTTGATTACCCCTTTCCGTTTAAAAATTGCGTCCCAGCTAACTCTTTTTGCAGTTTATTAATTGTTGGTGAAGTTAGTGCGACCGATTATTGAAAAAGTTTAGAAAGTCCGCCGCCGCGATTTAAAGAGATGAGATGAGACCATCTCCATAAGAAGCAAGCAAATAAACACACCCTTCAAATACCCAGATATGAGTACACAAACCGACGATAATACTAAAACACAAGCACCGGCTTCCCACCAGTCTTTCCTCCGCCAATACATTACACCGAAATTACTCAAAGACATCAAGTTCTTTCTCGTTGGGGTTGTCGTAATGACCATAACCATATTCCACTATTTATGGATCATCAAGAAATGGATGCTAAATCCAAACATAACATCCGTGGAATTGGGTACCCATTTTCTGGTATTTGCCATAATTGAGCTTTTCATATGGTATCTTTACACATTCAAATTGACTGCAATTATATACAGTGAGGAATTGGCTGAGTACAACGAAGCTGAAAGGTTGAGAAAACAAGACGATCTCAAGAGAAGGCAAGATAAACTCAAGAGGAAACACAGCTATAAAGCTGAAAGAAAAACAAAATAATACAAAAGTATTTATTTCTTTATTTAAATATAAAAACTGAGCAAAATGCTAAAATAAGATACTATTCAACTTTAAACTACTTGACCTCTCATAGAGCCCCTCCTTCAATACTTGATAAAAGTCAATCCCTTAGCCACAGTCAATCCGTAAACAGCCAAAGACAACACCGACAAGTTATTAACCAACATACTCAACCCATGCCATCTTCCAAAACTAGTAGTCAAAGCCTGCATCTCATCAGTAGGCTCCCCATTATCCTTCTTCTCTCTTCCAATAGCAGTCAACTTCACTCGCTCCTCCTTAATTGCATGACACTTGGGTTCCAAGTACCACAAATTGATCAACCCCGACAAGGTCGTCACGGCCAAGGTTCCTAATGTGAAGGGACAGTATTTGAATGGAGTGATGGCGGCGAGTAAAAGGGGGGACAAGATTTGGTACTTGAAGTAACGGGGGAAGATTTTGCTTTGCACGTTGGAAAATTCGTCCCTGGTCAATTCTTTGAATAAGACGGGGGAGACAATATAGGAGTAGAATGCAGTGCCTCCAAATGTTAATGAGTAGAAGAGGAAGTGGTAGGGGACTCTGGTGTTGAGACCCAATTGGTTAATGATTGACGACATTTTGGTAACGTAATTGAGTAGTAAATTCTTGTAGAATGAATGGTTTAAAGAAGCAAAGAAAGAAGGAAAGAAGAACGGAAAGAATGGGCGTGGGCGTGGGCGTGGGCGTGGGCGTGTGGTTGTAGTTTATATAAAAAAAAAAGTCTCTCGGTGCATGTTTTTTTTCTGTTTGTTTGCGGCCAGAAACACAAAGCAGTCAAAAGTCACACGCCCGCTAAATGTTTGCTATATTTGGCACAAAAGAGAGAATTAACAACTGTTTGTAACGAGTTCATTCGAGTTATTTTGCAACATTTTAAATATCCAACAGTGACAAGACTAAGACTGAGTGGTGCCTACAATTGAACAACCACCAGACTGAAGTCTGCTATCACTCATTCAGCTCGCTTACTACGTGGGATACCGTGTTTGCTGCAGCATCTGCATTTCTATTCTAAACTCTACAACGAATCAATCATTGTGTAGACATTTTCAAGAGCCCTTTCTTGAACACAAGCTTCGTAATTCATAATGTCCTGCTTCAACAACCCAATTCTATCAGTACCATACCACACGCAATCACTTTGCAAACCTAAACTCATACCGACATCATCCTCTTTCTGCTCCAATTCAGCCCCTTCAACAAAAGTCCGCTTCAAACTCGACACTTGCTCATAATTCTTTGCCGCGACTTCAGCATTATCAACAATTTCACGAGGAATACCACACATCAACGCCACATTCATTCCAAACGAACCCGGAGCCGTTCCATTCTCCAACTTGTACAAAAATGTAATATCTCTTGACTCTTGATCAACAATAATTGCCATCCTCATGGGCTTGACTTGTGGATGCAGTTTGAAAGATACACCCAATGTATTATAATGGGTGGCAAAAAACCCCATTGGTTGTAAATGGGTAGCCAAATGATGTAACACCGACTCAGCAATGGCAAATCCGTCACCGCTAGAACCACCTCTTCCCAATTCATCCAAAATCACCAACGACTTTGGTGTAGCATTACTCAATATCTTTTTGGTTTCGGAAAGTTCAACGAAAAATGTCGACTTGCCTTGCATGATGTTGTCATTGGCACCCAATCTCGTCATTATCCGATCTACTGGGGTTAATCTTGCCAGCAGGGCCGGGATATAACATCCAATTTGACTTAGTATCACTGCCAATGCCGTGGTCCTCATGATTGTCGATTTACCAGCAGCGTTGGCCCCCGTTAATAAACCAAAATTTGGTTCTTCACCACCCAAATGGATATCGTTGGGGATGAAATCTCTTGTTCCCACAAAGCAAGGATGTCTCAATTCTTTGAAATCAAGCACTCCATGATCACTTTGTACAAATTGTGGACGACATGATGGGTAGCCTATTGATTCTGAGACCTTAGTCAAGGCAAGTATACAATCAATGTTGGCTATGCAGTTGATAACTTTCATCCAAGTGGGGTAATGGGCATCAAATTTCGCATACATTCTAGTTCTCAATGTATCACAAACCATCTTGTGTAACTCGCGTTGCTCCATCAATTTCCTTGCGAGCTGCTTCACTTCTGGAGACCAGAATCGTTTAACTTTTGATGTTGCACCCATAGTTTGCCAATTTGAAGGCACGTGTTTAACTAATTTCACAGGAAGTTCAATGAGATAAATCTCTTTCCCTGAATCACGATAAAATATCTCGTGTGACTTGAATTCTTTCTTGTACACCTTCAATAGATCATTTAATTGGTTCTCCAAATCGTCAATGACAGCTTGTGATTGGTCAAACTCGGCATCGACTCCTTTTGCAGGTATTATAATATCATTCAACGCTTGTTGTCTGTCAAACGCATCCTCCCATTCGGAAATTTGCTCAACCATGTCATTGGGGAATGACTGCAAGTACTTGTACAACATCCCGGATTCTGCATGGGCAAATTCCAACATTTGTTTGGCAAACCTAGCAATACTTTCAAAACTTTCAACAACCTTGAGGAAATCCCTAAATCGAAGTGTTCCACCATGTACACGAGCTATTAAACGTTCCAAATCGGGCAAGAGTGTCAAACAATCCTGCAAGATGGATCTCAATTCTGACCCATCGCCCATTAAATAATCAATTGAATCATACCTCAGGTTGATTTCATCAATACGCATCAATGGGTGCAAGATCCATTTCTTCAAATGCCTTTTACCGAAAGAAGTGGTTGCTCGATTCACCAATTTGAGCAATGTACCTTGATCACCACCATCGTAGTTGTTGTTGAGTATTTCCAAATTACTCAAGGTAATACCATCAAGAATCATGTGTGATGTTTCATTTTCGGAAATTTTGTACTGTTTGATGTTACCCAAACTCATTATACTCTCATCCAATTTTAGCGTTTTCAAATAGGACAATAATCCACCAAATGCGTTGAATGCAACAAAATGGTTCTGTTTAAAATCAATGAGAATTGGTGGGTAATTTGAAAAATCATCTAGATCCTTAGCTTCATAATACTTTGATCTAACCAACTGCTCAATAGCAATATCGTAGTCCCAAAACTCTGTGATTGGATTCAAGCTATTCCAAATCTGATTATTTGAATGGGCACAAAATTTCAAGATTTGCGTAGCAATATTGCAAAGATTTCCCTTTTCACAAATGACTTCTTTTGGTTTGACTTGAGTGATTAATGTGTCAAGCTTGGTACACTCGGCGTCATCATGTAACTCAATAAGATTCAATTCAGATGTTGCCGTGTCAACGAATGCAACACCAAAAATTTTAGACCCATCTTCGGCAGTATCCTCTTTAATACTGAGACAATAAGTGGACATATCATCAGTGATCATATCCAAATTCGTCAAAGTACCTCCCGTCAAAACACCAGTCAATTCTCTCTTGATAATTTTTTCCTCTTTGGATCCACCGCCTCTCATTTCCTTGGCCAACATGGATTCTTTTTGATCTACTTTAGCTACTTTGTAACCATGACTAATAAACTCTTTTGCCCAATGCTCAAAAGACATCTCTGGAATACCCGCCAACTTCATATTTGCTCTTCCACCACCAGCTATTTTGAGATCAAATTGGGTGTTTGCAATTATAGCGTCATTCTCGTAAAGCTCGTAGAATTTTCCCTTTTTGAAAAACACAATAGTGTTCCACATTTTCGACTTGATTTCCCAATACTGTTTTTCAAAAGCAGTAAACTTTGACCATGCAGATTGTGGGATATAAAGCGTTCTTGGGTCGTAGTTGGGATCATCGGGAGTTCTCTTTTCAGCATCTTTGATATTGACAAGCCATTGGTACCTTTCCTCATTTTCTTTAGCAAAATTCTTTTTGGTTGTTGGTAATGGTTTAGACAGAAACTGTTTTGTTTGGTACCCTGACGCGTCATATGATGAAGATGCAGTGAATTTATCGGTCAAGTCATTGGTTGATGAAACACTCGAATTAAATGATGTGTTGACATCGGAAGTTGTGTTGGATGCAGTAGACTTTGGTTTGAGAGTGGACCGACTGGTTTTTTTGGGCTTAGGGATATCGTCATCCTCTTCCTCTTCCAGAACAACAGCAGCATCCTCCTCCTCAACTTCATCATCATCGTTGTCGTCGTCGTCGACTACAAAATCACTCATATCGTCATCGTCATCTCCATCAGACATAACTGGCTGAAAATCATCCTCCTCGTCGTCACTTTGATCTTGAACAACTTTTCTTTTTTTACGAGATGATTGAACAACGTCATCTTCATCTTCGTCAGAATCAGACTCGGCATAATTGACCTTTTTTCTTGCCTGGCGATTGGAATTAATGGGACTAGAGTTGAGAGCAGCAACTCTATTGTGCTCCAACTTGTTTTGTTTTGCTGTTTTCAGCGTTTGTTCAGACTCCTGTTTGACTGAGTTGGCATCGGGGGGCGACGTTAAACTTGACGAAAATGACAAGTCTCTAAATTCGTCCTCCTCCTCGTCATAATTCATTAGTGTATCGTTATTTTCTTTATCATCACTTGTCAATTCTTGTTTAACCATTGTTTTAAACTTCAAGGGGGATGAAGAAGATACATGGTTTTGTTGTTGTGATGGCAGTTTAGATGACACATTGGCTACACTCTTGTTGGTGTTTTCATTTTTGACTGCCATGGGTTTGAAGAAGGACATCAAAGACGCTTGCTTTTTCTTTGAGGAGGAGTTAGTACCATTGCTCTTGGTTATATCTCCACCTCTTCTCTTTGGTGTTGCAGCAGCAGTAGTAGTATTACTAGTACCCATGTGTCTTGGTGGTTGGATAGCAATTGAAGAAGAAGTAGTTTCATAAGATACTATTTTGTTGAATAAATTGTATTAATTATTGTTATTATTATTATTTACATAAGAGTGAGAGTGATTTTAGAAAAAAGAAAAAAAAAAAATCGCGTCTCTCTTCTAATGTTTATTTTTATTTTTATTTTTATTTTGCACGTGTCTGTCACACACTTGAAGCTTTTGTGTGATACTCTGAATCTACAAGACACTTTTTCTTAACCTATTCTTTTTCTTTTTTTTTTTTGCAACCTTAATTACTTCAAAGATAATATTATATGTATTTTCAGGGAAGTGCAAGGGTCCTGTAATCTATGAGTAGAGAGCTTCTTCCAGAGATCTAAAAAGAGCTATATATATATAGAACACACTCTTTTACTCAACACACACGAAATAACCGTTCCCTCAAAGATTTTGTAGTCACTTATGACTTTAACAAAAAAACCCTTTCAGAACTCATACAACGATGAGCAAAGGCTCTTCTCCAGCAACCAAACTGATTGGGGACTCTATCATTCCGTGTCACAGGAAATTTCAACAGCTGGTTGATGTAGTTTTGTCGCCATACCAAAAAAACAAAAAAAAAGAAAAAAAATACAAAAGATGGCCATTGTATTTGATCTCAAAATGCATATCAAGCAAGCTCCAAACTTCAAAAAAAACAGCTGCTGCTTCCACAATGCACTTCTTAAGGTTATCCATCCTCACTGCTGCACTTGTCACAACGCCAGTTTGGGCCTCGGCCTCACATCACACTTCAAACCACCCTCAAGAAGAACATGCAATTTTCAAAATCACTTCCCAAACTCATGATAAGGCAACAATTGTCGAATTCTTGCAAGACGTAGCCAACAAAATAGCTATATCACCAGCACACCTAAACCGGTTCCATCAATGGACTACCTCATTAAGCTCATCATCCAACACCCTTACAAAAGAAGATAAGCAATGTCTTGACAATACCATCATCAAGTTCTATATCCGATCGTTGAAATTGACTGACCACATTTACGAAGCCAGTGAATGCAGAATCAATTTGAACCCCAAAATGCAATCGATACTCCAACCAACTCCAAACATTCACAATCTTTTGTTGAGGGATAATGATATGCTTGAGACGCAATTGAAATACGTCTTGATGGATGAGTTCAGTAGGTACCGGCAGTTTGAAAGTTACAGATTCAACAATTTCCAGCATTTGAACTATGACTTGTGTTGCATTATTGATTATCAACAGTTGATGCAAGTTGATTTGATGGAGACCGTTGTGGAGGCAAGTTTGGAAAGGAAAATACATGTAAATGAGGCGTGTGGGTTGAATTCACTAAACCCAAACTTTATTGGAACATCCATTGATTACATAACGACCCATGTGCCAATCAATGGTACGTTTTATTGCAAAAGGGGAAGAAGCTCAACTTGCAATAGGGCCATTGCCGATTCTGCAAATGCAAGGTACAAACTCCCCGAATATTAGAATTTTAATTATTGTTTATGGCATCAGAGTGCCATCCTTGAATACTGTCATCTCTTTCAATTTCCGTGTTTTCCGACCTCCATACGATCAATATGATACTTGACAATCTCTATAGCAGCTATAGAATCCTCAGCACTGTCATGATTACCAACTTGTATGTTTTTGCTCAAATACTTAAATGTCAAGTCTTTCAAGCTTTTTCTCGACGTAGGCGTACTCTCAAACTTTGGATACAAAATTGACGTATCAATAATATGATTATGTACCAACCGCAACGCATTCATGTCATTCTCCAACCCATGCCCAATCAAAATCGTATCCTTATCCATAACCATCCCTAGTTCTTGTATCATTTGATTAAAACTAACAAAACTGCCATCGATTGAAGATATACCCGAGAACCGCGTGTTGAAATCTACAACTTCTCCAAAAGGGAGAACATGAGTGTCCATGACTGTCTTTAAAGTGAAGTAGTCCACAGCAGTAACTCTCATCAATTCAAATCCGCACGTGGTGTACCCCATTTCGCAATCAATTCCCAATACTCGATATTTCCCTCTTTGATCAAAGATCTCGTCAGTTTTCACAAAAGAGCGAAGGCTTTGTTTCTCCTCCACGCTCAGGTTCTGATAAACGTGATATTTGCGACTTTCGCAAGGCTTGATATCTCTGCTGTCATCTTTTGGAGCCAAACAGCAATCATAATATCTTGTTTTATTATCCGGGTTTCGCCGTATCTTTCCATAATGAAATTCACATGTTGTAGGCTCCAACTGCTGGCTCAATTTAAACTCCGTATCGCACCGCTGACAGTTTCTCGTGATTTTAGTATATGGAGAAGCTTCGGGCACTGACATGACAAATCCATACTGTCTCAACTTTGAAATGGGGATTTCTATAGATTTCAATAACTTCAACACATCGTCTTTGGAATGTTTCTTGGTTTGGGCACCCAGTTGGAACTTTTCCGGATGTTGGAGTTTGTAAATTGCATTTCTCAATGTCGAGGCATAGGTTATATGCGTAGTGGTTTTGGCTATCTCGTATTCGATTTCAATTGCCCTCAAGTTCGGCGTTTTCTCAAACGGCTGCTTCCGTTTGATTATACTGGATATTGTTTGAATGTGACGTTTGCGATCTGGGATCTTCGCAGGATGCGTATTCACCTGCCTCGGTAAGATTAGCTCAATGTCTTGTGAAGCGGTTTCAGTTTTCTTAGTGTCATCATGAGTGTCTGATTGTCTGAATCTTTTGTTTGTACCATTATCATCTTCTGATGCCCTTTTGCGAGGGTGAATATCCGATAGAGACATCTGTTGTTGTTGTTGTTGTTGTTGTTGCTGGTGGCGGTGGTGGGGAATCGATTTTCGTTGTTAATATCAAGTGGTTGAAATTTTGCCGCCTCGAGCGCAACCAAATGCTCTCCAAATAGTCAAGTGCGATAGATCTTTCTTCAAAATGGTTTGTTCACGCTCCTTTGGCAGGGTGAGCAAGTCCAGCTCTATACAGGTGTACACACCATATCCAAAGCATCTCTTCCCTAACACCAACTCCAACTCGAGTTGCAATTGTTTCTATCGAAGACGTCACAAAACTTGGCCAAACCAGGCAAAACTCATCGCTCTCATTTTTCGCACTACAAGTATCTCTTTTTCTCAGCCAATTTTTTTTTTTTTTTTTTCACTTTTGTTTTACCCTTTCTTTTCTTCTTTTCTTCGTCGACGTACTTCATAGGATCATTTCTATAGTAGACGTCCCTCTTTGACTCTTCAAAAGAGCCACTGAATCCAACTTGGACGATGAGTTGAATTGGGTATCATTGCAATCAAAGTGAGAAAAAAGCATACAAATGGAATCGATGTAACAGTCGTCTATTGAACTGTCTCGAATTCATTTTCTCGTTAGAGCTTATGAGAGGCGCGATGATCTTTGCCTCTTTGTTTGGTTATTTTACTGAAAATTGGGCATGCAATGATATCTGTCTGACAAGTATTGGAGTGTGGGAAATCATTACATGGAGAGTTACCAATGTGTGTAACTTCTTTTCTGGATGCATCTCCTTGAAGATCTTCTATACAAACAAAACATTTTTTTATTTTTTTTTTTTATACGAGTTGAGTTGACAGTTTTGGTGGGTACTGGTAAAGCTTGTAATAGTCAACGACCTCGCCGTTCAAATTATTTTCGCCTTCAATAGGCAAGTAAAACACGTTTCTCCAGCTAGTCTCTCCAATGACCCAAAAGTCCAACCAATTCTGCTTCAATCCGTAATCGGTTGGGATATCAATGTACAAAGGGTCGACGCTGGTGGTTCGATCGCGGTTAAAAACAGAGGCAATGGCCATCTTTATGGTCAAAACAAACTGATCAATACCAAGCAAGTTCAAACATGTTTGCATTCCATTGTTTCTTCTGTCTGATCTAGGAGGCTGAGTTATTGAATCGGCAACCTCTTCTGGAACTGTAGAATGGTTCAGTCTGGCAGGACTCGAAATTCTCGAATTCAATGAGCTAAATTCCCATGTAGTTAGCCCACGCAAGATTTGGAAAGTCTGCACCAAGCAAAGAAATACTATCCAAACGTACTGCAACCAGCACCAAACCATCAAGTTGAAGTGAAAGTCATGATTCTTGTATCCATAACACAAGTCATCATCAATCAATTTACAGAAAAAGCTTTGGTTATCTTCATCATCAGAGCCAACCGCGTCCTTCAGTTTATCAAAGTACTCAATTGTCAAATGGGTAAACAAAAGAATGGCTAAATTGAGCGCATAGACAAACGTGATGAACAATTTGTGATTTCTAACTCCAATCTCGTTGTATACCCAAGGACAATAATGATCAAAACGGGCAACCAATTTTTTATTGTGCCTAGAATATCTCGACCGAAGTGGTTTACGTACAAACGTGTTGAAACAAAAGTGATCAGTATCAAACTTGCCGCAACTAAGTAAATCTTCAACTTGGGAAAGAATGACCGCATTATCAGTTGGGGTCGGTACAAACCCTGGATTGATAAACATAGCTTTGAAAAAAGACCAAACGAATACTGCAATTACCAACACCATAAACACATTGGAAAAGAAGTTGGAAAACAAAGTGGCAGGAAGTACTTTGAACACCCACACGATGATACACCAAAAGGCTGTAGCCGAAAAGATACCAGCCAAAATGGGTGATTTTGGAAGCGGTTTGTCGTCAATCAAATAAGTTGGTATTATGGTCTTATTGACGACAAAGATTCCAAAGGCAAAAACTGAAAACGCCAAGAACAACTTGGGGAATGCCAAGCCTTTGGATGCAGTGCATATACTTAGTGAAATGGGTAAAAGAATGAATGGTGCAAGATACGTCAATACCTTGCCAACTTTCGCACTGATCCATCTCACTCTTGGAGCCCAGTTGTTTTTAGGATCCAAATCCTTCTCTATCAAAACTTTTCGCCACACATGAAGGCAATTCATATCCTTTGCTATATCGAAGCTGTCTTTTCCCTGATCGTTTTTGACAAAGATGTCCGACCCTCTATCCACAAACGCCTTCATAACGTTCTTGTGGCCACGCATAAAACACCAGTGAAGTGGTATGAACATACTGTCATCAGTTTTTGATACGTCCGCGCCGAATTTTAGCAAGGCATTGACTGTGAATATGTCATTTTGATAGCTTGCCCAGTGGAGAGCCGTTCGATTTGACCCGTCTGGTTCATCTATGTACAACTTTTTCTTGCTATTTTGATCACAACAACTCAACAATAGGTACACCACTAACGTAATATTCGAGCTGTGAACTGCCAAGTGGAGAGCATTATAGGTTTGTAAATCGCGCAATCTTGGATCCGCTGAAGTGTTCGATATCAAGTACTGAACAATGTAAACAAGCCCGTTTCTGCAAGCCCAATGAAGTGGCGTTGCCCTCAATTCTCCTCCGTATAAATTGGGGTCCGCTCCATTCTCAACCAAATACTTCACCAAGGCAAGTCGATTGTTGATACATGCCCAATGAAGCCCGCTGATACCATCACTGAACGTATCATTCACTTTTATGGACTCCGATTCAAGCAAATCTTTAGCCAGTTCGAGCGATCCTTCTTGGCAATATCGCATAAAGTTGGCCAAGTCAGGATTCAAATCTTGTTCAGTAGGTTTCGAAGGTTCGCTTAGAGGCACCTCGTTCAAACTGGATTCCGGTTTATCAAGTACTCCATCTGTCGATTTAAGTGAAACGGCGTCAATGTCGTTTGTGTCGTGAGATTTGGATTGAAGAACATCTAACGGTATCGCATTTGAGTCTTTTGTCGTGTCGGTAGCTCCACTACCTCCGCTCTGTTCTTCTATTGCACCATTACTTGGTTGCTCTACCTTCGTCGTCTGATCGATTCTTGTAGTCATTTCCATGTGTTTGGAAAGTTTTATGAGAATGATCGAAATCAACGGGTTTACACTTGATGATTTTTTATATCCATCTTTTTCTATTTTTCTTCTTTTTTTTTATTTTTTTTTTTTTTTCCAGTCGCGCCGCGCCGCGCCGCGCTGCGCACACTGATGAGATTTAGTTGTTGCAAAATGTGTGACTTGAAGGTTAACTGCGGTTGGGGAAGTGTCAAAGAAAACTTATAGAGAAAAAAATTGCATTATTCTAAAACTATACAAATTTGTTACTTCAATCGATATTGTGATGCAGTAAGGTAGAATCAGTCTCTTTAGTTTTCGCATCAACAACTGGCAGCGGCTTTGATGAAGTAGTCACAGTGGCGGTGCTTGTTTGTGTTGTGGACCCGCTAGTGCCTTTTGAGCTAACACCTGAGGTAGATGATGAGATGCTTGAGCTACGAGGTTTTCTCTGAAGCAAGTCCAAGATTTGGTCTCCAGCTTTGATTGCACCAGGTTTGATTGTTTCATCCACGAATGGCTTCACTTTCTCTTCGACAAATGGTTGCACAGTATCGTTGATAAAACCTGGACGCACCTCATCCTCCGAAATTAACCCCCTGTTCTTCTGTCCAACTCTATCCAAGTGCTTTTCCAACAATAAAAAGTTTCTTGAGTTTGCTTTGTACCCAATTTCAATCAAACTTCCAATAATGGGAATGAACCCTAATGCAAAATCAATAGCAATATTCAACAAAAACAACAATTGCAAATCCAACGGTAATCCGCCCTGTATCTTTCTAGCAAGCACCAACAACTGCAATGACCAAAACGTTTGGATCACAGTACCCACAACCGGAACAACACTGACGATGCTAGACCAGCCAAATTGGACCCCTAGCAACTTGAACCAATAATCGTACCTGTAAGCTTTTTTCTTGAAAGCTTCCAAGATGCTCGTGTCATGTTGGGATATTCCTTCTGGTATTCTCCTGGTGATCTTCTTCAACTGTGTTCCATTTCTTTTCTGGACTTGGACATATTCGTAGTACGGATCCTCGACTCCCAACCTATTCCATTGATTGTCTTTCAAAAGACGATTGACAACCCATTTGACTATGAATGAAGACATTACTGGCGTAGATAGACTATGAGGGAAGTATCAAGTAATTTTTTGGAGCATTGCTATTTATAACAAATATTACATTTTAATGCTGCTGGCACAGTTTGTGAGAAATGACACAAAATCCAGGAGGATATGAAATTGAAATTTACTAAAGTTGCTACTTTACGAGAAACATTGCTAATGACTGATTTTATTACTTACTTACTTACCTACTTACTACCTACTGCACCATACTTTTGCTACGAGTTTACATCTGATGCTCCGAATGTGAACCGCTGTCACTTTTAGGATAATTTAAGTAAGTATGCGTTGTACATACATTTTGGCTGTGGATGATCATGCGCGACCCGTCTCGGTTTAAGCATGTGAAGATGTATCTGGAGATGGTTGTGCGGGATATAGTTAGGAGTCTCAAAGACTGGTTCGGGCTTATGTAAATGCTACTCTGCATCACCCCTCTCCCCCATCTCTCGTTTCAGGACCCAAAGTAGTTCTCGGTGTGTATAGATTAATGGCGCTCCACGCTTTTGAAAAGATTTAAATCCGCGATATTGGATTCACGCCGCAATTTACATATCCTAAATTGCTATAAATATCTAAAACACATAATCCTCCAGGTGACAACAATTCCTTCTTCCGACTAGACACCATCTCTCCAGCTACACAACTGTATTTTAAAAAAAAGATGGCCATTGTGAAAAGGCTCTTCATTAAAGCCTCCAACAATTACGATTCAAATTTCCAGATTGTTCCAGTGAATACGAACCAACCTCTCGAAATCAAGTCCGATATTGGAGTTTTCAAACTTTTGGTGAACATTAAGCAATTCGATGGCTCACAGCCACACTTGTCCAACAGCTTATACAACCAAGAGGATAAAACCTTTCTCAACGGCGAACAAATCGATTTCAATCCAGCTCCAAAGGACGATGGGAAGGAGCCCAACTTGAGAATCAAAATCGAATTCACACCGGAGGAAGACATCAAGGGTAGCGACTTGCTCTTTGGAAACGACTTCACCTACCCCATTAAAGACTACGTTCCTACCACCTTGATGAACACTGGGTTAAAGTTGTTCAATTGGTTTATCAACGATACTGTTAAAGGAGACGTATACAATGATAAACCATATCTCTACGGATTGGCGTTGAATAGTTTCAGCTACATTGGAGTAAATCAACCTAGACCCAAAGGTATCAAAAACGAAAACTCACAGCCAATGGACTACAAGGAGGATTTCAAAGATATTGTGGAACACCCACCCACAACCTCAAATGAGAGAAAGAAACGTTTCAACACTGCCGTCAAGTGCAATGACTTTACTTTTGACAAGGGGCAAAAGTACAGTTTCTATTTCGATACCGATTTCTTGAAATTGGCAGATTCAAAGTACTTGGTTTCCATTCCCAAGTTCGACTTCGATGTGAGCAGATACGCCAATGACACTTTGAATAACGTCAACTGGGTCATAAAAGAAGGCGGGTTTGACGGAGTGGGTCTCGGAAAATTGGGATTGATCATCAACTTTGCCTTGAAGACAGAAGAGAAGGATGAGCAATAGATTTGCATAGACAAACCATGTAGATAACTGGAACTCATTTGGTAGCTTTTAATTTTTTTTTTTTTTTAATTTTTTTGTGTAAATTACTCTTTTGTTTTGTTTTCACTTTTAAGGTGTGTGTGGGAAGTCCTCTATCATCACCTATAGGTCAGCACATCTTACGCCAGATCCTTCAGTCCAGAAAGCAGAAATATGTCTGAAAGGAAACAACATAGTGACAAAGAACTGGAGCCAAATCTACGGCGTTATAGCGATGAGCTAGAGTCCTCCATAGGTGCTATATTTGATGACATAGATTTCAATTCAATACTTAGACAAGATGACATCCAATCAAAAGCTGATGTGGAGACTGGTACTCGAATACCGAATAAAGAGATGTCCAAGAATTCTGAGAGCTATGGTGACGATGACATGAAGGACGCAATCAACAATGCGTTGAATGACGTTTTCGACTTTAAAGACAAACATGCTGGACACGAGACTTTGGGTGATGTGGATCATGCTCCAGAGAGTTCCCGTGTACCACAGATGGCACAAGACACGAAAGGGCCAAATAGCGACCAAAATAGAGATTTGGGCGCACCCTCAGCTCCCAAGAGACATGATTTAGATGATGTAATAGACAGCGTCTTTAGTGATCTTCTACAAGGCCAACCAGAGAATATTGAAGAGCCTCTTCAAGCAAATGTGTCTGAAAAAACAGACACGCCTCACAAGGATGGCACCACGCTTATGCTGGAGATAAACTCTTCAATCCGAACTAGTGCATTGTCTACAGAGAGAAATAACAAGGAAAACGCTCGAATAGAAGAGGAAAAGGACACCAAAAATGGAAGCCCAGGGAGGACAGAACTACAAGATAAAAAGCTTGAAGTGGAACACAAAATTAGTCATTCGTTGAAGCAAGGTAACCACGATGATGCCGATGACGATGAGCTAAATTCAGCAATCCGAAATGCATTGGGAAACATTTTTGAAAATGAAACGCAAGATAATTCTCTGGATAACAAAGGTGTGCTTGAAAAAGCAGAAAAAGAGAAAACAGAAAGACCAGTGAATCACGATGAAGCCTCCTCATTCATAGAAAATAGATCAGTAACCACTCGGAATGAGCCGAAAATTCTGCTACCCAAGAATCAACCAAATGATCAAGAGGGAGTCAAGAATGCTCCAAATGTGGTAGCTAGAGAGGATGTTCCCACTTTGAAGAAGAGTCGACTGCAACCACTAACCGATTTGACTGCGGTTTCAGATGAAAATCTAGATGAGAATTTAAAAGGCATAATAGGTCACGCATTCGATCAAGTATTTGGCAAACAGTCGTCTCGAGATAACAACTCGTATGGGGAACCAAGATATACAGTTGAAAACAAAGCGCATCAGATACTGGTTCCTGATCCTACAAAGTCAGAGAGTCATAGGGGGCCAGCTCCTAGACATGAGCTACGTTATTCAGCGGCGGAAGTGATACGACCTCAGGTTGCACAATCCGGCTCTCCTGCGACCCATTCCTCTCTAGTACGAAGTGAAGAGCAGGACCACGACCAATACTTAGTCGAGGCCATTGGCGCAGCTTTTAGATCTATAGAGGAGCAGGCCACCCCATCGAAACACAGCAGAGGTCTACAATCAGGTGCTGGCACTAGGGATGATGCGTCCAACTCGATAGTTGAGGGTAAAAGTAGTGGTAATATGAATACGCCTGTTGTACAAGAGAAAACAAGGGTCGATGAGACGGCAACTGACCAAGATATAGAAGATGCGATCGCTGATGCATTCAAAAGTGCTATGCTGAGTGCACAAGTGGGCAACCATATCAAGAGCAAGACCGAAGTTCACCATGCGGTGAAACCAAAGTCTCGCAAGAAATCAGTTAGAAACTTGACTCACGAAATTGCGCAACAAGTCCAAGACCGCTTCAAAGATGAACATGGCTCGAGTAAGAAGATATCACCAATGGCGCTTTCACTGTATGGAGATAGTCCTCTGTATTCGGGACCAATTCAGCACAATCGGACGCTTCAAGCTGCAATCAAAACCGCTGTCAAAAGTGCTGTTGGTACCGAGAAGGAGGACGCAATAGTTGACATTGAGGAGTTACAAATGAATGAGATTATAGAAAATGCCCTCAAAATGGCCGCCGAGAACCCGCAAGATCTCATATCCGGCTTAGAGATCGATCACATTGTTGGTGTGCATGTGGAGAAAAAGACTGATAACGAGGAAACTCCACGCAGGGACACCCTCGACCAAGTTATTGAAAGAAAAGGCAAGGGGAAAATCCATAAGCCCGCTAAAGATCAATTACGCGTACCACCATCTCTTGAAGGTAAGTCGAAGTTGAACCACAAGCTGCCCACTCCAGATAGGAATAACAAACAAACTGACATATCATCGAGGCTACTATCGAGAGAGGATGATACAAAGAGTTCATTGCTCTCAAACCCAGATATCAAGTCTCAAATATCGTCTGTTATGAGCTCTTTGACTTCAAAGATCAACAGCGGGGAGCTTGCTGATACAAATATCTTGTTCACAATACGTCAAATAACCGAAGAATTAGCTTCTGGTGGGACGTTAACTAGCTTCTTGTCAAACCAAGCATCTCTGACCGCAACCACGCCGGCTACTGAAAAAGAAGATCGACAGATACTTGCTAATGCATTGGGTATGGCTCGTATTTTCCTTCTCGAATTTGCAACTAAATCGCACGTGCAAGAAAAGTCAGTGAGTGAAATGAACACAATGATATCCAATTTGAATGAAGATTTCTCATCTCCCAGCTTGGAGCTTTCGATTGAACGAGCCGAGTTTATTTCCTCAATTGCCAATGCCACCTTAACAACACTTGTTGACAATACCGCTGATATACAGTATTCGGCCGAGGTTTTCAACGAAGTTGAAGAGTTTAGAAACTCCTCTCCCGAGGCTCGTAGAAGAACGAGAATTGGTAATCGAGAGAGAAAGAAAAAATGGAGAGAAGAAAATGCGGAACGGAATAGAATCATTGAAATAAGGACTAGAGTTTTGAAGAAGGCATTGACTGAGTTTGGCGAGGAGGACACTCCAGACAAATTGGAGTGGATAGAGTCAGAGATTAAACGGAGGAAAGAACGAAGATATGCCCGAGTTCAAACCGATGAGGAGAAAACAGAAGGGGTACTGAAAACTGAGAAGACCAAATCACAGGATGTACAAGGAAAAGTGCAGCATGTTTCGCAAGACAAGCGTTTGATCCACCAAGTTAAGGACGTGGTGAAAATATTCTTTGAAAAACCAGACAATCTGAAAAGCTCATCGGACTTGATTACAGTATCGAGTGTGCTTGGAGCATTATCGTTGATATATTCTGAAACAGTCAAATTCGATGAAGAGATTATGTTGGCTGGAATGAAGGCGATATTGAAAGCCATCACTACACGTGTACATATCCTCGATGGCCATAAAAGCAGGTTAAGCCTGGAAGCGTTGCGGACAGAATCGTCCAAGCGAAGGTTATCAGAGATCTTATTCAATGCAAAGCGTTTAAAAGTGGATCCAGATATCGTTACGTCCATCAGTAATAAGCCGCCACAATCAATGAGTATCTCCGATGGCATAATGAGCAAGCCGAGCCTACAACTACCTCGAGACTCCCCATTTATATCGCACAAGGTAGGTGGTGCAAATGCCAGTGCATCCACTACAGGCTTGCGAAAGCCAGGATCATTTCAAAAACCCAAACCATTTGAAAATCCGAGGAAAGACAAACGCAGCGGGGGCAGTTTAAGCTCCCCAAAGTTGTACTCGACTACGTAGATTATATATATATATATATATACAAAAGACTCAAGAAATGGGGCTTGTCTCACGCAACAACCAATTGTATGCACGCTTGTTGTTCAATTCTAATAACTTTTCGCCAAAATCATGTCGAATACTTTGATGATAATCATTGATCCATTGTATCTCAATTTGAGTCAAATAAGTTGTATCTATCAACAGACTAGCAAATGGAACTTTTGTCAAATATTCGAATCCCAAAAACTTGTCCCCATTTTTGGTTTTCCCAAATGAATCATCAAACTCGGTCACTTCAAGTTCGCTTTCGATTCTGAAACCAGCCTCTCCATCTATGTAATACCCTGGCTCATCTGTGAGAATGGCTCCAGGTTGGAACAAGTCAAGTTTGTCTGTATCGTTGATTGTTGGCAGGATATATAAAGGCCCTTCGTGGACCAATCCAAAGCTTCCAACCCCGTGTCCTAGACCGTGTACATAATCAAGCCCATGGTTCCATAATGGTTGACGAGAATACGAATCCAAAACGATTCCTGTTCCCCTTGATCCTGCAGGGAACTTTGCCGTAGCGACGGCCAAATGACCTTTTAATACTAGAGTGTAGTACTTTCTGAAGTCATTTGTTATTGCAGACTTGTCGAATAGGTAAGTTCTCGTGATATCTGTAGTCCCTTCCAAGTAATGTGCCCCCGAATCCAACAAGTATACCTTCCTCGGGTCGATTACTTCACTTTGGCCTTTCGTCGGAGAATAGTGAATTACTGCTGCATTTGGACCTGTCAGGGAGATTGTTTCGTAACTTAAACCTTTGAAATTCGGCAATCTTCTCCTTATACTGTATATTTTCTGGGACGCATCATATTCAGTAACTTTCACGTGTTTATTGAGTAATTGGTGCTCTAGCCAGGAGGTAAAAATAATGAACGCAAGCGAGTCCTTATACTGCGCAAGTTTTGCGTTGTGTGATTCAGTCTTGTTCTTGAAAATCTTGAGGTTTGCGATGATTGACTCATGAATGATACGCCTTTTACTGAACGAGTCAGGAATCGTATCATACAACGCCCACGAAGTGACTTCTTTGGTAGGAAGAATGATCTTTAGTTCGGGATCAAAAATCGTTGCTTGCAATTTTGATACGTCATGATAAAATTCAGCGTACTCGGCAATAGTTAGGCCATCTATCGTTGTCAAATACTTTTTCAAATCTGAACCACTATTTTCCAATTTTTGGTGGTCAACGTATAAAATTACCTCGGATCTTGTGATTATAGTGTACGAGAAAAATACAGGAGCAAAGGGTATATCAGTGTCTGCTCGTAAGTTAAACAACCATGCAACACTATCAAGTTCAGTCACCAAATAGTGCGTGCCCCCCCTTTCAGTCAAAACCGACCGAACTCTTTTAATTTTCTCATTAGCATGCTCCCCACTGTACTTCAAGTTCCATTCATAAATAGGTCCCAACGATCTCTTTGGTTTTTCAGATCCCCAAACCAAGTCCACAAGGTTTGTGCCAGGTAATGGCTTGAACACAAAATCTGAAGCATTATCATTAAAGTACTCTCCTAAAGAATAGCTGAGAGTCCTTGGATCACACGAAAGGACGTTACTAAAATTATTAGCAACCGCTGCTTTGATGGCGTACTGCTGCCAGGGAATATACCCTGAAGTGTTTTGTTTGTTCAACTTCCAAAGTTTGTGGTCAAGCTGTTTCTGTGCTTGCAAAAAATATCTCCCATCAGTCGACAAGATCGCTTCCCCTGTGAGATGTTCGGCATCGGCCAAAGTTACAATAGCAACACCAGCACTTCCTGTAAAGCCTGATATGAATTCCCGTCTTCTGTCCGACAAAGCGGTATTCTCCGAGTGATGCTCGTCCTCTGAAGGAATGATATACACTCCGATATTGTGTTTACGCATTTGCTGCCTCAATGCAACCAATTTCTCTCCCGGACTAAGCTTGGACACGGCAAGTAAAATCAGATCGGTAGGCAATTCCGGTAAAGGCTCATCATCATCCGAATAGTCAATTACTTCGTTATCATTGTGGACATTTGTGTTGCACTCCGACTGCCTCACAGTTGTGGGAAAACAAACTTGAAAGGGATTGAACATTGATTTGAAAAAGGAATGAGACAGAATGGTATGAGTTGAAATTTCATCCTCTTCCTCCAACTTTCTGGTTCTTGCCAACAACGGCTCCTTTTCGGATAAGAACAGCGACATGTTTGAGACCCGTAACGGTAAGAAGAAAAGAAAGTACTTACTAATCACTTGTTGAATGAATTCTTTCGCAACGTACCGATACAAAAAAAAATAAAAAAAAAGTAAAAACTGTGGTTTATCTTTTGCGCGGCACCAAAATCAACACAACCGTGGAGGTTAAACACCGAGTCAAACCTGTCATCAAAACGAAGCAAATTTGAGACCTTTGACTACAAGATGGGGTTGGACTTCTTTTGAGAAGATCTTAAATATGCACTATCACAATAGATCTGCCCAATGGTTCGTGGAGGGATCAGTCTCAAAATAATAACAAAACGACTCAACTCAATCCTGCTCAACATAGAATTACGCTACCACGTTATCAAAAACGACACGTAAAATTTTGACGACCACCACCACATTATCCGCTGAGGGAGACAATTGACAACTATATACCAATATGTTCAATTTGGCAACTCGTGTACAGTCAGCTGCTAACCTGGCATTGACGTCTGCCAGCATACTATCGGGACTAGTGATTGTCTTGACATTGCTCCAATTGTACAGAGACAACGTTTGGTCTATCAACACCACAACCATTTCCGATATAAATGCAAAATCCTCCGTCAAATATTCATTTCAGTATGGCTCGATTAATAGGAAGCCAAAGGAGAACGTGAAAGTTTCGTTTGATTTAGACACTGATTTGAGTGATCTTTGGAATTGGAACACGAAGCAAGTCTTTGTATATTTAACAGCAGAGTATCCGGGAAAGTCCAACGGTAGCTCAAACAAGGTCACGTTCTGGGATAAAATTATAAAAGACAAAAAGGATGCCAACTTGAGCTTGAAAAACCAAAGAGGAAAATATTCTGTCTGGGATGTCGAGAAGGGTTTCAGAGGAAGGAATGCAACAGTCAAATTAGAGTGGAATATTCAACCACATATCGGACCCTTGATTTACGGCGAAACTTCCAATGTTGGACATCTTGAATTTCCACAAATTGAAAGCAAAAAGCAGTAAAGTGTAATTATTAGTCTACAGCATCTATATAGAAATCATGCTATCTTTTAGTTACAAGTTTTGCTCGCGTCCGTCCCGATCGCTGGATGCACTTGGTATGAATATCTTTGTACTGTTGTGGTCAAATAACAACCGTCTCAATACATCTTTGCTTTTCCGAAGTCTTGAATCTCGCAAAGAGTTCAAGTAATCGACTTTGCCATTAAAGGCATTCAATTTTGAATAATAACTCAAATCGGAACTGTAAAACTTTGATATCTTAGGAAACGAGACAGGTAACAAACTTTTCTCTTTGCCATTTTCTCTGGCGTATTCAGAAATGGCACTTATTAACAACCTCGAAGTCTCATTGAAAAGCCTCGGTTCATTGGAAAGATCTCGCACAGGATTGAAGTATTCAATAAAATCAAACTGACTCATAGTACGAGATCCATATGGGGCCGTTTTGATGTTGAATAGCCTTCCAGAAGCACTTCTTAAAAAGTTGAGTCGTCCCAATCTTTTTGATTGAGCTTTGATTTTGCTCATGGACACGCCGAAATAATCCGAAAGGATTTTGAAATTATCGGCCACAGACTGTTCATCGTATTCATTGTACAAATAGTTCATGCACATTTTGTAACATAGCTTCTTTTCCCTGTATGATTCGAGCTCCAGAAGGTTTCCCTTGATCAAGTGGCCTTCAATTACTTTCATGATATCGAGGAAATGGATTAGGGGTCGTTGTTTCAACAAATGGGATAGAACGTAGTTAATATCAAATATGTTTGGGTGGAGTCCCATGCGTAGGGCATCGATGATTTCTTTTTGGTGATGGATAGTAAATGCATTCGTATCGATAAGGTGCTTCATTTTCTGTATTGTGAAGTAACTCAAGACATCGTTGAGGACAGGAGGGATAGCTGTAGGATTACTGTTACCCATCTCTCTAGCATGTTTAGAAAAGATACCCCAGTAAACCTCCCACTTTTCCTTCAAAAATGCACCATACTCAGCATTGTTGACTTCCTTATAACAATCGGACAAAAATAGGTCTATCTTGACTTTCAAATCAAGTGGCAACTTGCCATCAAATGAATCTTCACAAAACACCACAAATCGAGAGAATAAATCACCCCCTTTCCTTAGACCAACAGATTGCACATACTTTACCAAAATCTCACAGATTAAAGTACTATCCTTCTTAAAATCGAGTTCCGGGTTTGATTTCGATTTATCCGCTTCGAATCCGTACAGCTGAAGCATCTGTTTCAACATATCTGTACTGTTTTTGTAACTTCTATCGTACCTTCTATCAAATGACCTCAATGCTTTCATCACATGCACATAAGACTCTGCGCTCACCAACACGCGTTTTAGGTTCATTTCATTGAAAATTTTCATGACGTTCAAAGGCTTGTAGTTCTGATACACCAAGTTTTGCTTCATAAGCGGTAGAAACAATCTTTCATCTACCCGCAAACGGTAGATGGCTTGCCTCTTTGCGAGATTGTGTAATGTTTTTACGGCCCTCCCTCGAAGGTATCTTAACGAATTCGAACGGGAGTACTCGATGGCGTTTTGACGTAAAGAATCCATTACGGAACTTAAAATATCTATTCCACCGGGGCGAGATTGGAATAGGGTGAATTCGGATTGCAATGCCGAGGATACAATGTAGTTGATTTTAACATCATTGTATCGTTTTGTTTTCCGTGAAATGGGTTGTCTGTGCCAAATAAGATGGGTTTTCAATTGAGATGCATATATTTGCAAGTCCGAAAAAGGTGGGTTTGTCTGACCGTGGGCATAGTAGGATATCTCATCGGCTTTGTTGTACTGTCCAAGCTTGGTGTATGCATCAATCAAACCACTGGCAAAATCAGAGTCAATCTTTTGAAATTGATGTGCCATTTCCAAGAGCCTATCCAAATCTTTCAAAGCGCAATTGCGGGAAAGATGGCTAGCAATCAAACTCAATACTTTCCCAGACACCATGGGTAGTTTTAGGTGGGATTCTTTCTCCAAATACCTCAAAAGTGTTTGCAATATAGTCCCATTTGCTCCATCAAGAAACAAAATCTGGAAAACATAAAGGAAAGCATGCGACATGTTATCCACGTGTGCCCTTTTCTGAAGAACCAAAGAAATATACTCTTCAAATAATTGCTCCACTCCGTCTTGATTCTTCTGTCTTATCTTGGCCTTCATTCTAGCTATAAAGATAGACGCATTCATCATCAACCCTCGATCTAAAATTTGTTCGTACAATCGTTCCAATTCACTATCTGCTTCTAGGAATTCGAGTGCTCGCATGGTTATTCCGTAGTGTACAGTGTCAGGTAGATTACCCTTTCCATACATGTTCTCAAATCTATCCTGTAAAGATTTCCAATCCTTGTGCTGAACACATAAATCAAGGAAAATAGCTTCTTGTGATTCGCTGTCGTGTAAATCCTCGTTCTGCAAGTAAATCTCGTAGATCTTATTCTCGTCAAGTATCAAACATGCTTTCAAAGTGTAGGCAAGGTCCAAATGATTCAAGACAACTGTTCTTGGAAGATTTCTTTGCCTCCATTGCGCCAATTTGAACTCAAATAGCCGATACGTCACGAATGGTGCTGTCTTTGAAAGGTTTCTCATAATGCTAGTCAAAAAATGATACGAAACAGATTCATCATGATGCTTTTCAACAATTTTTATAACTTCCTGGAAATAGTCGTCAAATTTGTCGTCACTTGAAGGAAACCCAATCAATTGAAAGAGAGAATCATACTCAACTATCTTCTCATCAACAAACCACCTGTCACCCTCCACCAATTTTGCACATTTCACAAAAGTCTCAATCGAATGCATTCTCGAACTGCGACTGCTTCCCACAGCTAGAGAGTTTTTGACAAGAATTTTCACCAAATCTTTTTTTTCATGTTCAGGTATGGAGCTACTTCCTAATAACGACATCACCTCTTGCTCGTTATAGTGGAACGTGCCCGAAAGAGTCCTCTGAAGCCCCAAAATTGTTGTTACCTTGTCTAGAAAAGTTAGCTGGTCCTCAGGCACAATTTTCCTAATCGATGGTAGAATAAGCCTGTCATAAACATCAAAGCTCCCCATGTACAAAATTAACAACAAAAGTCTTTCCCTCCGGTTCAATATACTTTTCTGTAAATCAGGTACGACCTCATTTGTAGAGTTAGTCAAGGTTTCCCAGAACAACTCAATAAACGCGATCCCTTCATCTTGGAACTCAAATGATGTATCCACCACTTTGTAAAAATCCTCAGTGACTTTGGGTACTTGCTCAGCAGTTATATGAGCAAGAGTGGATATATACCCCATTCTTGCATCTTCATCAAATAGTAAGGAGGTTGCTATGCTGTAGTCATGGTCTAGGAAGCTGCCCAAAAATTCCTTTGTTGGCGCTTTCGAATGATTGAAAGTTGCATACAGTCGAGTGTTAATCATATTGCAGTAGTTTGTTTCCAAAGGTAGCCACGAATGTCTCGATAAACACTGTAGTCGCAGGATTGAGTGTAGCTCCTTTTTGTCAAAGCACTTGGGTGTCAGTGATTGCATTGCAAAACATCGTAATAAACTCGAATGCTTGCGAGACTTGGGGATGATTTTTAGAAGGATTGAATTATTTCGCAGTCGTATCATCATATGTTATATCATGCTAATGATATGGTAGCCTGATAACTATGTACAAGAATTGGTGTGAATGTAGAATGGCAGACAGCTTTGCACTCGTATGATTTGCAGATGAGAGGTGAAAAATTCTGTGTGCAAAATTAGACACTGAGCTACCAAATACACAGTGATGGTGATGAATCTTTCTACAAAAAAATTTGTCTAGTAGATTTGCAATATGTCAAGGTATTTAGGCTATAAACACTAAACTAGCTTCTTTCAAACATCAGTTCATCAATGCGGTTTTACTTTTCAGAGTCATTAAATCAGTTTTTTTTTTATCTGTAGTCATCGAAGTAAAACTTCTAGTACAGTGTGAATATTAAAAAATCATCACCAAAGCAAAACACACCAGTCAAATACTGCGTTTTCGATGAAGTGACGTTTCAAGGCACTAGATCAGTAGTATAAATGACCATTTCTCTTTTTTTTTATTTTTTTTTTTCAGGCTAGGATATCCCAAGTTAGTAATTCTTCTTAATGAAGCCACGCCTGCATGTTCAGTAAAAACGACCTTTCATCAACTGCTAACCAACCAACATTTCTAGAAATTTGTACACAAGAAATGCGACTCCTTCTCCTTATTTGTACAAAAGAAGGGATTGGTAGTGTGTTATGTCCGCCCGGTCGGATAAAATCATCATAAATTAAGTAAAGCAGAAATATCAATGGCAACAGTTCACATACCCTATATGGGGGAAGTTAGTATATTATCCCACTTTTGATCCATTAGATCCAGTCAAAGTCAATGGCTCATACAAGGCTGAAACTTAACGAATATGCTTATTGTCAACCCGTATACATTCAGTTGGAACAATTGGTATAATGCAATTAATCATCGCCAATGACACAGAAGATCTAAATTGGTTTATTGCTCGCACATACTTATGATTGAAGCTCCATCATCTCTTGACACATGCAAGTCTCAATCAAGATTCTGCTTTGAATTGAAATCAAAAGAAAAGAGTTGAAGAAAAGTTTTTTCTTTTTTTAATTTTTTCTTATTAAATTTTATATTTTTTTTTTTTGCAATGAGGAGGAGGAGGAGGAGGTAGCGTTGAATGAGCTACCATTACGTTGTGAGATTGGGATACTGCAACAAACTACAAGAGACGGTTGTGAGGCTACTATATATTTGATTGCAAGATTAAAAAGCCCGTAAATCCTTTCAAGAACTCAAATGAGACCATGGGTTTTTCTTTTTTCTCTAGCACTTGGGTATTGCCTGTTATGGTCATCACATATCGTTGGCATTCACACCTTATTTGTTGCTTGACCTCGAGGAAAATATAGAGGTCGGTAAAGAGAGACCTTTTGTCTCTTTCAATTGGGAAACCACTACTGTTCCAGTAACTGAAATGAAGAATAGAACCAAAATCAACCAACCATTCAAAATAGAGAATAGAAACGGAAAAACCAAGGAAAGAGAACACTCAAATAGCCAGTGCAAGCTTGTAACAACTATCCAACCTTTGGCTCTTGTCGGGAGGGAGAAGATTTCCAAAAAATATAGCCAGCAAACAGGTATGATAATGCTGTTGAAAACAATGTCCATGAGTACGGTGAGTGCCAATACTATCGAAGAACTAATCTTGCCAAACTCGATGTCCAAGCCCCACTCATTTTCCAAGTTAAGAAGGTGACCTGCTTGGGACTTTTTTGAAAATCCTAGAAACATGATAGCATACACACCCATCAAGATAGTGTTTGTAGCCATTCCCAACATCAAAACATCTTTTCTTCGCAACAAATCAATAATACACAAAGGTATCAGAATGAAGCCGGATCTCATGACCAAGCCAAACTCTTGGACTATTCTTACTTCGTTCAAAGTTCTCATCTGACAAGCTAGCTCTATCGCATGTAATGACTCCAGTAATCTCAAAATACCTATAAGGTCAACCATTAATTGCAACATGATCACTGTGCTTACCTCGCGAAAGTATTTCCTACCAAACAACGTATTCATAGAGCAGTTTCTCACGCTTACTGCGGTGGAATATTTCTTAACAACGTAGTGCTTATCCCCAAGTCGTTTTCTCTCGCGTCGAGATATGTGGCGGGAATTCTTTTCAGAGTTGGCAGATTCAATACTTTCCAACACGTCAGCAGCCAGCTCCCACTTGTTGTTCGAGGCTAGCCATTTGGGACTCTCTGGACAGAGCATCACTGCAATAGATGCGAACGAAAGGGGAATGAGATCAACCAACCAGTGGAATCTTAGATACTGCGCATCTTTTAGCATCTGCATCATGATCATAGGCAACAGGTACATGAACAAACTACCAAGACTGATTGCCAATATATAAAACGACAAGATCCTGCCTCGTCTCTCGTCTGGAATTATTTCATGCTGGAAAATTGGAATAACTGCGTGACTCATGCCAATTGCAATCCCCTTCACCAACTTACCCAATGCGAGCAGCAAAACAGTCTCTGAAACAAATAAGAAGATAATACCAATTATCCAAACCAAGCAGACACACTTGAGTGCCTTGTTGTAGCCAAAATGTGTAGCGATTTCTCCTCCAAGGACACCTCCAGCTAGAAAATTGCCTTCGTTAGATTACAAAACAGGGGGAAGGGAGTGTGTAATCCCATTATCCAAACAAGATTATTTACCAATTGCTCCCAATATGGTGCCTGACCTGAGTAGATTCTCTTCCATTTTCGTTGGATAGTTGTAGAACTTTGTGAAAACATCCAAGTACTTCAAGCTTGTGTATGAATACATCTCCATGCCAGACGCAAACCCAAACAAGGATAAACCAATTCCAACCATGTAGCTGTTGTAAACCTTCACTGTTTCGAGTATCTGCATCTTGCCTACTGATCAAGGTCGGTTTGAATGAACTAAAAGGTTCGGTTGTAAAAATCCAAATTGGGTGCGAAGTTTGTTTGCGCGTAGGAGTGTTTTCTTTTTACTTTATTTTATTTTATTTTATTTAATTTTATTTTGTTAGACCAAATGCTTCACCGATACAGATTGCCATGGGTCATGAGACAGCCACCAACAACTACAATGGACATCTGTACACCCACTTGCAGCTGGTTCTAAAGGGTGAAAAACTACCCCGGAAGCAACTCGTGGTCAAGCAAACCTTAGTTAGCTCACCAACCATTCTAGATATATACCGTGATGTCAAAGTGAGAAGAAATAAACCATTCAAGGGCCTGTCAAGCAAATTGTTGAATGATGCTGAATATCAATACCTAAATCCACCAGATGAGGATTCTCAAATGGATGTGTTTGATGAGGATGACGACATTTTGAGCGAATTGAATGCTACAGTTCTGGAGCCTCAAGTACCAGGGGTGGAGGATCCCGATTTTGAACTCACTCAAATACTTATAAAACACCATTCTGTTTCGATCAATGGAATTGATTTTAGATTTAAGTCTGCGGTGAGATCATGCTGCATAATAAGAGCCAGTCTAGCCCAAGAGGAGGATCATCTCCTCGTGTCATTGAAATCAGGGTTTCTACTATTGCTAAGAATTTTTCTAGTCCCCCGACAGACTACTGAAGAAGATTATGGATACGAACCACTTCCAGAGGAAAAGGGCCTTATTTTTAAACCTTTTATTGTACAGTGGTGGAAGTTGCAACAAAGACACAATTACCCCGAGCTCAATACAAGCGGATATGTCCTCAAGTCATCACCATCAGGTCTTTCCGCTGTTTCATTCTCCTCCTCACAGTCATTTCGCATTTACAAAACTTTAGAACAATCAAATACAGGAACAGTCCTACAAAGCCATTTGAATGTTCCATTGAATGGGAGTCTAATAGATTCTTGCTTCCTTGATTCAAAATCGGCAATGCAATCCGAAATACTTTTGACCTTGATTTTTACTGAGCACAGAAGACTATACATTAATCTACTCTCCTGGTCCAGCTTTTATTCCAACGATAACCATATTTCCAAGTCCACCCTTCCATTGGAAAATACGTTTGAGATACCCATTTTCATTGCTCCGTTGCTGCACAGCTCTGCATTCCTATTCGTCACACCCAACAAACTAACCGTTTTATCAGTGCATGATATCATATCGGGCCACCATGAGTTCCAAAAGATCGATTTTGGCGCAGCTTGTTTCCCTACCAATTTTTATATTCCAAGATCACGCATCAGGAGTATGGGCGATGATGAGGTTGACGAAATACTTTTCTCGTCAGATATAGGGGTCATATATTCTGTTTTGATTGCCAAAAATGGGATTAAGTCAATATCACCGATTGCTAGAGTTTCCGACAGTATAAGCACATTCACATTTGAGAGTACATTTGAAGGATACGAATTGGTGTATGCAAGTTCGGGAGGATCAAACAAGAGCGTTCTACTAGATAAGCTTTATGATGCAGAATACATATATGACATTGAAGATATCACGAAGTTACCATACTCCAGGGCCATGTATTTGGAAAACTTAAATAACTGGGCCCCTGTGGTAGATTTCCAGATTGTTCCCTCATCATTGCCCGATGAACTTGCAACCTTGAGGAAAGATGAGCTATGGGCTATTACTGGGTCAGCATCGAAAACCAAACTCTCGCACATCAAAGATGGATATTTCGGTGCAAAACAGAATGACAGCTACCCTGAGCTAAGAAAAGTTTTACGCTCATGGCTTTTGTCGTTCCAATCTAAATTGTATTTGGTATGCGCTTTCCCATTTGAGACTAAATTGCTTGAATTCGAAGGACTGCAAGATGAAGACCTTTTTGAGGTGGAAGATTCTGGAATTTTTAAAGAGGAGGAAACCATCTTTTGTGGAGTTGTTCATTTCCCATCCTTCATTGTCAATGGCGTTGATTTCGTGATACAGGTTACTACAAGTTCGGTGCTAGTGACGGACTTGGGGTCAAAGTGCTCCTGCATTGAAGACTTGTGCATAATTTTTGCAGAGATGATTGACAATCATCTTTTCTTGATAATTGAGAGGGAAGGAAACATTTTACTTCACAAGTATGCGATTGAACCGAAAACAGCAGCCGGAGATTTATCTCCAGTCATCGATGTTTGTGTTGTGTCTGAGACGCCCATAGATTTCCAACCGTCAATGATGAAGAGATGCAACTTTCGAGGTGGTGAGGTACTCGCCATTGGAGCTTATGAAGGATTTGTCAATTTTTATCCCACAGATAAGCCGATAGTTTCAATAATGGATGAAATTGGAAGAATACCTTGTGCTACCAATGGCATTCCCCGCGATTTGGTATCCACAAAGAGTCATATCTACGTTGGTAGTTCCGAAGGGTATTTGGTTCTGTTCACGCAGGAGAACTTATCTTGCGAAGAAAATTTCAAAATAGGCGATTACGAAGTCAAACTTTATCTCAGCGAGGACAATGATTTTGTTTACATTCAATGCCGAGATTTATTCATGTTGGACTTGAAAGTGAAATCATACCCAAAGCCAGTTCAATTCAATGATCTGAGTCCAAAAGCAGTGAATGCATTGATTGAACTTCCCGCAAATCCACATTATCTAGCTCACAAACGATTGGGTCTTTTTCGAAGCAACGGTTTTGTAACTGCTCACGTCACAACATACACACAGCCAGTCATCAAGCAAGTACGTATACCGGATGAAACAAAGAGACTTTTATTCCTATCGCACATTTCAACATTTCTTTTGTTGGGGAACTCACGCAAGAGTAAACTAAAGTTTGTAGACCATCAAACTTACAGAGTATTGGACCACTCTGAAGCTAGCTCGAAGCGGTCCATGGGAGAACAAATTTTAAACAAGGAGGAAGTTGGTCTTTGCGCTTGTGTTTGGTCAATTCAAAGGCGAGACAATACTACACACAAGGTGCTTCTAGGGTGTTCCAACACCAAGAATGAGAAAGTTTCTGGCCTGGTGAAAGTTTTGAATATAAAAAAGTTGAAATCAAATGGAAACTTGTCTATTAGCGTTTTAGAATTGTCTTCGTTTGATCACTCTGGACCAGTGACCCAAATACAACAAGTTGATGATAGAATCATTTTCTGTGATGACAGGGCAATCTATTACACGTCGTACGATGAAACTGAAAAGCGATTTACACCAGTTGAAACATTTACAAAACTTCCAAGTGAAATCACGTCATTTACTGTTTCGGAAATGAAAATTTTGGTTTCCACTAAAGATGATTCCGTTTTTCAATTTGATTCTTCACTGCTGACCAATGTCATTGCTTGTCACCCCAAATCGATAGCAATGATAAATCAGGTGAATTATGAAGACAAGGTTATGGTTAGCACTAAAAACTCACAAGTTATTATAATGGATAGCAACAACTCCACATTGTATCCAATGAAGGGGACGAAAATACACTTTTCAGGTGTTGTGAGACTTACTACTGCCAGTTTAAATAATTCTTGGTTCGAAAATAAAAGTGTCGGCGAAATTGTTCTTGGGATGACGGTTAGTGGCGAAGTCTTTTTACTTCGACTTGTGGATGAACACGGCAACGAGATTGAAAATCTTATTGCCAATTTCAACAAAAACTCAGCCTTCGAATTGTCTTTAGTGGACTACTTGAACAAGTTGAATCGTCCATTCATAGGGAAATTGAGTGGAACCGGATTGTTATCACTCAACAAGCCGTATTTTGATTATCCTGGGAATAGGCATGACCCCGAATCAAAGTTACCCGAGGTTTTGGACTCCAATCTCGATGAAGTGGCGACGAATATGACTCAATTTAATTTCTGAAACATCTCTCGTTAACTATATATATGTATACGTATATGTATATGTAATGTGTATACGTATAGAGGGGTATTTAAAGTTTAGCTATTTTGACTCGGCTTCAACCTCGACCTCAGCTTGTTGTTTTCTGCGTTGCCTTTCGAGTCTGTACTGTTGGGCTGTTATTTCCCCCTGTTGACCTTCTTCATGGGCACTACGAAGTTCCTGCAACAAATTTTTTGCTCTTGATCCAATGGGCGCGTCTTTCTCCCCAGAATTGCTATCCTCAGTGCCATTATGGTCCTTATCCAAAACATCAACGTTTTCTTCACCAAGTGAGTCCGATCCTTCTGAAACATCTCTTGTAAAATCAAAGGAACCAGATTTTGTGGGGGATGTCAGTCCATCATTGGAATATTTACGACTATTCTCCAAGATTTGACGCCTCATTAAAGCTTTCTTCCTAGCAGAAGATGGTTCCCCTTTAGCTGGACCCACAGCCTTCAATCTTTCCAATAATGAATCCATAACACCCTCGTCTTCGTCATTTTCAGTGGTATCACTTGGAGTCGCATTACCACTGCCATTTTTCTTAGTTGCAGATTCGGCCAATTTTTTCCTTTGCTCATAAATTCGGATCTCTTCCTCACGTTTCAAGTTTTCGGTTTGGGCACGTTTAAACTCCTTCATAAAGCTTGTGAACTTGCTGATGAACGAATTCTTCACAAACAGATCTTGCGCATCCTCACCAAAATAAAGCATCAAGTCTTCAAATTGCTTCATTGTAAGATCGGCCTGGTCACGAAGTAATCCCGCTTTTCTCGACGCTTTAGGTAATGCAGGCAAAACTGTCTTCAAAACCCGATCCAGCGGATGAAACTTGGATATATCCGACAAGTTTCCAATATCGACCGAGCTCTGTACGTTTTTGATACTCTGAACATATTCTTTGCAATCGTTATAAATGTGTTCGATTGAATACTTTGCGGTTTCGTGACACTTTGCTAGCTCATCAAGGAACTCAAGATACTCCGGGTATTGAGTTCGAATAAGTTTCTCAACATAGTGCAAAAAGGTCATACTATTCTTCTCATCCTTCATAAAACTTAATCGTTGCAATGAACTCAACTTGAATCCGCGGGCCTGCTTCGACGAATCATTCATGTAATTTCCCACAATCAAAATTATTTCAAAAACCCCCTTCAAGTGCTTCGAGTTTTTTATACTGTCAACAGATTCATCTATAGCTCGGAGTTTGAAAACAAGATCTTCATAATCTTTTTCGTATTGGGCAATAACGGACAAGGCTCTGGTTCTTGACTTCCAGTAATGCTGCAAATTATACATCAATTCCAAGAAGATTCTATCAGGTCTCTGGAGTTCCGATGGATCTTTGTCTGGCTTCGTAATCTGGTCGCTTTTGTAGTCAGTTGAATATGGCTCAAAGTTTCTTACTGCTGAATTTGTGATTTCTGTTATCTCATCTTTTCCAAAAAATTCAAGCACGCTTAAGTTGGTGACAACATCCTTATCGCATCTCAACACTTTCATGACTAGTTCTTCGTCCGATAACGAACTGAATGCATGCAAGTTAATACTGAATAACTGAGAAACATCCCTGGATAAGAAAGACACCTTATCTATGTCCTCTTTCTTCTTTGATGCCAATTTCTTGATTTCTTTAGCAGCGAAAATGAGTTCAATCTCATCAAACACACCTTTTGACATCAATTCAGTAGCAAGTGAGCCGGAACTTGGTTCCTTCCAAAATGAATTGTCAACTTCTGTATGATCAATCTTTTCCCAGTGCAATTGTTTCAATTTCTTCTTTGGTCGTGGAAGATTTCCAAAGATTGGAGAGACCAATGATGCTGGGGAAGAAAGCTGTGGCGAGTTCCTGGATGACGTGGCACTTGGCAATGGTGGTGGAAATGGAGGCGCAGGAGGCGCAGGAGGTGCAGGAGGTGCTGGAGGTGCTGATGATGACCCATTCAAAAATGGTGGTGGTGGTGGTGGTGGAGGAGGAAGGGCAGGCTGCTGCGGAGCAGAAACTGGCTTGGTTGTCTCGCCTCCCAACAAAGGTGGTAAAGGAGGAGGAGGTGGAGGAGGAGGAGGAGGAGGTGGTGGTGATGGTGCAGCTACTTTTGCTGTAGATGTGGAGTCATCAGAGGATTGCTTGGGTTCAAAATCGCCATTTGGCGCTTGCAAATTGGGCTCATCTACCTTCTTGGGCGATTTCGTAGAAGCTTCCTTATTTACCACAGAGGCGTCAATCGGTTCCGCCAAGTGCACTTTGTTACTCAACTCTTTAAGGAATTGTGGATCCATTGAGCCAATTGTTGTCATTCTGTTTACTCTCTTGTGCTCTTTTGTATCTCCTCTTGTAACATCAGCATTGGTTTGTACTTGGCCCTTCATGTATTTGTCCTCTAATCTGTTCATCACGGAGCTTCTCTTCTTTGGCGACTTCGGTTTATTCGCTTCAGCTAATTGCTTTCTCAACTCATCTCGTAATCTCTCAACTTCTCCCAACACTTCCTTTGTTTTGTCCTTAATTGAGTCGTCGGCACTGGATGTGAAAGAATAATCCTCCTCATTTTGAATACTGAAATCAATATTAAAGTCCTTGAAGCTAGACTCCAACTCTTGCAATCTCTCAACCGCGAGGTATTTTTGTTTGTTGAACATGGAACTGGTGTTAAACTTCATGATATCATTCGACTCACTTTGCAAGTTATACAACTTTTTCCTCAATCCATCAAGCTTCGTTAAATCATCTTGGCGCATTCCTCGCTTCTTTCCTGGCGACGGGATCGGTGGCAAGACAATTTGAGACTCTTGTTCTGGCTCTGACTCAACATCTGATTCTGATTCTGATTCCGAAACAATGTCAACAATTTCCGGTTCTGAAGGACTTTGCTCCTCCATCTGGGGTTCAGTATATGTCTCAAAATCAGTCATTTCCAATTCTCGAGCCATGTTCTCAATGTCCCCCATTTGGTCTCTCAAGGCTCTCAACCTTTTCAGCGGTTCCACTTGGGTGCCTAAACGTTTATTATCTAACCTCGACTCGGCCCTACGGCGGTGGATTTGCTTCCTCAACCTGTTCGCCAACTCCGCATTCGATGTTTTCAATGATGCTGTCGTTCTCTTGCCCTTTTTGGAGACTGAAGTTTCAATATCACCACTATTCAACATGACCAAAAACTCTCTCATTTCAAGCTCTTGCTCTTGTTTTTCACGCATGTATTTGGTCTTTAAGTTGTTAATTTCTTCCTTCATCTCCTCGTTGGTTCTTCTAAATCTTTCAATGATTAGTTCTCGCTCGGTGACTTCATTCTTCAAACTTGTAATCATTCCCTCGGCACCCATTTCAACCTGTCTTGCCATTTCTTCACGTTCTGCGGTTGCTTCCTCAGCAACCTTTCTATAGTACTTTACCTCCTCCAACGCACGCCTGTACTGATCATCCGTGCTCATATTGGCGTACAATTTATTTATGGCAATATTCAAAGCCGCATTTTCATCACTACTTTGGTGAGATGACAAGTTCTGTATGATGCTGTCGAGGATGCGCAAGTTCTGACCGAGCTCTTGCTTGTTATTTTTCTTTTCAGACTGAATGAGATACAAATGTTGCATGGCACTGAGAAAGTGGCTTTGATTTTCGGATTCTCTAAAATTGTCCCATAATGACCTTACCAAATCAATGGGATCATTGAAATTCAAATCGCCATCGAAGCCCAGCACAATTTTCATTTCCTCTTCATCATCCCTAGCCAGCGCCAGAAACCTTTCTATTTGTTTGTTGACTTGAGAAAATTGTAAGGATTGGAACTTGCTGAGCAACCGATGCAAACCAGCTGCCTGGAACTGTCCTCGTAATTGGAATCTCGCTCTCAAATCTGGAGCATTATCAAGTATGACGTTTATAAATAACATTGTTGCTTCACAATATTCAGGAAAGTTGCTTTCCTTGGACGTAGATCCGACGTACTGTGATTTAATTTCTTCTCTTTCGCCGACATTTGAATTAAACTTACCTGTGGCATCAACAGTTCTCTCGACTAAACCCAACCACACCTCAAAACGCTTGCACCTGGCTGGTGGTTGTTTGCGAATCAAGTCTCTTGGCTTACTTGGGTTGTTTTCATCATAGTCTTCGAAATCATTATACACCTTCTCGTTCAATGAATCCACAGCGTCGAGAACTTTCTGATACCGTCTAGTGTTATTAGATTTGTATGATATAACAAACGTAAGCACATCGGATGCCAATTTTCTCAGTATCAATTTCGGTGATAAAAGACTGGCAATGACTGCATTCACAACTAAGTCGACATCGGTTTTTATCCTTTCTGCTCCCAACTTTTGATTCATGACACATTTCAAACAACGCATAACGTAATGCTCCCTGTCAAACACGTCATCTTTGTAGGAGATGATCAGCTGCGATTCCATTCCAGCACGAAGTTTCTGCAAGTACACCGATAGCAAAGCATCGCCTTTAAAGTCATGAATAAACTCTCGTATCCAAGGTATAGGCTCACTTCGTAATTGTACCCATAAATATTTTAATTGAGATGATGTGATTGTGTGATTTCTCAATAATTGGGCATAAGTCGCCGGTACCTCACTAGTTGACTTGAGCTGTCGTTCATACTCGCCACGTATATCCTGTTCAATCATCGTCCACTTTCTATCTGTGTCGTAGTTTAACAAGTCTCTTGCTGCTTGTGGCGGTAAAGCCTTTACATTTATTTTTTCCAACAAGACTTTAAACATTTTGTCAATTTCCAAAGCAGAAGATGGACGATCTACATGAAACTTTTCAACCCCGTCTGTAGAGCTCCTGTTAGGTCTCATAGCAGAGTTGAGTGATATATTTGTTGACATTCTGCTTAATAGATTCGCGCTCGTTGTCGTGGCGTTAGTTTGCTGACGAGACAATTGCGTTGGGGTATCATAGGGATTGAAAGCCGCTTTTTCTGCACCCATTGTAGATACAGAGTAAGCGGATGACTTCCTTGTATGCGGAGGAGGATTCGAGTACGGGGTCGGGTTTGCCGCTGAGGCTGATCTTGCAGAAGTAAATTGTGAGTTTTGGTGCTGCGGTAGACTGTGCAGCAGCAGCACCAGCAGATGATGATGATGTGGGTTTGTTGCTTGTTGCAGATAAGTTTGTTGTTGATACTGCAACTGCTGCTGAAATGGATTTTGCGACAGCCGTCTACTATGTGATGACAGCTGCGTACCAGCTGATAGAATGCTTGCAGAGTCTGTCGACGACACATCTGATAAACTCTCATTCTTGTGATGTGGAATATGGGCCAGCCGTGGCTGAATGTCCTTATCTCTATGTCGTTTTAGGCCAAACATGGAACTGGAAGTTTTGCGAATGCTGTTACCTCCACCAGCACTAGCACTAGCACCCATGTCAGATGCCGAGTCTGATTGATGTTGCTCGTTTGACGCAGTTGACGAATAAGATTGAGATCGACTTAGTTCATCATTTGCCTGTGAAGTATATTGACTACTAAAACTCGTTTGTTGTTGATAAGGGTTACTAGAGGGAGGGCTGTTGTTGAAGGAACCCACAGGCTTCCTTTTCATTGTCTGGTGTAGTTCCCTATGCACTCACTCTGGGGATATGTAATTGATGGTATATGGACAATGTAGCTCCTATGACTGTTTGATATGAGTTACAGGACTGACTAGAGGGTTGTGGATACAATAGTCAGTTGTGTTCGGAGGTGGCCAAAGGTAACTGATTTTTGGTTGTAAATGTTGAAAACGACGACAAAAGCAAAAGAGAGAGAGAGAGAGAGAGAAAAAAAAAATATTAGTCCTTACATATGTTAAAAAGAAAGAAAGAGAGAAGTTCTTTAGGGAGAGAAATATTTCAAAACACAGTGGAAACACATTCTATACAATGGATAACACACACAGAGAGAGAGCTTTATCGTGGACTCTGTTTTGAGCAGATGAGAGGGAATATTTAAAGAACCATCTTTTTTCTACTTAATTTGAGAGGGGACAATTAAACGAATTCTTTTAATGCTGTGCATTACAACGACATAAACACTCTCATTCAAAACTGCAAGTAATTGAAGACCACCTCAAGGATGCTTTAATCATACTAAGCACCGTCTTATCCACCAGAAACGCGTCTTTTGAATTTAACTCTTTTAAATCCGCCTCTGGCACACTTTTGGTTCAGTCTAATGGTTAGAATTAAATTTGTTGCACAAAGCTTCTAATTGACAGACAATAGAAATCGCCACTGCCAAAAAAAAGCAAGCGATTAAGAACAGGGCAGCAGCCAAATAGAACAATGGATGTAGCCTCGTTCTGATACACAAGTATAACGGAGACACACGAAGAGCTCACAGCTGGTGATCACCGAGTCGAGAGCAGTGGTCGTTGGGGTTATTGAGCAAATTGTAGGAAATCGGTAATAAGAATAATAATAGTGAAAAAAAAAACCTCCCATTGCCACCTGCAGAAATCTACACGCGCGCTGGTTATGGTTGTTTATGGGGCAATTTGACGGACGAGCCATGCACAAAACTTTTCAAAGTCGTCGTCGTTTGATCAAGTTAAAATGAGAGTAGGTCACGAAGTCTACGGGTGGAACGCGAGCAATATACTATTAAGAAAATATCACGAATCCACATCGATACATCAACGGAATTGAGCTGAAACAGGTGTTGTCTTTTAAGGAAGTTGCAAAGCGGCTGCTTGAGTGACTTTACAACCCAGGCAAAGCCAAACTTCAGTTGATTGAGACTACACAACATATATCGTGTATACCTCATGTTCAAACAGAATATCCATTGAAATCATCTGAGCCTCACCTTCTTTACATAGCCCTAATGTTGGCTTCCATCAGCCTCCATATTCTCAGCCAACATTTCAAGTGTTTGATCCAACTCTTTATCCATCTTGGCTTTGAATTGTTTGCTCTTGGATTTCGACCGTTTCAACCCATTGTTACTCTTTGCCTCTGGACTGTTTGGTTTAGTCTTCATTTTTTGTAGGATTAATTGGGCCTCTGTGAGCTCTGCTTGAGGCTTTCCTTTTTCCGGTGAACTAATTGCCAGGTTTGATCCCAGACTCGGTTTCAGCGTAGGTTCATTCGCATCTTGCCGAGGTTTCGATTCTTCCAGTTTTGGCTCTGATCTCCATTCGGTCTTTGCGTCTTCAAACTCACGGGCATCGGAATCGTCTTCAGGAGTTGCCAATTGCGGACCTTCTGACTTGCTCACTGACGATGGCGGGACGATCTTGTATGAGGTGCTAGTGTCATTCGACACTGGTGCCGACTCTTTGATTTCGTCAGCATTCATCGATTCGTTTGATTCTACAGTTTCTGTTCTTTCCTCTTCCTCAATTGACTTTCTAGCAGCAACCGAATCAAATGACTTTTTTGCAGCAGAGGTATCGCTCGGACTCAATGTGGTTGCATCAAAGGATTTGCTTGTCGTAGTGTCAGACTCTCTACTAGCACCCCTTCTCTCTCCTCTGTCCGGTATCAAACTCGAAAATGCTTCATAATGTATTTCCTCAATATTCAACTCGTTCAAACGATTAACGCTCTCTCTCAATCCTAATTTAGAATAAAATATCTTGAGCCTGCTTTGCGCAAGCAAAAGGTAAATCTTGATCAATTTTGATTCTTCCTCATCATCCAAATTCAAATCGTATACATGACCATTTGTCAAATCCGGATCACTTGCTGCTGCTGCTACTGCTGCTCCTACTCCTACTCCCGTGGATGAGCTTGTGGTTGGTCTAGTACCAGACGATGAGCTTGTGCTCGCCCGTTTATAAAAATTCGAGCCAATGGTACTTGTTACTGCTGCACGGTTTGCATACTCATCAAAAAGATGTAGCTGCTTCAACTTGAATACATTAGACTTGATAACCCTTAATTTGGCAAAGAAATCGCACAAATTGCGCAATTTTAAAACACAATAATGACACAAGGGGTAAGAAGCAACCATCACCTCATCCACTTCAAAAATCTTGTAAAGATGAAGACGACAATGTTCCAAAGAGGTGCTCCTCGATTCTCCACAAAAGGAACAAGGATCCTTGATAGTAACCGACAACAATTCAGGATCAACTTCTTTTTCATTTGCATGCTTCAAACTTCCTTCGCTATACCCTTTTACTGGTTCAATAGAGACCCTTCCTTCAATAAGTGAGCTCCAAAACACCTTGTACTTTTGCCATCGATTGAGTAATGTGGTAAATGGGAGGTTAGGTATATGCGCAACGGTATTCTCAATCTCATCCGTCCAAATTTGTTTAAAAAAAGCGAGGTTCTTCAAGTGGGCTAAATCAAGGGTGAAAGCTGGTTTGATCAAAGTATAGACAAACCCTTTGAAATCCTTATTGTAGTTATTTAAATCAAATCGTAAAGACGTAATCAACGGGGCGTATAGACTGCTCGACAATTGTTGTGTTTGGTAATCATCATCCCCAACAGAAGCATTGTCAAGGCTGGACTCCTTTTGATCGAGCTTGGGGGTGCCATTATGACTTGAGAACAACAATACACGCTGTTTGTCTTCCATTTTGAGAAACATCTGTTTCAAATCTTGCAACTGATCCTGTAGATTACTTATAATGATATTCTTTTCATCAATCTCTTCAAACAATTTCTTGTTTTTGATCTTGAAATTATAAGTTTCTCTTGAAGCGTTTGAAACCATTGTATTTGCTTCATCAAACAAGGAGGAGGTCAACTCTTCAACTTCGATATTCAATTTCTTATTCTCATTCTCAACAACTTCCTTTCTGATGTTCGCCTCCTTATAATCTTCCTGAAGCTTGAGATATTTCGGTAAAATCATTTGATAGTTTTCATCACTTTTAGTCAAAACTGCATTCTTAGATTGTAGATCATTGATAGTCTTGCGTAGGTGCAATACAGTTTCCTCCAATTCAACCTGCCTGTTGACAGCAGTAACCAAGCGTGTGGATAGATTACCAATTTCTTCTTCCAATCGTTTCTCTATGTCTTCCGCATCTGCCATTGCTGTTGAAAAAGCTAACCAAATTGATTGATTGTGAAGCACTGACTTGCGTTCCACGTAGTTGATATTTGTTTTTTTTTTTTTCTTCTTCTTCCGCCGAAAGGCACGGTGTATTATGTCAGTAGTTACATAATGGAATGTTCACACTCTGGGGTGCGTTGGGTAGCTTTGAGATGTGTTAGGCTCAGGATAAGGGCACACGAGGCTAGCTAAGGAAGGATATGCTACTGAGGGACTCAACGATACTCTTATGTTTCCTCGATCTTCGTCTGTGAGTGAGTTGGCTGGGAACCTAACTGTTGAGATGTACCACGTGCTTATCACGTTCCAGATTGCTCTCCACTTTTTATCAATGACACAAACTTGATGGGGGTTCAAAAAAACTTTTAGAATCATTGCTTATCAAAAATCAGGTGCTGGTGACTTATGGACTTTACGGCTCTCAACAAGCCTATTGGATACAGTAAGGCTCCCTTACAATATGGCAGGTCTGCATTGACATATACCAATACCGACAATGACCATCCAGTTGAAGAAGGGCAGATAAAGAACTTTGACTTTACCAATTTGCCAATTGATATCATTGAAAAGGTTATTGGCAATCTATCCCAATTTGATTTGTTGAACATGTGCCGTACTAGTCTGCGAATGTACAGGATATGCAGACCAGGGTTATATCATTGTATAATCATTGACCCGCTGTTCAATATATTCGCTCACGAACTTAGAACCGCCGGAGTAACATACATCAAGAGTTCATACAATTTGAAAGTGTTTTTGAAAATCCTCAACAAGAACCCGGACTACAGCAATGAGATTTATTCCCTTTCCTGTAAGGGTCTCCCAGGAGCATTTTTTTGGGATAATCTCATTAAAGACTTTATTCCAGTGTTTAAAAACCTTCATCATTTGCACAATTTAATTTGGTTAGATTACAATTTCCCAATACAGTTATTGAATCAATTACCTAAGAAGCATCTCATAACAACGTTAATTCTCAGGTTTGAATACACAATCCCCGTGATAAACACACACACAAATCATACATCATTATCCTTTCCCAATTTAAGCAATTTTCAAATCCAGCATTTTCGATCGCTGCCAATCTTGCAGCAAGTGGTTGATCTAGTACTGTTGAATGTCAGCGGTGGAGGGAAAGTAAATGACAAACTACGTGTTTTGTCTCTTGATTTTATGGAATTGGGCGGCAGCATGGATATTTTCCAAATGGTGTTTGAGAGGAGTGCTTTGAAACATTTACCCAATTTGACATCACTTTCGTTGTTCGATATTAGAGTGAGACCGGAGGACGCCGATACCCTATCCAAGGCGATTAATTTACTGAATTTGCAGTTCTTTCTAGTGAGGGGATTTGTTTCAACACTCGAAGACTCGTTCCTATCACGTCTAGCATCAAGGTTTCAACGTCTTCGTCATTTATCATTGAATATATCAGGCGAAAGAGGAGATGCGACTGCGGACTTTGTGCTGAGTCTTCCACAATTAGAATCCCTTGACATCGTATCTGGAACACAGAGCTCCGTCGAGCTAGCACAAGCAATTGCAAAACACCACTGCTTGACAAAACTTTCTTCCGAGATCTATGATATACCTTTGGAAATGGTTGTCGATTATTTGTATGATCCTCCATCTGAATTCTATTCGGTTTTATCCTCGCTCAATTTAACCAGTCTTCGAATCAATAACACAACAAATATGAATGGACTAGTTGAGCTAATTACGTCACAGAAGCAACTCAAGTTTTTGGAAATATTAGGAGCTAAAGCTGGTGGTGCACCAAATTTGGGTCTTGGCATGGTCCATCCCACAGTGTTTGATAAATGGTTCAGAGTGCAACATGTTGCGTTATTTTATCTCAATATTAATCCGGGAATAGAGTATATTAGAGTCAATGATTGTGTTTTCGAGTGTAAAGACAACAAGACTGTGAACCCGAGAGATGGGTTAAATGGTTGGTTCAACGAGAAAGTTAAAACCAAAAGCATAAGGGAGGGTATGTAAGTAGTGAGAGGTATATATTTAAACAAGTTGTGGCAGTTATTTTGCATGACAATTTTTGTGCGAAGTTGTATGCCAAATATATTATTCTATAAGTATAGATATATGCTTACTTTGTTCTTACTTGGAGAGCCACCTCGATAGAAAAACAACCTACATTGACAATAAGTATGTTAAGAAAACTCAGTAAGTCTCGTTTACCAAATTGTAAATGTAAAAGGTAGATTCCTTAAGTGTTCCTTATCAGGCAATCACGTGATGCAGGATCACGTGCACCAGCAATTTTGTATTTTCATGTGTAGTAGGATCAAACAAGAAACCACCCTTAATAGCCGCGCTACTTATTCACAGAGAGGTAATAAAACAGGAGTGCATTCTGGTACTTCAGACTCCCGAGAGCTTTGTGGTACCAGAAACTTGCCATTTTTGCGGTAATTTGTTTGCTTCTATTTCTCCAGAACTCCGAAATGGAGCAAAAGCTGAAAAAAAAAAATAAAAAAAAAAAAGAAAAAAAATTAAAAAAAATTGACTCAGTTTAATTTCTTTTTGTTGGGTGGGGATTACTTACAATTTGTAACAGCAAAATACAATTCGCATAGTTTTACCCCTCTTTTCTTACGCGTGTGCCGTAAACACAACCTCTTTCCCTCTTTGTAAACCAATCAAAAACGTTTCTAAACAATACTTGTCCCCCCCAAAACTTATACGCTGTGAGATTTTGTCTTTAAAATTAAAACTCAACAATCGGAGTACTCTAGCTTAACTTGCTTTAGCTTAGCTCTAGCGATTGTACTCATTCCCACATATTACACCTTGTACAGGGTAACATGGATGAATGGAAGTCAATGTCTTGTTAAGGGGTCACTTATTGTTTATTGAGGGTTTCTAGATTTGACACATCTTCCTTCGTATGAACGGAAGTCTTTTAAATTAGTCACACTACCTTTGCAAAAAAAAAAAATATAATAATAAATAATATCTGTGAGGCGTTTTCTTTGAAAGAACATAGGAGTAACAAAATGTAAGCAAAAAAAAAAAAAAGAAATTTTCTTCGGAAAAACTATGTTCACATAGCCAATTATACCTTGCACACAACACACAGCCTGCGGTAGTACGGAAGGACTGGACCCATATCTCAACACAAAAGTGCATGTTATTAAACTTTAATACTTCCATCCACCCATTCCAACCACAAAAAGGTACAACAATAATATCAATGCAAATTTTTTTTACTACCTCGAGGATCCAAACGACGCCTTCTCTTAGTCATAGCATATTCAAGAAATTGTATATAAACCCATCAAAGAATCTCTACATTTCGAAAGTTTAGTATCAATTATTTCTCATAAACAAGTTCAACGTTCAATAACAAACACACATCTTCAATTACGTAAAAACAACAATGCTCGCTACTCAACAACGTCAACAACCATCAATCAAGATGACTGCCGCTGAAAAAGAAGCTCAAATCATGGCTGATATCAAGGCTAACGCTCAAAAATTTGAAAACAAGTTCGAAGGCTCGTTCTTGGGTGACTACTTCGGTTTTGCTATTAGAAAATAGATGCTTACGTCGACCAGTCATAAAACTGGAAGCCACTGCCACTGCTGCCACTGCTGCCACTGCTGCCACTGCTGCCACTGCTGCTACTGCTAACTGACTCAAAAAAATCTTGCATATTCATTTCTTGGAATCACTTTATAGACAATTTTTAATATTTTTTTTAATACGGGAAACTAAGGAGAAAGAGCAATTTTCCTTCAAACAAATAATAAATGACTAATAAATTTATTCAGTTTCGAACGTGCACTGTAACCTCCCTATAAAACACAGAGGGTCCCATTGTTGAGGCGTTTGCATCAACACCAAAAGTTTTACCATCTATTTAGAATCCCAAATCTATTATTTACCGTCACTATTACTCTTTTGATCTTTAGTATCACCATTAGTCAGCTTCTTCCCAGCATCCCCTTCACCTTCACCTTCACCTTCACCTTCACCTTCACCTTCACCCACCTCATCTTCTCCACCAATCTTGAACATATCAGAATTATAATCCGGCAACGACTCAGCATTGAAATCTTCAAATAACCGATCTCTAGCTTGATCCAGCCTTCTATCTTCACGAGTCAATCCTGTTTCATCGTCGTCATCATACCCCTCAAGATCATTGTCAGAGTCATCATCTGAATCATATTCAATCAATTCGTAATTCTCCCCTGTTCTTCTGCGACGTCGAGTACTGTGGTTTCTACTTTGGATGATTATAATGACAACAACAACAATGAATCCTATACCTGCTAACCCCATCAAGTATTGTCCCGTACGGTCTTTTCCGTAAACATGTTCCCCTTCTTCTGTCTGTGGAGTTTCGGATCCAGTGGTTGAAGAAGTTGGCTCTGTTTTGCTAGTAGGAGCAGAATCAGCCACACTTGTCGAGGATTGATCAGCTTCAAACGTGGTTGTGGCTCCACCAGGAGTACTGGATGACGGCACCTGCTCTTGAACCGATGAAGAAGATTCTTGGGGAGTCGAAGATGACAGTGCTACAGTAGACGAAGACTTACTCTCCGTTGCGTGTTTTCTTTCAGACTCAAGTCTATCTCTTCTCACTTGACTGTAATCCTTTTCAATATCAAACGTCTCCACCTTTGACGCATCAATGGTGGTACCAAAAAAGCGAAGTTGCCAATTAACCAATTTCATATTGACGGGTTGGGAATCACCAAACACTTCGAGTGTCCACTCACCTAGGCCGTCTTCACCCCAATGTGCAATACTGGTGAATGTCCAATCTTGAAATCCTCTTGAGCTTGAATCAAGAGGCCTGAATCTTGCCAAATCACTAACTACTCCACTGGGTGACACTAATCTCACCCCTGTTCTGCCCCTGAATGAAGAATCAATATTGACTTTAACTGTGACATGTTCAATCTTTTCAAAGTTCATCACTTTTAAGTCCTCTTTTGTGACAGTGACCTTAGAAGTGATGACTTTGTCATTTCTTTTTTGTTGTTGTTGTTGTGGCTGGTTTAATGAAAGCTCTTGATTAACTTCAAGCTTATCACAATAATGCCACGACTGAGGCTTGACATTTTTCCAAGTCTTTGCAAACTCCACCATCTTATAAGCGTCTATCTTTCCATACCCATACATATGGGAGTACTTCCTGTTCAATGCGGTAGTTTGATAATTTCCATCCTCTTCATTCACTGGTACAGCACTCAACACATTAATATATTGCAAATCTCTCCAAGTTAAATTCGGATTTGCTCCAAGTACCAATGAGAAGATCCCACTCGCTAAAGGTGCAGCAGCAGAAGTTCCTCCATGCAGTGCACTACATTTCTTTTTGATGTCAGTCGTGTGTATATGTTCTCCTGATCCAGATGAATACGTAACCACCATGACTGCAGAGCACGATTCGGAATATGAAGGATGCAATCCTTTATAATCTATAGCTCCAACAGTAATGGAGTAGATGGAGTTGGTGTATCCGTCAAAGTTACAAGAATCAGAAAATCTTCCACCATTCCCCGATGCAAAAACATAAATGGCACCTTTACCACCCCTTCCCTCTTGAATCCCCCTCAACATTGCCTTCTTCACAACAACCTCGGGCTCACTCAAGGTCCTACCATTATCAGTTGGCCCCCAAGAACATGAATAAATATCATTCGTGTCCAAACCATACACCAACGCTGAAGCCTCATCAGCGGCAGTAATGGGACCCGACAAAATCCTTATCCCACTAACTTGAGATTTGTATGCAACCCCAACACCACAGACATCATTCTTTACGGCGGCAATCTCACCAGCACACCTTGTTCCGTGATAATCGTCATACAACCGTGGCAACGGAAGTGGTCCATTGTCATTGAAATCCCACGATCCCTTAGCATTGAAATTTGCTTTCAAATCCTCACTTTCTGCGTCCAAACCATCGTCAACAATCGCAGTGACTATTCCCTGACCTAGCACATCTTCTAACCAAAGACCGGTGGCATTGACATCATGGCCCGGATACTGCAAATTAAACAAATGCCATTGTGAGCCAAATTCGGGATCTTTGATACCCAATTTCGAAGCTATTTGGGCATACTTTTGATGCGCCTTGTCAGTTGGAGATTGCCCCTTTGGTGGTGTATCGTCCCTAGCCTCCATAGGCACAGGTAGCCTTTTGGTCAACTTCTTTGGTGGTAATAAATGCAACGACGATACGTCATTCACCAAGTCATCATGGACATGTTCGAATCCAAGGGATCTTTTGAGTTTATTGTAGTTGTTGGAGTTGTGGTTGCCAAGGAATGTGTTATGTGGATGCAGCTTGTCTATACTGAAGACATAAAAGTTGTCCATGGACTGTAATTGATGCTCAAAGCTGTAGTGGTCATTGTGCTTCAGTATAAAGTCTAGCAAAGGCTTTTGTGACTTGGCTGTGTTCAACTCTACTAAAAAGTAGTTTTTGTTTTCATAGTCCCTGGGCGGAATTTGAAATTGATGGGATAAGCTAATCAAGTAGATCAATATGTAGAGTAGCAGCTTTAGTGACAACATTGTTTGACAAGCGTCTTGAGTATAAGTGAGAAAGTTGGTGGTGGCTTTTTCGCGAAACGAATATATATACCGTGGGGAAAATCGTCTTAGTGTCTGTCGTCGTTGTGCCTCCAAAGTAATGTACAAGTATTCTTGTGTTCAAAATTGGAGCTTCCAGTGATGCTAAGCTTCGGACTTGACCTTTTATTCAACCAAGTTACTATGTTTCCGTCCACACAGGATTTTCAATGGATCTAAAGAGATGTATATTTGTCGTAGTAGGTTGTTCTTGATGTTGATTTTTTTTTTTTTTTTTTTTTTTTTTTTTTTTTTTTTTTTTTTTTTTTTTTTTTTGTTTTTTTTTTTTTTTTTTTTTTTTTTTTTTTTTTTTTTTTATTTATTTCCTGTATTTCTCTGTTTGGCAGAACAAAAGAAATTGGTGAACAATATAATTTTCAATCCACAAAAAGGAAACTGCGGTGCACCTGTTACATTCTTCAACATATACATACAACAACTTCTTCACAGTAGCAAGTGGCAGGTGGCGCATCACCGCAATCAGAGTGCCAGTAGTTACATCTTTACAAACTCACCGATGTATTTTGTAGACCCTTGTGTACCTCATTTGTATTTCAATGTTCTCCCCAGATGACACGTCAAAGACAATGCGAAAAATATGTCAACATCTGGGAATTCAGTGAATACCCAGAAACTCAACCACCTTCCCTCAGTACACGCCAAGTGTCAGCTCGTCGCAACGTATTTGGGAAATATTGCAATACATCACATTCTACTCCAATACGTGTCCTACCGTTTCGAGTTTCTTAAAAGGAGGTTCTTAAAATAACGTCACGTGCGACAAGGATCATATAATTTTCCTTTCAACACCTAAATAGGGAAGAGTAGGAATACTTTTACTCTTACAAATATTAAAATCAGCCAAAAGTTTGTTTTTTTTTTTATTTTTTATTTTTTATTTTTATTTTTGTTGTTAATCATCCAGGATTAGCATTGAGAATCCAAAATGACATATGTGAAGAGGGCGGTGTTGCCTTTGGTTTCATTTGCCGTGCTTGTGTTGGCTGACTCAGACATGGACATGGATGAAGAAAGACCCGAGTTTCATCCGATCAATGCCGGATCAAAAGCATTTCATTGGATATTGACCCTAATTGTGTTGTTAATAATACCCTCAATCAGTACTTCCTTGGCGTTTGCCAATAGACTACATTGGTCGCTACTTTTGCAATACGTCTCCACGGGATATTCCATTTTCGAATCACTATTTTTGGATTTTCCTGACAATAAAGACAATCACGAAAACAGAACTTCAAAGGGCACGAGTTGGTTCTTGAGTATATTGTTGGGCACTACAATCTTCTTGGGAACATTCATCAATGGAAGCAATCTCATCATTAACAAGTTCTACCCACACTTATCCAAGCACTACAATGAATATGGGTTGTCACACAAGATCTACAAAATAGTATCACTACTTTGTGTTTTGACTGGGTGGGTGAGGGTGTGCATGGCACCAATTGCTTTATTCGGCTTCTGTTATGGTCGTCACACGGGCCAATGCATAGCACATGGTATCATGGGCTCAGCATTCATTCTATACTCCTTCATTTTATCAGTTGTTCTTGTAATTCCTTGGATTCGCACACACCAGCTTCACAATAACAGTCCTACATTGAAGTCACAAGAGTTTTATGATTCAACTGTAATGATGTTGTGGGGGGTTGTCAACACTTTCACAGAACATCGTTGGGGACAAGAACCATGGAATATGGGCGATTACCAACATACAGCAATGGGTATAATCTGGTGGGCTGGCGGATTATTAGGGATGTATTTGTCAAGGAATAATCGCAGGTCATTTGTTCCAGCCTTGTTGTTGATTTTTACTGGTTGGTCCATGAGTCAGCACTCACAGCATTCGGTGCTTTCCACCAAAGTGCACGCTTTGTTTGGCATTGCATTGATGAGTGCTGGAGTAACGAGGATTATTGAAACTGCATTCTTACTAAAAGACAAAGCTTGTAGTGAGCTGGGAAAGATCCTCACGTTCCAATACCTTCCCCCATTTGGCTTAACTTTGTCGGGTATTTTGTTTATGAGTGCCACGGAAGAGCAGTTACAGTTGGTTCACGATTTGGGATCGGATCATTCTGCTTACATATTGATAGTCTCTGGTGCTGCGTTTTTGATTTTCCTCTGGATTCAATTGTGTCTTTGGTTGTATTTGAGGCTTGTTGGATATGATGAGGATGGAGAGCTAAACAAGCTGTATGCACCTGTTAGCATTGAAGAGTTTGAGTTGGGGGACATAACTGCAGATGAAGAGGAGGAAAATGATACACCGCCTGATGAAGAGGTTAGAGAGAGTAGGTAGCTTTTCGACTACACTAGTTTGGATATAGAGTCATCTCTTATCAAAGCGAAAAAAAAAATATAAAAAAAAAAAATCAAACAGATATAAAATTGAGAAACTGAAGAAGCGCTGTCTTAGTAATTGCACTTTTCTTATTGGATTTTGTCAATAATGAGTGCCATACTATCAGCAGACGATTTAAATGACTTTATATCACCAGGAGTAGCATGCATCAAACCAGTACAGGACACAACCCGCAAAACAGATGCGAATGAGAACGGAGAGGTTGAAATTCAAATAGATTCCGAGGGTAATCCACTAGAAATATCCAAGATTGATGGCAAACAAACCAACTTGACACCAGCTCAAATCTCTCTTGCTGATTGTCTTGCTTGCTCAGGATGTATAACATCCGCTGAGGAGGTTTTGGTTGCGCAGCATTCACATCAGGAACTCGTAAAGGCATTGAAATCACCAGATGATAAAATATTTGTCGCCAGTATATCCCAACAGCTGCGTGCTTCGTTGGCTACGGCTTATGGTCTACTGGTGGAGACTATAGATAAGCTATTGATTGACTTGCTAGTTAACAAAATGGGGTTCAAGTATGTTGTGGGGACATCACTAGGCAGGAAATTGTCATTGATAAATGAAGCAAAGCATGTAATTGCGAACAAAAGTAAAGATTCGAAGCCTATACTATCGTCGATATGTCCTGGATGGGTATTGTATGCTGAAAAGACTCACCCATTTGTGCTACCCATGATCTCAACTGTCAAATCAGCACAACAGATTACCGGATGTTTATTAAAGACATTGACTGCGCATGATTTTGAAGTACCCAAATCACAAGTTTATCATTTGTCAATTATGCCGTGCTTTGATAAGAAGTTGGAAAGTGCCAGGCCCGAAATGTTTGGAGACACAACTCCAGATGTCGATTGTGTATTGACAGCAAAGGAATTGATTGCACTACTCGAGGAGGAGAATTATCAACTTGTTCCCAAGATAAGTCCACCAATAGTAAATAAACCGGTAAGCGAGGTTTACAAGTCAGTAGCACCCAATAACTGGCCATTTGTTGAATACTCCTGGTCAAATGATCCCGGTTCTGCATCAGGCGGATACGCTTTCAACTACCTTCGATTATTACAAGACGACATGGTATTACAAGGACATAATGAGTCAGACTTTTCAATGAAGATAATACGAGGCAAAAATTCAGATGTTTACGAAATGAGACTTTTGTACAAAGAAGACAAAATTGCCAGTGCAGCAATTGTAAATGGATTCAGAAACATTCAAAATCTAGTGAGGAAACTTAAACCAGATGGAAAGAGTACAGGTAAAACCAACCCATTAGTTGCGCGCAGAAGAGCAAGGATGAAGACGGAGCTGTTGCTAGTGGAAGAAACAGCCGACCCTTCTAAAGTTGACTACGTTGAAATAATGGCATGTCCTAGTGGATGTATCAATGGCGGTGGTCAAATCAGACCCCCGCAAGAAGTTACCGAGAAGGATTGGATTGATGAAGTGTTGACCAAGTATAATACTGTGCCAATTTTTGACTTGTCTTTGCATCCACAGGAAGTGCAGTCCTTTATTGAATGGAGCAATTCGTTTGAGCAAGAATTTGGAGTCAATGAAGATAGGTTGTATAAAACATACTTCAATGAAGTAGAGAAACCAACTGACCCGACTGCAATATTAGTTGGATCAAAGTGGTAATGGCTGGGAAGGTATAGAAAGGATGCGTTTTGCAACTGTAGACAATATAGATTATGGTAGTGTAATATGCAGTACTGCAACTACAGCCAATGAACGAATGAATTTTTCCTCTTACTCAAAATGCAGCTACCATCAACTCATAATCAATAAAGAGAGAGAGAAAAGAAAAAAAGAAAAAACTCATACCCACCTTAGTCTACTGGGTTGTACTCTTTGTTGCCATTGTTTGTTAATCTGATCATCACACTCATCTCCCAGGCTCGTTACTAGAGAGATACAGTATAGTGTTGATCAACCCATTTATTTATTCAAGAATCCACATAATCACATCACACCTCGTACTACATACATCATGTTTAGACCCAGCGTGGCTTCGAGGTTACTAAACCAGTCAGCCATTAAACCAGTGGTCACCAACAATAGCATCCGTTTCATTTCGTCATCACCTAGCTTGCTCAAACCGGCATTAGCTGCGGAAACCACAGAGTACCTACCAACGGGAGGATCAACGCAATCTGCATGGCCAAAAGGCTTTAGACAAGCCAAACCAAAGACCTGGGAAGAAGATCATGAATCTGCATTGAGCAAAGCCACAAAGTACTTTTTCTTGAGTGAAATTGCACGTGGTATGTATGTGTGTTTGGAAATGTACTTTAGAAGTCCCTACACGATATATTACCCGTTTGAAAAAGGACCAGTCAGTCCCAGATTTAGAGGTGAGCATGCGTTGAGGAGGTATCCAAGCGGTGAAGAGAGATGTATTGCTTGTAAACTATGTGAGGCTATCTGTCCGGCACAAGCAATCACCATTGAAGCAGAGGAGAGGGCCGATGGATCAAGAAGGACTTACAAGTATGATATTGATATGACCAAGTGTATCTATTGTGGTTACTGCCAAGAAAGTTGCCCTGTTGATGCCATTGTAGAAAGTCCTAATGTGGAATATTCAACTGCCACCAGAGAAGAATTGTTGTACAATAAGGAAAAGTTGTTGGACAACGGTGACAGATGGGAGCAAGAATTGCAATACTGTATTGACGCAGATGCACCATACCGTTAATGCGCATTATTGTGTAGTGTAATAAAAGACAGAGTTTTGATGTTATGATTTCTGGGTAGGCTTTTCATAAGACTCGTGCAACGTAAAGTTATACGATCGCGTAAATTTTTTTTTTTCCTCTTTTTAATTGTTACAATTCAACTCTCAAAGAGCCATGTCATTGATCAAGGACTCTACTAAAATTGTTATCACCGGTACCTCCTCGAACTTGGGATTCAACATAGCAGTCCGTTTACTTGAGCGCTTACCCAATGACAAAGAGATCACGTTAATTGTCACCTCAAGAACACTCCCCAAAGTGAAAGATGTCATTACCGATATAAAAAACTACATCATCAACAAAATCCCTGAAAAAGTCGATTTGGTTGAATTTGACTACTTGTTGGTGGATTTCACCGATATGGTTTCCATATTATCCGCGTATTACGAGTTGGACAAGAGCTATACCCACATTGATTACTTGTTTATCAATGCAGCTCAAGGTGTATATGGTGGGATTGATTGGTTGCAGGCAATTGTCGAAGTTTTACAAAACCCGATCCAAGCAGTCACGAACCCCACTTACAAACTTCAACGGACTGGTGTACAATCAGCAGATAATCTAGGTCTTGTTTTTCAAGCAAATGTGTTTGGGCCTTACTATTTCATCCACAAAATTAAACATCTTTTGGCCAATGGTGGAAAGATTATTTGGATCGGTTCACTCATGTCTCATCCTAAGTACTTGTCATTCAATGATTTACAGTTATTAAGGTCTCCGGAATCCTATGAAGGGTCAAAGCGATTGGTTGATTTGCTACATTTTGGAACATATAAACAACTTAAAAAAGAAGGTATTGACCAATTCTTGGTACACCCGGGAATTTTTACAAGTTTTTCATTCTTTCAATTTTTGAATGTATTCACCTACTATGGCATGTTGGCCTTGTTCTACATGGCTAGATACTTGGGATCACAATATCACAATATATCAGGCTATATTGCAGCTAATGCTCCAGTCGCGGCAGCATTGGGCAAAACGAAACAAACATCGAAAGTTGGTTCTGCTTGTACTAGAAGTGGTAAGGAATACTTGATCGAAGAGGAAGTGGATACCACGGGGCTGGAAGACGTTGCTCATTATTTGGAAACTTTGGCAAATGAATGGGATGAAAAATTCAAAGACCAAATTGTCAATACACGTATTCCTTAATGGTAAATTGACTCTTCCAAACACTTGCACCCACATCCACTTGCACATTCGTGGTTGCCTTCGGACCACCATTCTTTGGCACATTTAGTATGTAGGATATGCTCGCAGTTGCCACATAATGTAAAATTCTTTGTAACTAGCATGCCACAATAAATGCAGTATTTCAAAAACAGACGCTTATTGGTATTCCAAGCATTGGGAAAATTTGTCTCTATTGATGAAACAGTGTTGATAAAAATCTGTGTAGGTAGTTGTTTTTTCCTCTTCCTGAAGCCTACTTTGCATTCATTAGTATCGAAATTGTGGAAGAGATCAATGCCGCCGTAGTTGAACTTGAGTACCTCAAGTCGATGTATAGGAAGATTCCACTCGTATAAAGTCTCGGCATACTGCAGTCGATACTTTTGCATCTCACTGCTATCTAAAAAGTCAGGAAGTAAGGATGAATACGACTCCTCGTATAGATCCAACTCCTCCACATTTTGCATATCAATTGTGACTGTTGGAGGACGCTGGTGCTTGGACTCAGTAGTTGCGACCTTGCCGGTTCTGGATTTGGTTACCAGCATATGTGAAGTCAGCTTTGGCGTTGACGTTCGATACGATGGCGGTTGTTCCACGAAAGAATTTTGCGAGCCGTTTTTGGAAGTCAAGACCGAGAAAGAGTGTCCTACCCTCCTTCCGTAACCTAACCGATCCACAGATTCAGTATGTGAGTTGTACTCGACAGACGAATCCACTGAATGCAGATAGTCGATATTCCTCGCATTCGAATGCACGTCAGAAGCTTTATACGCAGTATAATCAAACTCCGAATGCTTTGCTGGGTCAGTGGTTAGACTTTGATGACTCGATTGTGGTCCAATGCCTAGGACACTTTCACTTTCCAAGTCTAAATCAGAGTAGTGCATTGTATAAGGTGATTTATGCAACACACAAGACATGGTTGCAAGCATTTGCGTATTCTGCCTCTCAACAAAGTAGTTGAAAATCTCTTTGATAAGCCACGTGTAACCAAAAGGATGCATTCCCCATTTTGTCAACATTTTATTTGACTTATCTTTTGCGTTGAGGGTCTTTGCCACACCAAATGATTCAAAAGTATCCCTTGCGTTGTTGCTCAAAATAATCTCCAAAATTCTCCAAACTTGAGATATTTCATCAAGTCCATACTTTGCAGCTATCTTTGCATTATACTGTGCAAGATTCTCTGGAGTGTCTCCAACAAGCTTGTACTCCCTAGCCAACTCTATTCTGTTCGGTAGCAAATGTCCAAAATCGAGTATAACAACAACATTTTTCTTTTCTTCGATGGAATAATGTTTACCCTTCTTACGCTCATTCTTCACGGAAGATCTATAATTAGACAAGCTTTCGCCGTGACTAGTGAATTTCTTCAATGACGATTTGTGTCTGCTTCCACCGGAGACAAATCGAGATCCTAATCCCACATCCGGTAATAACGGTCCCGGGACTCTGCTTCTAGACGAAGCATCATGTTTTAATATTTCCTCCAAATCGTCATCGAAATAATCATCTGAAGATGAAGTTTCAGAGTGGTTGTCCACTTCTGACAATTCCGAGTCTGTATCACTGTTATCTATTGCTTCAAGTGCAGGTGAGCCTGCATCAAGCGATGTGGAAGGTAATTCCAAATTAGAATGTTTCTGCGATTTCAGTTTGTGAGGGCTATTCTTGGAAACTGTAACACTTTGGTTATCTTTGGGTATAAAGAAACAAACCAACAGACCGTTCGGTGCCCAAACGGCTCCACATCCTTTTGGGATTGGGGTGGAGTCAAAGCTGTTTTGTCCTTTGTAGTCGGCTGAAACAACGGTGTCTGCGCTAGGTGCAACCTTGTACAGGGACGTGCTGACGCTGGCAGCAGGAATTAAGTCATCATATTCTTCATCCTCTCCTGACGAGTACCCACGGAAACCGGGTTGCTGGTTTATCAAGTCGTCTACCCAATCCTCATCCCCAACCTCCGGAAGAAAAGAGGCATCGTCATCCATCACCTCTCCTCGCGTCTCCACCATTGCCTCGTCGTCAAGATCCACCTTTTCGCCCAATAGGTACCGTAAACATTGTTCAAGACAAAACTGTTGGTACTTGTTAGTGTAAAATTGTGCAATTTCTTCCAAGTGGCTTTCCATCTCTAGTTTCACTTCCTTGGTTAATTCATGTGTTTCTTCAATGCTAAATTCTATCGAGTTTTGTTTCTGCAACCTGTGAAATTTCCTTTTCAGGAAACCGTTGTCAAACTCAATCGGCTCAAGATACGGATAAGCCTTCGGGAAGCTTAGCACCACGCGAATGAACACCAACTTCAGTTCTGTAATGTTATCAGCCAGTCCTTCCATGTGAGAATCATTTACACTAGCGTCAGCTTGACTTTTAAGTTCAGCTTCTTTACCGTCTTCGCTAATAACGCTCTTGTCCTTTGTCGAGTTTGCAGCTGTGAGTGCCAATCGACTATTTTCTATAGAATCCACGGACTTTCGATGGCTAGCAGCTTTATGGGTGAGAAAAGGTACGGGACCTTTAAGACTAATCACCAAGTCTCCTGTTGATACTGAAATTTTCTCAAATCTGATAAATGGGAACTTGTGCCCCACTATACTAACCTCTTCACCCAAGTTAGAAGGACTTTCACCGTCCGCGTGTAATGAGTTATTTTTGCGATCTGCGCGTTCTGCATGCCCCAAACGAACTCCAGAAATCCAGTTTAAATGATCTAGTTGGCTAAACTCCAGTCCTAAATTTCTATGCTTTTCTAATATTTGATACGACGTCAATGCAGACAACAAATCGCCGCCGTTTGTTTTCGCCAAATCATCGATTGTAACCTCTGGTTCTTGACAATAGGTTCTATAGTCGAGTGGAACCTGCTGTTTCTCCGGCTTTTCAGTCGCAGTGAGATCAGACTCCAGATCGTTCTTGAAAACATTGAAGAATGTTGGATCGTAGTTGACCAGCCGATACAATTTATCATCACTAGGCCATAGCTTCAAATCGACATCCAGATCTGACCAAGTGACCAACTGATACTCTTTCCAGTTATTTTTTGACTCGAATCCGTTGTATGATTCATGTCTTGTTCTCCATAGAAAATCCTTTATGGGTCCATGATGGCCGACGAAGCTGTAGACAGAAGATCCTTTATATAGTTGTGTTTCTCCAGTGGCCAAATACTGCTGGTAGGCTTCTTCGTAGTTTACAATGTGTACTGCATTATTTCCTCCCCTCAACGGCATGACACCACACGCTTTGTCAGACCCAAAGGGCAATGAACGGGCTCGAGCAATTGCAAAGTCCTCCTCGATAACAACACTAGGTTCCATGCCATTTCCAGTCGCACTGCCAAAGTAGTTGAAGTCAGAAATAGCAGTTTTACCTTTGTCACTTTCCAAATCCCAAAATTTAATTGAGCGATCATTGGAGCATGTGATGATATTTTTCAATCCTTGACTAAAGTCAAGTCCATTTATCTTACCTTGGTGGGCTTTTGTAATTTTAAAAACAGGAAGTGCGCCCTTCCGAGTATCCCAGATGTAAAGTGAGTTATCATGGGTCAGGGCAATCTCATGTGGATTTTCATGGTTCCATTTCACTTGAATTGCACCAGCTCTCCAATCGGCCCATTTTGCAACCGGTTTTCTAGGAGTCCTCATATCCCAACAAAATGCAAAGGTATCAATAGAGCAAGTCGCTAGCATTTCCGGGTCGAATGGGTGAAAATTGATATCTGAAATTGCCCTTGAATGTGAGTGGAGGATATACTCTATGGCGTTATTCGACGGTCGATTCAAATCCCACAAGAGCGCTTTCTGGTTCGACGTTGATATGCACCACGACGGCTTGACGGTACCGTGTGGAGACCATTGAACATCAGCAACTTCCCATGAAGTTATATGATGTAACCAACGCGGAGGCGTGAATGGATCGTCCATGTCGATTACGAACAAGCCCCTCCGTCCGGCTAACACTGCGTCTCTACCGTTTGGAGATAGCGACATGGCACCAATTGCACCGTCCACCCTCAACAGTAAGGACTTTCCAAAAGTCGGGGACTCATATGGATTTATTAGTCGAGTAGACATTTAATGTGGTGGTGGTGGTGGTGTTGGTGGGGGTGCCTGGTAATAAAGAAGGAAAAAAAAAAAAAAAACCAAGCACCAAAATGCCAACAATGGCTTATTACTTCACTAAGCAGATCACTGGTAATGACAGAACCGATTAACAAAGATGTCGAAATGGCTGATGAGGAGTTTGATGACTCCGAGGAAAACGTTATTGATATGCCAAGTACAACAGATAGTGTAGCGGAAACCCAGCAGAAGCAAACCAAAGCGGAGAGATCTAAGCAAAGACAGCAATCACTATCAGCGGCAGCAGCCGCTACTGCAGCAGCAGCTTCATCATTGATTCCCGACTTACCTGATCTCACACGTAAAGACAAAACACTTAAGGAAGTGCTAGATATGATGGATGATGAGTTTGCACCAATAATACCAGACGCAGTGACCGACTACTATTTGGCCAAGAACGGATTCGAGTCTTCTGATGTGAAAATTAAAAGGCTTATAGCATTGGCAACGCAAAAGTTTATCAGCGATATAGCACAGGACGCTTATGAATACAGTAGGATTAGAAACGCTAGTGCGGTGTACAATTCTTCCAATCCTCAAGTGAGAGCAAAACAGCTACTTCAAGGACAACAATATGCAAATCAACAGACACTAGCAAGCAATGGCAATGCTGGTGCAGAGAATCCAGAGCAGCAATCTTCTCAACAGTCACATTCAACTGTTGGAAACCAACAGGGCAAAGTTGTGTTGACTATGGAAGATCTTAGTAATGCACTTAGCGAGTATGGCATGAATGCCTCTCGACCAGGGTTCTACAGGTAGATATGAAATATAAAACACGAGTGTTATAGATTACGTTTGTAAGGGTTGTTGCGTTACATACCACCCATCCCCCCAAATTGTTGCATCATCTTTTGCATCATCTGTGGATTCTTCATCATCTCTTGCGCCTGTTGCATCATCTGTGGGTTACTTCTCATCATTTGCTGAGCCTGTTGCATCATTGCAGGATTGTTCATCATGCCGGCTAGTCCACCTGGGCCTCCAGCACCACCGGCGCCTAATCCGCCACCTCCTCCACCTAACATGCTCATTGCTTGCTGCATGAAGTTTGGATTCGATTGCGCATTCTGCATCATTCTTTGCATTTGAGAATTTCCTGCAAACGGACCACCAGGCTGTCCACCCTGACCTTGTGCGGCAACTGCTGACTTTGCCATAGACGACATCATTCTGTGCTGTTGCAAAATCATTTCGACTTCAACTACACTGCAGCCGGAACCTCTTGCTATCCTCACAATTCTACTTGGCTCTTTGATGAATATCCGGCCGTCACTTTCCAACTCCTTTGTCGTCATCGAGTCCATAATGAATATCATATTTCTAATCTTGTTGGATGTTTCCTCCTCACCCACTTGCGACATGAGACCTGACATACCTGGAATCATAGATGCAATATTTGTAAGGGGCCCCATTTTCATAAAGTTGTTCATTTGATTTTGAAAATCCTTCAAAGTGAATTTTCCTTCCTTGATATTCTCAATTGTCTGTTTGTGCCCTTCGTCTTGGTGCAAGTTCAACGATTGCACATGCTCAATAAGCGATTGAATGTCACCAATACCCAACAACTTTGATATAAATGTCGTCGGTTTGAACACTTCTAAATCGCCAATATGCTCACCTGTACCGATGAACACTATAGGCGTTTTCGTTGCTGCAACTGCTGAGATTGCACCACCACCTTTCGCATGTCCGTCCATCTTTGTCAAAATTATTGAACCAAAATCAGAGCTTTCCTTAAAAGCCCGGGCTTGTGACTCTGCAGCTTGCCCGATGGATCCATCCATGACCATAATAGTCTGACTAGGATGCACAGCCTCGCCTATTTGAACCATTTCGGTAAAAAGTTGCTCCTCTTGTCTATGTCTTCCTGACGTGTCCACGATAATAATATCAAACCTTTCTTGCTTGAATTTCTGTACACCCTCGGAGGCAATCTTGACTGGATCTGGTTCCAAGTAAGACCCGTAGTATGGTATATTTGCCTTTATTGCGTTTTGCTTCAATTGATCGAAAGCACCTGCTCTAAAGGTATCGGCACAAACTAACCCCACTTTGAACCCTCTTTTTTTGTAATATACAGCTAGCTTTGTACAAGAAGTGGTTTTCCCTGCACCTTGCAAACCCACAAACATAATAACATGACTGGATTCTTTTGAAACCCTCACTTTTTTCCCATTGATGGTCTTGGTGGTGGCGGAAAGCTTTTTCGGCTTCGGTGGTTCAACGTGGGAATCCACCAACGCACACAACTCATCATATATAATCTTTTGCAACTTCTTCCTCCTATTCTGAGATGAGGTTTCCTTTAATACATTTTCGCTTTCAATTTTGTCTCGTATATTACCTCTCAATTTGGCGACAAGTTTGACGTTGATGTCAGATTCCAACAACGCAGAGCAAATGTCCTTGATCATTTGTTGAATTTCGTCATCCGAGCCCTTCTCGACGGAAGAGAGTGCTCCTCTGAGCCTTTCACCTAAGTCAGCCAAAACCATGATGAAGTTGATGGACGAATGGGGACAACGTTCTTTTCTTTTTTTTTTTTTTTGTCTTTTTTTTTTTTTTTTAGATTTCTATTTTGCAGAAAGGTGTGATTGGAACCATGACAACCACCTCACAAGACAACACGAGTGAAAAGAGGACAACTGGTGATGCGGAAAAAGGCAAGCCCAAAGTGAATTTTACTGACGGTGGCGTTGAAAACTTCAAATTCTACCCCGATGATCCAAAGAATCATAGACACAAATATAAATGGACCGCCAAGGAGGCTTCTAAATTTTACGATCCATGCGAGGAGAGCAGGCAGGCGTCCATGGATTGCCTTTATCGAAACCAGGATGACAAGTACGTTTGCCAGGACTTTTTTGACGCTTATAAGGAATGTCGCAAAGATTTCTTTAGGAAGAAGAGACAAGACAAGATAGATGGAAAGCCTGGATGGGGATGGTAATATATATATATATATAACTATACTGTATCGAATACTGGTAGGTTGGAAGTGGCGTATCCTGTAAGTTTATCAACAACATGCTCTGGCTCATTTTCGAAGAACCGTTTGTTGAATGTGTCTGAGTTGACTGGAGCTGGCTCCTCTTCGAACAAATCAAAATCGTCGTAAACATACGTATTTCTTCCTGTGTTTTCATTGAGAAATGGGTTGGTTGTTAGTATGATACCAGTGGAATATCTAGCCGCGTGCCTGTAATGCAAATGAGAGAAAGTGTTGTGAATTTCCAACTTGCCGGTTTTTTTATTGACTGAACAAAGGAGGTTGGCTTTTGTGTTTTCCGTTTCATCCTTTAGGATGTTGTTGTAGACTTTTCTATAGTTGTCGATGTATTTACCTTCGCCGTGGTCTAAGATGGTGTTGATAAATGTGTCCAAGTACTTTGATATATCAACCTCGAGAGTAAACAAGGCGTAATTTAGCTGCAAGTTAATTAGAGTATGGCAATCTTCTCTGGTGACAATCTCTGCCAACTTCAATGATAAATTTCTTTCCCAGTCTTCCACAAAGATATCATTGTGCCTCCTCGACCTTCTCTTGTCAACTTTTTCTGAGGCTGGTGCAAAGTATTTGGTGATTTCGGGGAGATTTGACTTGAACTCCCTTGTCAAATGTAGAGCCTCTGTTTTCTTTGACTTTCTGATTTGAATATCAGGAAATTTGGCCAAATCCTGGTCCAAGTGTTGAAGAAAGTTATAGAAAAATGTTTCCCGAAATTGAACAAAAGGATTGATTTTCATCCATTCACAGAGTTGCACCTTGACCTTATTGGAGCTGAATCTCGCAGACAATGGTCTCTCCAGGCTTAAAAATCTCAAATCGTTGTTCCTAAAGTCAACTACTCTCCCTTCAAACGGAATATGCACTGCATTAACTTGGAGTTTCTTGAAGCACACGTTGTCATCCACCGATATGCGGTCCAACACATTCAACTTTCTAATTAGGATTTTGTTTTGCGGTAGCTGATACGAATTGTTTGACATGCCACAAAAAAACTTTGCAAAATTATGCATTTTGAGAAGTAGTGACTCTAAGTTGCCTTCTGGCTCCAAATTGAAAACACCCTCTACACCCGAAGTGACACTGACTACCTTCATATCGCATGAATTAGGTTCGGAGCAACCAAGACTCACATGATAATTAGATCCTGATTGAAAATAACTCGACTGTAAACCATCCACCAATACACTTTTATCAATACCGAGATACGGATATGAAGGGATACTCAAGTCCCCTGCCTTGCTTTCAACCTGGTTTGTCTTCTGACGTTTGTAACTTGGTCCTTTCTCACTTTTGGCTCTCTTTTTTGAAACTGGTGGGGCGGGCAATGCTCTTTCAAGGAAGAGCATCTTGTGGATTCGTTTCCACAAAAACTCGTCCATCATTTGGTCCGCATTTTTATTGCCGTCAAGCAGACTCCCTTGCATGTGGTTTTTCAAGCTAGCAAAATAGCGAATACTGAATGGGTTGTGAATATCGGTGGGAAACAAGGGAGAAGATTTCCTTTTGCTCAGCATAGTTTCCAAAACCAAATGAATTTCTCTTTGCAACAATTTCGCTTCCGTGTCAAGTTGCGTGTAAGCTTTCGGAACCTGATGTTTTGCAGCCCCGAGACCATCCTCTTCATTTAGCATACTTCTTATGCGTATTGCATTCTGCCGCCTTAGTGGAACACTCGTGGGTCGGTTTTCCTGGGGGCTTCTGGCAGTAGTCAATAAGAGTCTCTCGTTGGGCACAAAAGTGGTTCCTTCCATGAGCAGCTCCAAAGCTTCTTCGTCATTCTCGCTCATTTCATCCTCGTTGTTGATGTCCTCGTCGGAATAGTAGACCAACCCCGCGTCGTCATAGTGGAAACTTTGATCGTCTTCATCCTCATCTTCCCCGCTTGTCTCAACTAAATACGCCTCCCTGCGTCTTGACCGTGACAACTCTCTGGAGAAATTTCTCAACTGCGATGGTATATTATTCAATGTTAAACTTGTATGACTGCCGTCTCGATTGACTAATCTGTTGAAGTGATTTTGTAGTCTATGTATATCATTGAAATGACTTAGTATACGAGCTCTGAATAAGTTCTCCTCGTTTGTCTCCAGCCTTGAACTGTTGTCCCGCAACATAAGATCGGATACAACGTTTAATGAGTTCAAAGTTGGGAAATCATTCGAGGCGTTACGAAATCTCCTCTGCGAAGTTCGTGCTTGCTGCTGCTCTTGCTGCTGATGATTCTGACCGCGATTCTCAGTCAGCGATTCCGAGGGTGATGATGGAGGCGGCATTTCCTAACTACTGAGTGCAAGAAAGACACTGGTCATCAGAGCGTAAAACGCAACTAAAAAATGAAGGAGAGATCTGCGCGCTACCCATTCGAAGAAGTAGCAGTTCCACAATAGACTCTCGAGTTGTAAAGAGATTTTCCTCTTCTGTCATAATGACAGTTACTTCTGGATATACCTCGTCTGTGAGAGCACAATGGCCATGAGCAATGAGTCCTCCGCAGAATTTTTGCAGGTTATTCTTAAAAAACTCTGTTCTCCGTTTTTCCTGTTCGCTTAATAAAGTTAACTCCGTGAATGAGCGGAGATATTTCCCCTTTCAGTTTTGTACTACAGCTTTTGCAGTTAAAAAATAAATATTTAAAAAAAGAGCCGTACGCCAAATCCCAAAGTTCAACAAATAGCAATCTTACACCTCAACTTCTTGCAAGTGGTCGGAGCTTTGCTATTGAAAAATGGAAACTACAACAGCGGCTAGTGAGCTGAATCCACTTTTAGACTCAGAAGCGGTTGAAGAGTACGCGGCAGCTATTGATGACAGTGAATCTGACGAGGAACTCGCTTGGATTCAAGAGCATTTGGATAATCATAAGGAGACATGCTGGCTCACCAGGCCATCGATGTTTCAGTTATGTTTTGTCTTAATTGCCATTACGTTGGCAATGTCCATGGCTGAGGGTACCCGGAGAATTGTTCTTTTCAAGTTGGCTTGCAATTCTTCATTAGATTCAAAGGGGGTATGCTCACCCGTGGATACACAACTAATATTGTCAACATACGATCAATATGCTTCACTTGGAACCACCCTTTTGTCGTTTGTCGCGATATCTCAATTCAGCTTGTCCGATGTCTACGGGAGGAAGCCGTTTCTAGTGACGGGAATTGTGTCATTTACTGTTTCAAATTGTCTCTTGTTTTACTTGTACCACTACGAAACATTCAAATTTAGCTGGTTGGTTGCTGCATCTGTTGTGTCAGCTGCTGGTGGTGGCTATGCGTTGATCGCCACAATAGTCAACACCTGTGTGATAGACTTGAACGCAAAACCATCGCAACGGGTTAACGCTTTAGCTCGGGTGGCTGCTTTTACCAATGGGGGACAATTCTTGGGGCCAATCTTGGGGACTCGGTTGAGTGCTTGGGCAAAGACTGCATATGACACTCATCCTGGTCAACAAATTCATATAACGGGTATCACTCAGAGCTCAAAAGTTTTGAAGAGTGAATTTCTTCTTTTGAAGCTCGAGTTAGTTATTGAAATTGCTATTTGCTTGTTTGTGGTGTTTATTTTCAGCGAAACTCGTACCCCAAAAGCGTTGGCAAGATCACGGGCCAATTCAATAGCAACTCGAAGTTCGTTGGAAGTTAGCGAGAGAAGTATTATTCAGCGAATTGGCGCCGCTTTTGCTCCATTGAGAGCGTTGCTTCATGGAGCCGGCCGAGTTAGGTTTATGGTTATCTCTTTAACATCGGTGATTGTCCTTGATCAAGTTTTGATGATTGGGTTCAGTCAAGTTATATTGAACTGGGTGGTTTTCAAGATGGACTTTGAGGCTGATGATATTTCATACGTCATTTCAATCTTTTCAATATCTAGAGTCATCAGTCTCCTTTTGTTGCTTCCATTTTTTCAAAAGGTTCTTCAACGATGGTTTAAATACAATGTCTTGAAATCGCAATTAGACATGATTGACTTGGTCTTGATTGTTATCGCGTTGGTTGTGGACATTGGAGTGTTTGGGCTTTTGTATCTTGCAAGGTCTAAAGCCGACGTGTACGCTGCATTGTCATTGTGGTCGTCTGCTTCTTGGACAGTTCCTGTTTTGATTGCAACCGTGTTGAAATACTTCCCCACAAGCAAGGTTGGAGAATTTTACTCTGCTCAAGCTTTGCTCCTGAATATCCTCATGGTGGTTGGCCCACTTATGTTAATGGACGTATACAAGTGGTCATTAAGGAACAACTGGGACAACTTTATCTTTTTAGTTTGTGGAATTCTTATGGCCATGTTCATTGCAGTCATGTTAACTGGCAAGGCAGTGTCGAGATTAACGAGCAGCACCAAAGAGGAGGAGGAGAGAGCGGTTAGAAGAACTACGTCAGTGAATTTTGTGGGTGCTGCAGAGGATATTTAGTTCAGTTTTTCTTAGAGTTTTAATACATTTTCATTTATCCAGTTAATTGATTCGTTTGAGCTCCTTATCAGTTGTGTCCCTGTTCAAACGTAAAACTCGTTTACACAAGTACACAATTGCAATAAAAACTCCCATCCAAAATGCATAGAACAAATACACAAGATTTGCTTGTCCCACATTCAACGCCATCTCGTAGATCCAAGTGACTATAATTGGCGACACTAAATTCATCAATGACACAAGCAAGGTAATCCCGCCATATACTAGTCCCGGATTGGCATTGAAAAACTTGATAATTGTAGAGTCAAAAACAGGGCCAATGAACGCATCAATTGAAAAGAACCCAGCGGCAACATAAAACCCTTTGCTCTGGGAGAGATAAAATGCAACAAATACTGCTATGGCAACTGCAAACGACAGTAGCATTAAAACATACTCCACCATATCAAACAGACGGTTCAATGGTCTCAAAGAAAAGACCCCTCTCAATATTGTTTTTTCGAAAAATGGCAAAACAAAGACAAGGGAGATGGCACGGGAGACGGAGATTGTCGATAACAAGTAGGAAACATTATTTGACTTCCAGTCGAACTGGTATTGCCCATACTCAATGACAACCTGGTTCAAAGAGAAAATCAACGTTTGATACAATGCATAGATCAACACCAAGGACACAACCACAAATCTAATTGTGAGTAAGCTATGCATTTTGTTTACTTTTGCCACACCACTAGGGTAGGTAAGGATCTTGATTGGCTGAATAATGTCTAAGCTTTTGAATATTTGACGCAATACTATGCGTTTCGTTTCAAGATCAGACACGTTATCCTCCAAATCACCCCTTCCATCTTCCTCTAGCACTTGTTCCACCAACCGCTCTTCTGATCTCTCCTGTGCAAGCTCATTTCTTGACTCTGGGAATAGGGTAACAACATAAAACAGAAGCACAAGCAAAGCCAATAGCTCAAACCTCAACACTGTAAAGTCACCTTCGCCTGTTGCCACGTTGCTTGATTTGTTACCGGCTGCCCAATTACCGATCAATGTGCCAATCAAAGGCCCAAACAGCTGCCCTATAAAAGTGGCCGACGAAGCCAACCCAAATTGGTATATCCTCCTTTCTGGAGGAGTGAAATCGGAAACGTACAGTTCAGTTAACGCTCCTATGATATTTACTCCACCAAATAAACACGAAACGTAGTTGGCGAGAAGTAGCTTTCCAAATTGTAAACCCTCGTAATTTCTGAAAAGGTAGTATTGAAGCATACGTGAAACGGTTATAGTGATTATAACCATCACAAAATAGAACTTCCTACCATATACACTAGACACCTCGCCAAATTTTGCAATTGGAATCAACGCCGTGGCAGTAGTCCCCACCAAAAAGTATTGATTAAAGCGCGCCACCACGTAAGGGACGTCCTCCTTGCTCTTGGTAGATTCTAAGGCTTTGGAGTAGATGAGCGTTTGTCGCGTGCCTTCTGCACTCGAGGAGCTCAATGTGAGCAACCCTATCAAAAAGATTATCGCGTAAACACTAGGACGCGAGTAGAAGGGTTTTGTTGAATTTTGTTGAATCTGTTGCTTGACGTAAGTTATATCATCATCCTCCAGGTCTGATGAGACCCGGTGGCGATCGTCTATAGTGTCGCGATGAGTTATTTCATGGTTTAGAAGAGGCTCGCTCTCGTAGTGGTCTTGTGGCATGTCTATGGCTCGTATTTATATCTATTCTTGGTGAGTTTATTGTGTCTGTTTTTCCTCTTTTTTATGCTTTTTTTTTTTTTTCATCAATTGCTGTAGCAAATTGCGCAGCGCAAATCCATTCAAGAAATCACACGACATGTTTTGAATGATTTTTGGTCGACGGTTGAAATATGCGGCAGTTCTGGTGGTTTTAATCACATCTATGTAGTACTCCTTTAGGAAGATATATGAAACCCTCTCAACTTCGCTTTTTCATAATACTTTGCTGCTTTTTCATATCTTGTCGGAAGTATAACACCGAAGCTGGATCGAGTGCAAAAAGCAGGAAAAAAAAAATAAAAAAAAAAAAAATATAAAAACCGAATAAAGTTCTGCATTTGACTCATTCCGTTTCCCAGTACACTTGTTTTCGTCAAATGTCAATAACAGAAGAGATTGAGTTGGGCAGTGCTCATATATACTCGAGAAACCCGAATGGAGCTAAAGCAGATTCGGTAACACCTGCTGGTGAAGAACCTTGCACTTTGGAGCAGGATCGCACAGAGGAATCTGTAATAGAGTTCCAGGCCACATCCGATGTTAACTCCTCCTACACCACCAATGACACCCATACTAGGATCAAAAATCTACAACCTTATACCGTGTTGGTCGGTTCCTTCCTTGGACTAATTGTCAACCTCGGGTTGATTAACTCGATCGGAGCTGTGCAGTCGTATGTATCTGTCCACCAGTTTAGTGGGTATTCTGCAAGTACAGTGTCCTGGATATTCTCAATCTACCTTGCATTGGCGTACGCAGGGGCCTTGGTATCTGGTCCGTTGTTTGATTCGAAAGGAACACTATGGCTTCTTATTTATCTGACGTTGTTTATCTTCGCGGGGTTGATGGGGGCAGCAAATAGTTTTCAAATTTGGCATTTTGTTCTAAGCTTTATAAGCTTGGGTATTGGTAATGGATTAGGAATGGCACCTTTGGTGTCAGTAATTGGCCATTGGTTTAGTCCCAAAATCAAGAACCTGAGCAACACCATGGTCGACGATGACAAGTTGGAAAAGTTTGAGGGAATGAACACCAAGTTAGGTGTTGGTGTTAGCACAGGACTCGCAACTGCGGGAGGAAGTATTGGAGGATTGGTATTCCCTCTAATGTTGAGAAAGTTGTATCTACTGGTGGGGTTCGTTTGGGCGCTACGGATTTTGGCGTTCACGTGCTTGGGGTGCATGATTTGCTCAATTGTATTGGTGAAGGAGCGGTTCAGAAAGGAAAAAAAAACTAGCACAGTTCAATTGAGTGAGTGGCCAAGTAAATTTATCAATTTTTGCAAAATCAAAGACACTAGATTCCTATTCATTATTTGTGGTGGGTTCTGTACCGAGCTTAGTCTTGTTTTATTGGTCACGTACTTTGCCAGTTATGCCATTGCCCATGGAATGAGTGAATCGGATTCATTGGTGTTGATTACCATTTGGAATGGTGTTGGGACGTTGGGAAGGTTCTTGCCAGGTTTGGCTAGTGATTACTTTGGCAGGTTCAACATAAATGTTATAATGCTAGTGGGCTACTGCTTGACAATCTTGGTGTTGTTGTTGCCATTTGGAAACAACCACAAAATCCTTTATGCATTTAGTGTTTTAGGAGGTGTATTTTCAGGTTCAATACTCAGTCTCCTTCCAGTTTGCTTGTCACAGATATCCAAAGCTAACGAGTTGGGTAAAAAGTACGGAATTTTGAATTTTTACCTTTCGTTGGCAAACCTTTTCGGTATCCCAATTGCTGCAGCCATAATCAAGCACGGAACAGCTCATGATTATGACAACTTTATAATCTTTGTTGGCTGTTTGTCAGTAGTAGGGTTGATTTTTTGGGTACTTGCAAGAGTAAGTTTAGTGGGAATCAAGTTGAATGTTAGAGTGTAGCTCAGCATTTAGTATTTTATAATAAATATTATTCTTTTGAACGTAGAGTCAGGTTTTAACGCCTCGGCCGGCGGTTGCATCGTCGTTTCTTGGCGTTATGAAGAAAAAATTGAAAAGATGCTTCTACTTGCATGTTTTGAATGTATTATAATTTTAACATAGTGGACACACTATGTTATTCTTTCTAATATAAAACTCGCGTAAAGTCTCTTCAATTCACTACGACAATAAAGCTTTTTTAAACATCACCGATTTAGACTCACATACAATCTTCAACACAGCGTATACTCCAGCCGAAAAAAAATCTCGCATTTTACAAAACAAACCACAAACTGGCGCCTTGCATGATCAAAGGCATGAACCTCACACTTCCTCAGGTACACTTGCACACACAGATATGAGAAGACTTAAGATAGGAATACGACCGCAGCTTATAGTCCTCGTGTGCTTTGCATCTTTGTTTTCTCTTTTGATTTTGGGAGTTGTCACTGGACTATATTTCAGTAAGAACTTGACCCAACTGAGATCAGAGAGATTATACGTCATATCGCAATTAAAATCGACCCAAGTGGAGCAAGCGCTAGCCTTTATAGCTTATCAAGTGGGGACGCTCTCGTCTATTGATGCCATAACCACTCCATTATCACAATACAGAGCTGGTAACAACTCGAATGCAGTCTTTTCCAGCGCTCAAAACACTTTGGACCAATTTATGTCATCCACTGAAACTTTTGCTGCTGCTCGGCTTTACAACTTGGATTTGCAAGTACTGGCTAGTTCATATAACAACGGGACAAGAGTGTCGCAACATGCTACAGACAATTTGTTTCCGTTGTCACAAAACAGCTCCATCCCCCCAGCACTACTAAATTCTACTGGGTCGGACTTTTACTTCACCGGGCCCTTGGGTAACGACTCCACAGATGTATACAGCCCTTATTTCTTCGGGGTTACCCTTCCTGTCTACACCAACTCCTCGATAATCATTGACAAACCGTATGTTTCTGGTTATTTGTCAATAATAGCCAGTGCACAAGCAATTCAGGATTCACTTAATGCGACAAGTGAAGACTACAACGTGATTGCTGTGAAGCCACTTTATGGGGCGTTAACGGACCTCGTGGATACACTAAATTCAAGCGAGCGAGCTTCAGCTGCGGTAGGGTTCCAATTGGTGTTTCCTGTGCCAAACTCTTTACTCCGACCAGGCGAGGTGTACAATATAAACTCATCGACGTCTGTAAGAACTGCCATCCGTTCACCTTCAGGCACATCTACCGACGTCCAATCATACTCGGGAGAAAAGGTTGCAATTGGCTACAGACAGATTATGCAAAACAATCTTTTGTGGTCAATCGTGGTTATACAACAAAAATCGGTTTTTAACGCACCGGTGGACAAGCTCAAGAAAATCATTATCGGTGTTGTTTTTGGAATAGCAGTGCTCATGTGTTTAATCACGTTTCCCTTAGCGGTTTGGTTCATTCGGCCAATTACTCAATTACAAAACTCGGCAGAGTATATTTCAAAGTACAGAAAGGAGCGAATACTTAGTGAAAAGATTGCTCTCGACTCAAGGAATAACAGCGTTACCTCGACCGTAACCTCCACATCGGGGTATTCCACTGGAGTACGGCTACCCACACGGATTCAAACATCAAAGAAAATCTTCAAGGATGAGCTTACCGAGCTTTCAGAAGCTTTCAATATCATGACAGAGGAGCTAGATAAGCAGTACAATCTATTGGAAGAGCGGGTGAAGCTTCGAACACGAGAGTTGGAGGCATCCAAGATTCAAGCAGAAGCTGCAAATGAAGCCAAAACTGTGTTTATTGCAAATATATCACACGAGTTGCGCACACCATTAAATGGTATTCTAGGAATGACATCAATTGCAATGGAGGAAGATGATCCAGAGGCAATACATGACTCTTTGAAGTTGATATACCGCTCTGGTGAACTACTATTACATATATTAACTGAGTTGCTAACATATTCGAAAAACACACTAAACAGATCGAAGTTGGAGAAATCTAATTTTCAAATCCTTGAAATTGTTTATCAAATAAATTCCATATTCAATAAGCTCGCTGTTGATCAGCGAGTTAATTTCAAGATTGTGGTGAAACCGTGCCTTTTCCGCAAAATGATTCTTTATGGTGACTCAAATAGAATCATTCAAATCATCATGAATTTAGTCTCCAATGCGTTAAAATTTACGCCCGTAGATGGATCAGTTGAGGTAGTTTTTAAGTTGCTAGGGGAATATGATTATGATAGATCAGCGGCTAGCGATTTCAAAGAAGTTCACCTTGCACATGATAAAAGACCAAGTCCCTCCAATCACAATACCGTCTCCACTTTGGTTCAACTGAGCCAAGCGCCTTTTGAAGAAGTCGCCCCTAGGAAAAGTGCCGATGTTGACGACGCGCAGAGCATTGTGACCCTCTCAACGGTCCAATATGAAAACGCTCTATTTCAACAGCAATTTTCCAAAGAATCTCCATCACCCAGATCATCCATATCTGATCTCAAATCTGAATATGTCATGCCTGAAGCCAAAGATTTCAAAACCTATCACACATTAGACAAGAAAGAAATCACTGACGGTCACAAGTCGTACAAGATCAAAAATATGCATCACCCAAAGACATGGGTTATGCAAATTGAAGTTTGTGATACTGGGTCGGGTATTGATCCAGCTTTACAGGAAAAAGTTTTCGAGCCATTTGTTCAAGGGGACCAGACGTTGAGTCGAAGCTATGGTGGTACGGGGTTGGGGTTGAGCATCTGCCGTCAGTTGGCCACAATGATGAGAGGAACACTAACCGTTAAATCAGCAATTGGAAAAGGATCTACATTTGCTTTAGTTATTCCATTGCCCCAAACGGCTGAGATTGTGATTTCGCCAGAGGATCTTGAATCGTTTTGTGATGATGAGTTCAATCCAAAGTCCAAAATGAACAGAAGAGTCGCATTTGGGAACGTAAGCTCCGGTGAAGATCCAGCTGAGACGAGATTGACTCGTCGCAAATCTACCGGATTGAAGTTGACACCATCGTCCATTGCTTACGCAAGAGGCTCTACCGGTACAGCACAAACTTCAGATGTAAACAGTGGATCGCATACGCATAGCACTGCATCCACCCCAGTAGAATCTGTAGTTACAAGTCCACAAACTGCACAAAATCAATTATCCAGCTTTAAAATCCTTGTGGCAGAGGATAATCAAGTCAACCAGGAAGTGATTAAAAGAATGTTGAAACTTGAGGGATTTACAAACTTGGTAATGGCGGCAAATGGAGCTGACGCTGTTGAGTTAGTTGAACAATCCATGAAGCTTGAGGAGGATCGACAACAATTTGATTTGATATTTATGGATATTCAAATGCCTATAATGGATGGCATCACAGCCGTCACCAAAATACGGCAAGACTTGCATTTCACGAACCCGATAATTGCCCTTACAGCGTTTGCCGACGAGAGTAACATCAAGGAATGTCTAAATTGTGGAATGAATGGGTTTTTGTCAAAACCAATCAAGAGGAACAATTTGCGGAGCGTGATTAGTAAAAACACCAACATTTTGGTGCATGAGTCGGTAATTACGCCAATATCGGGTCATTCACAAAAATGCTCCTATTTTCTGTAAAATGGCGAGTGCCGGAGAGGATTGCAAAAAACATTTAGAATTTGGTATAGAGTTTAATTCTTCACGAGTATGGTAGCGGCGGTGTTTCGCTCTTTTTTCCATTTATTCCCAAACGGGAAAATTAATTTTCTCTTTTGTGTATATAATTATTGAACACGCGTCTTAATTATTCATATTCTCTTCAATGCTGAAGTATTTCTCTAACCAAAGCCAATCTCACTTCATCTTTTTCTTTCTGAGCTTTTGCATTATCCACCTATCATCATAATATGTCTAATTTCGTTTCATCGCCTGGTGTCATACCCTCAGATACTGCTCAGTTTCTCAATTCCCAGGTGTCTTCATCCTACGGAAGAGATGTGTCTACTCCTGCTCCAAATACCACAACAGGTCCCATTATGTTTTCAGAAAATGGTTCCACAGTATTAGGACTGCAACTGCAACTGCAACTGCAACTACAACTGCAGTCACAGCAACTGCAATTGCAACAGCAACAGCAACATCAGCAACAACAAAGGCCCATTGTCGCTGGTAGAAGAAGACAAAATGCTGCTCCCAAAGTTGTTGATGTTACTGGTGAGAAAGTACGTGAAAGTTTTGAGAGTTTTATTGAAGAATTTGTTGATCCGGAACAGATGGATAATGGATGGGATGGGAAAATCTATTTGGCTCAAATTGAATCAATGAAGACTTTCGAATACAGTACATTATACATTAATTACCAGGATTTAATGTCAAGGGAGAATGGGGTATTGGCAACAGCCATATCGGAACAATACTACAGATTTTACCCCTTTTTGCTCAACGGTTTGAAACGTCTTTTGAAGAAATATGCTCCCCAATTGCTTCACACAAATTTGTTAGGACAAGTTGATAATGATGAACCAGAAAGTGAAAACAGTTTGTCTACAACCAGTGCGGCTTCTAATGAGAGGGTACTTCAGCTTTCCTTTTTCAACTTACCAACAGTGCAAAGAATTAGAGATGTTCGCTCAAACAAGATTGGTTCGTTGATGACCATTTCTGGCACTATAACTAGAACTTCTGAAGTTAGACCTGAGTTATACATGGGAAGCTTCACTTGTGACATGTGTTCAGCATTAATTGAAGGAGTTGAGCAAATATTCAAGTACACAGAGCCGACATCCTGCCCTTCTTGCGAGAACCAGTCATATTTTACCTTGAATGTTTCAAAATCATTGTTTATCGATTGGCAAAGAGTAAGAATCCAAGAAAATGCTAATGAAATTCCAACTGGATCAATGCCAAGAACATTGGATGTCATTTTGCGTGGTGAAACTGTGGAGAGAGCCAAGCCAGGAGACAAGTGCAAATTCACTGGATGTGAAATTGTTATCCCTGATGTGTCGCAATTGGGATTGCCTGGTGTCAAACCACAATCCATCAAGGAGAACAAAGGAAGCTCAGAGTTGAACTCGGGTGTGTCAGGCTTGAAGACGCTTGGAGTTAGAGACTTGACTTACAAGTTGGCATTCAATGCATGTCATGTGTGTTCAATAATTAATAAAGTTGGTAATGAACGAGATGAAGACAATGATAACTCAGACGCATACTTGCTATCGTTACCACAAGCTGAGGTTGATGAGTTGAAGGAAATGGTTAAGGATGAGTATGTCTATGATAAATTGGTCCAGTCGGTTGCGCCTGCAGTATTTGGTCATGATACCATCAAGAAAGGTATCTTACTTCAATTGCTCTCCGGTGTTCACAAGCAAACTGTTGACGGAATCAATTTGAGAGGTGATATCAACATTTGCATTGTTGGTGATCCATCAACCTCAAAGTCGCAATTTTTAAAATACGTTTGCGGATTCAGTCCTAGAGCTGTTTATACTTCTGGTAAAGCCTCTTCCGCGGCCGGTCTAACTGCAGCAGTTGTTAGAGATGAAGAAAGTGGTGAATACACCATTGAAGCTGGTGCTTTGATGTTGGCAGATAATGGAATCTGTGCCATTGATGAATTTGACAAGATGGACGTGGTTGATCAAGTGGCAATTCATGAGGCAATGGAGCAACAAACCATCTCTATTGCTAAAGCTGGTATTCATGCAACTTTGAACGCTCGTACATCTATCTTGGCTGCTGCAAACCCTATTGGCGGAAGATACAATAGGAAAGTTGGTCTTCGGTCAAATTTGAACATGACAGCTCCAATTATGTCGAGATTTGATTTGTTCTTTGTCATCTTGGATGATTGTAATGAACGTGTGGATACTCAATTGGCGTCGCATATAGTTGATTTGCATATGCTTAGAGATGATGCTATTGACCCACCATATTCAGCTGAACAATTGTCAAGATACATCAAATACGCCAAGACTTTCAATCCCAAGATGACCAAGCAAGCCAGAGATTTCCTTGTTACTAGATACAAGGAGTTGCGTGACGATGATGCGCAAGGGTTGGGCAGGTCATCGTACAGGATTACTGTACGTCAATTGGAGTCAATGATTAGATTAAGTGAAGCTATTGCTAGGGCCAATTGTACCGAGGAAATTACTCCCGACTTTGTTGCCGAAGCGTATGATTTGTTGAAACAGTCTATTATCAGAGTTGAAATGGATGATGTGGAGATGGAAGCTGATGACCAAGAGGAACAGGAAACTGCTATGGACGAGGATAATGCTGATACTGTTGCAGCTACTACATCCAGGGCCGAACCAACAACAATTTCATACGACAAGTACGTCTCAGTCATGAATCTACTCGTCAAGAAGATTTCTGAGGATGATAAAGCTGGTGGAGAAGGGTTAACTGCTAATGAATTGGTTGAATGGTTTTTGCTCCAAAAGGAGGATGATTTGTCCAGTGAGGCTGAATATTTACAAGAGAGAAAGATTGCTTACAAAGTGTTGAAACGATTAGTGAAAGATCGTATTTTGATGAGCGTTTCCAATAATGACAATGATGGCGAAGATGAACAAGCAGGAACAGAAACGATGTCGTCATCAACAAAGACAGTTTACATCATTCATCCAAATTGTGCCATTCTTGATTTCTTTGAAAGAGATGAAAGAGAAAGTGAACAATCTACGTGAGCAAACACGCTGCCCCTCTTTATAGCCCCTCTTTATAGCCCCATTCTTCCATTTTCTGTGTATTATTATAGTGATTAGTGAATTGCCATCTTCCCTATGTGGCTGTAGTCTTTCGTTTCTTTGATTGAGGTGGTCCTAAAAGCACCCTGAACTTTGCTTGGTGTAATTCGGCATCCGTAGATGATCCAGTTGATGCGAGGTCCTTCTGCGATTGCCATTCAGTAGGTTGTGTTTGCGATGCACAAGCAAAACAATGGTCAACAAAGGCCTTGGAATTGGGGAACATACGCTGGCACGATCGACACCAGCCTGGTTCGTCAACTACGTAAGAAGTTTTGGACCCTGTTGTAGTGATGATCCGTGCACCTTCACCAATGGGCAATCGTTTATCACGGACATAGTGGACCAACTTCAAGTGGCGTTTCAACACGTCCAACCGATTGAAAGCTCCACCATTCTTGTGGCATGTAGGGTCGTTTTTCCAATAGGGGCAATGGTATTGAGGCGCCATATGGGATTTGAAGTGACGGGTTAGGTCTGATTGACGAGCAAACGACCACTCACATGATTCAAAGGTACACTTGAATGGCTTTGATTTGTTGGTAGGGTCAGTTGAGTCGGACGATACATTGCTTGTGGAGGTGTGAAAGATCTGCAGCTGGTGTTGGTGTTGGTGCTGGTGTTGGTGTTGGTGTTGGTGTTGGTGCCGATGAGTTTGATCGTGAGCTTCTTGCACATCATCTTGCTTTTGCAGCTTGGTCTTCAGTGATGACTCATTTGCATCCGCCGCCTCGGTTAGACTTTTCCTCGACTCTGTCAAGGACACATCACCAAAAGCGCCAGATTCCAATCTCGACAAGGCGCTAGCAGCGATATTTGTTGCCAGGGCGGGCGTATTGGATTGTTGTTCCCTGAACGCTGGTTCATAGGGCAAGAATGTCGTGAATGGCTGGTAGTCGCTACGATAGACTGATTGTAGACTAGCTAATGGTGGGAGCTTACGCGAGCCGGCAAGCGAAGTCGTGGATGATGATGAAGCAACCTCTGAAGATGCAGTTGGCGTCGTCCCGGTGTCATTGTTAGAGGATGTTTTCAGCGCCTCCTCTTCTTTTGGCTCAGACTTTACCGATTGTGGATGGAGCAGTGGATTGATATCGTCATCATTTGTTTCCTTCTTTGTGGATGTCATCTGTGTTAAAGCCTTTGCTACTTTGCAACTGTACAACTGTGCAACCTTTGCATGGATTTGAGTTTTGAGCCGCTTATGTTGAGGTTTGGACAAGAAAAAAAAAAAAATGTAAGTGACAGAAGTGTCTTCTTTTTGATAATTACACACGACCATATATATCGGCAATGACGAAGATTTGTTTCTTGCGACACGAAGTTCTCTGACCGTAGCAATGTAAGGTGCTAGATCTGCGATGCTGAGGGCCAGCAATCTTTTCACTGTGTGTTACAAATTGATTCCGTGGGCCAGCAACCAGCATGCTCATAGTACAACTTTTTGAATTTTAGCGTAAATTTAACCAAATACGAGGTCACCAACTAACTTCAGTTTTAGTAAAAATGTAGTAATATCCTGCATGTAATTAAACATGTTCTCCAGACTTTCTTCCTATAAAAAAGCAAGGAGACAATCACTACTTTTTTGCTACTTTCAAAGTACACTTGCTGCTGATCATTCCACAATGTCTAAAGTATGTTTTCTCAAGCAATTGATCTGAAGAAGCATATCATACTAACTCCCTTGCAAGAGTATTGAGATCTTGAAATTCGCCGACGAAGACGGCAACTACAAAAGAAAGCCGTCCGTGTTTCGTGATTGGATCAGTGCCAAACCTGGATCCAGATTCCCGCCTGAAGCTGGTAGATACCATTTGTATGTATCCTTTGCTTGTCCATGGGCTCACCGTACTTTGATTACCAGAAGATTGAAGGGTTTGGTTTCCATAATTGGATTGTCTGTTGTGCACTGGCACATGGATGACAAAGGGTGGAGATTTCCCACAAAAGAGGAGTTGGAGTCATTGCCACAAAAAGACGACATATCCTTGGGAACTCCTGACAATTTGTATGGATTCGATCGGTTAAGAGAGTTGTACTTCAAGGCCGACCCAAACTACAATGGTAGATTTACCGTCCCGGTTTTGTGGGACAAGAAGGAGCAGACAATTGTCAACAATGAGTCTGCAGAGATTATTAGAATGCTCAACTTTGACTTCAACTCTATCTTGCCTACGGAGTATGCTGACTTGAACTTGGTGCCCAAGGAGTTGGAGTCTCAAATTGATGAAATCAATGGTTGGATCTACGACAATATCAACAATGGAGTTTACAAAACCGGTTTTGCTTCCAAACAAGAGGTGTATGAAAAGGAGTGCCGTAACGTTTTTACCCATTTGGATAAGGTGGAAGAATTGTTGAAGAAGAATAAAGAACAAGACCGTAAGAATGAGTTTTTGTTGGGAAGCAGATTAACTGAAGCTGATATTAGGTTGTTTACTACAATCATTCGTTTTGACCCGGTGTATGTCCAACATTTCAAGTGCAACATTGGAATGATCCGAACCCACTACCCAAACATTCACAATTGGGTTAGATTGTTGTATTGGAAGATCCCGGGGTTCCAAGAAACCACCAATTTTGAACACATCAAGTACCATTACACCAAATCTCATATCAAAATCAATCCCTATGGTATTACACCCTTAGGACCAGTGCCAAACATTTTACCAATCGATCAATAAGTATTTATGTAACTCTTTTTATAACTTTATTTTTTCTATATGTTTATCAGTCTGGCTTTGCAATGACATGTACTGTAATCCTATGTTCCTCAATGTAATCAACCATTCAAGCGCGAACGAAAATTAGGACTTGACGAGTGCTAGAACAAACACAAGCTGGAGCATGAAAAGACTGGGATTACCTCCAAACAATTCTTCATGCGGAATCAATAGACTGTCAATTAACTGCAGTCTCTCAACCGCTCCATCTCTGCGTGACTACCTTCAAGCTTGACTGGCTACTCGTATTCTTCTCCTACACCCCCATTCTCTCAGTCATAACATCATCATTGAAACTTTCTACAAAGTATTACAAACAAACAAGATAGGGTCTATATAAGTCCCCCCCCCCTTCCCCGCACACATTGTCCTGCTCCATTTCCTCATTAATCGGATAACATGGTAATATCAAACCATCCCAAAAAATCGTCGTCCTGATTGTCCATCCAGCCATTTGATTGCTGCTGGAAAAAATTATCAATTTGAGAAACAAACGATCCTGGTCCTGGGACAGGAGCAGAGCCAGGTAAATTGCCAACCACCCCATTTGGCTGCGTTGTTGTTGTTGTTGTTGTTGTTGGTGGTGGTGGTGGATGTTGTTGGTGGTGGCGGTTGTTGAGTACTGGAAACTGCTCGTTAACGTTGACTTCTTCAATTGTTGGCAAGTAAGTTTGTGGCGGAGGCAATTGATTAAATTGGAAAGGTGGTAATGTGTGTGTGTGCATTTGTTGTTGTTGGAGTTGAGGTGGGACGCTAGATGCTAGAATCGGTGTAGCTTGGTGATGCTGCAATGGCTGCTGCTGATGTTGTTGCGGCAATCCTGACTCCGTCTTCACAGCAACCTCTCGCTCCGGCTCTTGTACATTCATTATATCTCTAGTTGATCCGGTTGCTTCCAACATTGTCAATGGGATACCGTTAATTTCTAATGGCTGATTGTCTCCAGCATTCAGTTTTGCTTGGTTCATGGCCTCATCAGTAGGAACCAATGTGGTGATGGTGGTTCCGTTAGGAGTGGTAGTAGTGATTGCAGTGAAATCGTCTTTAGTGATTTGATTGTAAAATGGCAAAGGAAGTAGCTTTTTATCGTGGGCTTCAATTCTTCTTGTTGGCGGTTTACCTTTGTCCAATGCAGTTCTTCGTTTCCCTTCATGAACGCACCACACCAAGTCATAAAACAACGAAGCGGTCAAATGCGATCTCATTCGTGATATAATACTAGACCCATCATCTTTATCATCGTGCAAGAAAATGTCTGGATAAGTGTACAAAACAATGTTTAAATTCTCCAAAACTTTGGCCGTTCTAGACATGTCATTTTGTAGGTTTTGCCACGAACTCAAGGTGTTTCGAAACATTCTGTGCACAGTAACAATTGATTGTCTAGCGGAATCAATATACTTATCGTAAAGGTACTTTGATAAATGCAATTTGAAAAGCAACAACACTGAATACGAAACCGCTTGTCGGATATATATTGGCAATTCGATCAAACTTGTCTCCTGATTCATTTTGGAAACAATTGTGATTATCCTGGTCGCGGACAAGTAACCCGAGCTAACATACTTGACTTGATCTTCAATTGGTGTGCCAGGTAAAAATGCAAAACAGCAAATCATTAATTTGACATAGAGGTAATACACCTCAATAGGTGAACCTTCTTCAATTTGTAGCTTGAATCGTAATCGCTCCAACTCTCTATCCAACAAATTCAATGACCCAGCGCGATTCAGCGGCTCCAACAACCCATCAGGTCTAGTAACGCTAATCCCCATAACATTGACCAATTTACATTGGAAAATTGACAATGAAATCAAACAACGAAACTCTTTAGGCAATGACTGATCGACTCTAGCATTTTCCAATAGATAATCAGTAGTGTTGATACTTGGGGGCAACCCCAACAAAGAGGACCAAAACTGTTCGCAAAAGAATAGAGCCAACCATGATCTAGTCCTCCATTTTTCGGCATCGGGACCTAAACTGACTTGATTTCGACTAAACTCTTGAATAAACTCTCCACCTCTGTGTAATCCCAACTGTAATGACAAGTTCTTGGCCAATCCAACAAATCGGTAGGAACAATCATCAAGCACTTTTTCATTTGGCAACGGCCAGATGGACAAAATAATCAATGCCTGAATGACATGCGTAGATCGTGGGGTTTTGATCCAACATGTTTCAACTGCCAACTGTTTGATTAAAGATGCTAATGACATGTACAAAGTCGGTTCCGGTTCTCCTAAGCTTGCAGTCAAGATCACCACCCAAAACAATAAATTTGATTTGTGATACAACTCTGTAGCTGAGCGTGAATTGATAATGGGAAAATATTTTAAATTTCTCGTCATAAAACGTTGATGTAATTCATTAGCCTTGGCTAAGGGTAAAGTAACATTGCCCAAGGCAAACTCTGAAATAGGCTGATAATTTTCGTGGTTCACCTCAAAATTACCGATTGCTGAAGGTGAATTGTCGGAATTATCATGCGTTAAAGGAGAGCTTCGATGTATTTGTGTTATTGATGAGATAGGTGACATCTGAGGACTTTGTGCAAACGAAGAAGATGAGGGCAAAACTATGGGGCTTATAGCAGGATACAGGTAACTTTTTTGTGGCTGTGGATGCGAAGGATTTTTTGTCTGCGATTGCGATTGCGATTGCGATTGCGGTTGTTGTTGTTGTGGCAGATTCTGTGGATGCACATTAGGTGAAGTTGATGTTGCTTGAGAAACAAAGCCAAAATTATGCTGACTCAATGCTTGAGTTAAAAGTGACTCGTTCTTCGTCAAGAGGTCAATTTTTTCCTTTAACTCATCAACATCCAGCTTCAAAGATTGTATCTGCGACCCCTTCTTAGGTCTAAACTCTGGGTCAATTTCGCATTTCAACCCCATCTTTTCGCATCGCTCACATGGTTGTGGGTGATTATCAAGCGCATTACATTTGATTTTGTGCTGACGACAAAAAGTGCACGACGTGACAGGTCTATGACCTGTTTGTTTGGACTGTTTTTGTGATGAAGGATCCTTCTGTGTGTTCTTCGTTGGCTTGGTACTGTTGTGCTCACGAGGTGACACGCTATTAGTACTACTACTAGCAGTACTTGATTTCTTTTCTCTCTTCACTTTAGGACTTCCTTTGGAAGCAGTAGAGCTTGTCGTCGCCACTGTTGCTGTTGCAGATTTTGAACGTTTGCGTGCTGGTAATGTGGGTGAATTGGCGTATTTAGGCGATACGGACACCAATGGAGATGGGGTTTGGGGTGAGTGCGTGGCTGGAGCTGGTTTGGGCAAAATTTTGACCTTTGCCTTCTCGGAGTACTTCATAATTTCGTAGAGGTTCTATTTCTATTGTAGTGTATCGTGGGAAACGCGACGTCGCTTCTGCGAGTAGATGAGTGGTCTTGTTACAATCACGCGTCAGTAGGGTCAATCCAAGAAGGTATATCTATGCAACAATGACGTGACGATTGTTGTGCGTATGAGCAATGCAATTGATTGGTATATAGACGTGGTGTGGTGATCTATTCGTGAAATGAATTTTGGCAGACCTTTGCTAAAGGTGAACAGTGGTTGTAGAAAATTTTTATTAAGGTCAGTAATAGAAAGTCTATCTGGGTTTCTCTTGTTGAGGATTTGACTTGACCTTTTATATATATATATATATATGTATATTTATTTTTAATTTATTTACAATTTTGTTACTTACGCAGTATGTATGTATGTTTGGATGTACATGAGGTTAGTTAGGGAATTACACAGAAGTTGTGTATTGAGGTATGGATGTGTTGGTAGTGTAATTGAAAACAATATTTCCACTGATGGAAAAGATAAAAATTTTTCACTTTCTATAGAATACACAAAACAGCATCAGCGACAAAGCGTATGGGAAGAAGCCGTTCTCTCGGGCGTGTTATACGTTTCGACACCCACAGCTACTACTCTAGTGTAAACTGTCAGTTCACGGCTTGTTCAAGTAGAGCGGATTCCTGTAATCATTCTCAACTTAAAGTCCCATTCGGCTCTGACTTCGGTTCCTACAAACTTAAAAGCCCCGAGAAATATAGAACAATGCAACAACGAAAGGTCACTTATTTCAGAACGAGTTTTCTATGACATTCAAAAAGAAAAGAGCGAGAAATTTTAGCACCCTTAAGAATGTTCAGCGAGCTCAGGGTGGCAAGAAACAATCATTGCGTCTCTAGAGCATCATAGTGATGTAATCAATTGCTATTAAAGGAAAAAAGAATACCAAAGTCTCGGCAAGCAGTAACTAAAATAAATAGAAGTTGAAAATGCCGAAAGTTGCCTGTTTGGCATCTGAAAAGAGAGAGAGAGAAAAAAAATAAAAAATAAAAAAAAAAGCAAAATATAACAATAAACACTCACACCAAAATTATCTAAAAGATCAGTGGACTGTATATAAAAAAAACATAACATAGCTGCCACATACAAATACAGTTTACTGTAGCAATCAAGAACAAAAAAAAAAAACAAAAAAAAAACAACGAATTTAAATAAATATAAGAAACCAAACACTATAAAACTTTAATACCGAATCCAGACTAAAGAAAACACTATACACTCCTTCAATTCGACAATAGGATCGAACGGCAACCAACATATTCACTCTTAGACCTCTACTCATCATCTTCAACCTTTGGATCACCAATTCCATCCTCATAAATTGCAAACACACAATCACTTTCTGGTAAGCAAGGTGAATCATAAATCTTGCAAATTCTTTGCTCACCTCTCCCCTTTTTCAATGACAATCTAGTTGTTGAAGCATGGGCAATAATGTTTCCACCAATGGGTTTTTTCGGGTCAGGATTATACATTCCCGACATACCATCGACTTGAGCAACAACTTGATTAGTAATAACAACAGCAATACCAAACTCATCAGCCAATCTTTGCAATGTTCTCATAAACTTTGCCACTGATGTTTGACGTGCACTTAACTCACCTCTACCAGCATAATCAGTACGGTATAACGACATGATGGAATCAACAATCAACAATGAAAATCTCAGTTCTGCCATCATTTGTGCTGCTAAATGCAACAAGTTTAACTGATGTTCTGCGTTGTAAGCTCTAGCGTACGCAACATTATCCAAGCAATCATTAGGACTGAGCCCGTACCTTTCAGCAATGGAGACTAATCTATTTGGTCGGAAAGTTCCTTCAGTATCAATGTAGAGACACTTTCCTTCACCACCACCCATGTCTATCGGAAGCTGGCAAGTGACTGCCAATGTATGACACAATTGTGATTTACCAGTTCTAAATTCACCAAAAACTTCAGTGATTGATCCCGTTTCGATACCACCTCCCAACAACGTGTCCAACTGCTTGGACCCAGTAGTCAAACAAATCAACTCTGATCTCCTCGAGTGAAATTCAGACGCGGTTGTGAACCCCAAGGGCACCAATTTTGCCGCCTCGTTAGAAATCTTTTCTGCCTTGGCCTCACTGATACCTTTGACCGTGATCAACTGTCTCTTGGGGGTATATGCGATCGACTCGATAGTATGAAACCCTTCAGCCTTCAACTTCTTGATATCAGATGTAGTAATACCATTACCTTCAAGTTGCTCAATAAGTAAAGGTCCGTTCATTTCTTCCTCCTCTTCTTCCGCGTCATGTGCACCAGCCGCGTCTGGGTCGTGCATATTGTGATCGTGTCCTGCCGAAGAGGTGGAGATATTGGACGCTTCAAGCCTTTGCAGCTGTAACTCAACTTCTGTTTGTGACATGGTAATAATAACAGTTCTCTTTTGTAGATTGTTGCAAGTGAGATGCTTGTGCTAAAGAAAGAAGTGGTACACGCGTTTTGGTATTTGATCTCGCGTTCTGTAATTTATTTTCCTGCGTATGGCGCTACCGACTTGATGGTGATTTTGCTTATGGAGAAATAAAGTGTGGTTGCAAAAAATTTCCAATTACCAGAGGAGAGTTAGCGAGTTCACAAACCGAGTTAGCAAGAGAGAAGGAAAAGAGAGAGAGAGAGACACACACACACATAAGTACATTTGGGATATTAAAAAAAGAGAGCTTCTCTTAGTTGCTGCAAGTTTGTAGCGCAAGATTTGTTTAAGAGTGTGGTTACAAGAGCACAATCGAGAGTGGGTAACTCGTTTATTCTTCTCGTGATCTTTTATGACTTCAATTTGTATTCAATTCTTATCTTGGAGAACTTGTAGATAATTGAAAAGGTATTTCGAACTTAGTCTGAATTTTTATTCAAGGCGTATTAGACCCCAAGCTGGTTTGTCATCTATTTTGGCACAAAAAAAAGGCACGAACATTTGTGATGAGACCAATACGATGGCTCGTTGACGGATCAGGAGTATAAATACCTAAAGGGTTTGGCCACTACGACTAAGAAGTATATAGGTACGACACGTGGCTTCATATGAGGACAGTGGCTTACTCAAGTGCGATTTCTTTTATACGACGGGTCGCAAAAAGCAGCAACAGAAATAAAATGTTTGGCGTTTTTCTTTGAGGCCGACACATAAGAAAGACCCAGTGCGTCAACCCAGCCTATCACTACCATACGCAATCCTGAGATATTAAAGTATAAAATCGAGATCAAGATTTGAATTGAGCACGCATCAAATTTTATCCCGAGAAAAGATCTCTCGTATAGAACTCTACTTGTCGTATAGGACTCTACTCTCGTTTAGCGAAGATATTTCAACGACAAAAATAAAAAAAAAAAAAAAGTCAAAACCGAAATTGATGTAAATGGCCATCTGTACACGACTTTTCAATTAAGCTGCACAAATAGACTACAGGCTGCATAAGGCAGAGACTAGATGCATGTAGGAATTGTTAATTGATTTGGTAATAGATCCTACGGGAAGAGCATTCCCAAGTTTGCCCAATCACTTGCACCGGCTGACATGTTTTGTATCATCCAACAAGCCACACCTAGTTCTTAATTACTGTCGTTTAGATTTACTGGTTTTACGATGCGCGCCTGTCTCTGTTTGTCTGTCTGTCTGTCTGTCTCTTCCCGTCCATCAAAAATAAAAAGAAATAAAAAAAATAAAAATAAAAATAGAGAGACACACCTGAGATAGGCTCATCAAAAATATTTATAGCCACCGGAATTTACCTTGAAACTTATTCATTCTCTTTTTCTGCTAACAAGGTATAACCAACTTCTGGCATTAGTTGTTTTACAATTCGCTACATCACAAGCAAAATACATATATTCAACACATAAACACATTCTTTAGGCATAGATATTTCAACTATATCTAAGCTTTCCGTACTACACACGCACGCACACACACACGTCCTTACTACACGCATATAAACGTTCCTTTTTTTTTTTATCCGTTTTCCAAAAGAGCTAGAGTCAGAGTCAGATGTCATCAAGCAAGGTATACTACGACTATTCCCTGTTTTCCAATGGGACTTCATTTGCGGACGCTTACAACAACTTCAACCAGTTGCCCAATTTGAACGTGATTGAAAAGCTTTGGGGTAGTTACTACTACTACATGAACAATGATTTATTTGCAACTGGGTTATTGTTTTTTGTCACTCATGAGTTGTTTTACTTTGGTAGATGTTTACCATGGGCCATCATTGATAGAATCCCATACTTCAGAAAATGGAAGATTCAAGATGAAAAATTGCCCAGTGATGAAGAACAATGGGAATGTTTGAAGCTGGTTTTAACTTCCCATTTCTTGGTTGAAGCTTTCCCCATTTGGTTTTTCCATCCCTTGTGTCAAAAGATTGGTATTTCCTTTGATGTGCCATTCCCAGGTGTAGGAGAAATGTTGTTGCAATTGGCTGTGTTTTTCGTTTTGGAAGATACTTGGCATTATTGGTTCCATCGTGGATTACACTATGGTGTGTTTTACAAGTACATTCACAAGCAACACCACAGGTATGCTGCTCCTTTTGGATTGGCTGCTGAGTACGCCCATCCCGTTGAAGTTGCATTGTTGGGTTTGGGAACTGTTGGTATTCCAATCTTGTGGTGTCTAGCCACGGGTAAATTACACTTGTTTACCGTTTCTGTGTGGATTGTTTTAAGGTTGTTCCAAGCAGTTGATTCCCATTCCGGATACGAATTTCCTTGGTCATTGCATCATTTCTTGCCATTTTGGGCAGGTGCTGATCACCATGATGAACATCACCACTATTTCATTGGTGGGTACTCGTCTAGCTTTAGATGGTGGGATTACTTTTTGGAAACTGAAGCTGGTCCAAAGGGTAAAGCTGCTAGAGAAGAAAAGATAAGGAGACAAGCTGAGAAATTGCAAAAGAAGACCATATAAGCTAGGAGGTTGAAGTTTCCTTAGTTGCTTTGTTTCTGCAACAGTCACCATATCTTTCAGTCAAAATTTGCTTTTCATCATTACAATCCATTGTTATGCTTTGATACAAGAGCCGTATTTATAGATTTTATTGCCTAATAGCTTCAAAAGAGAAATCAATATTCAGAGCAACTGCCATTTTCCTATCTACGTTCACGATTCCAACTTTGATTTCTCTTCATTCACCCAACCCTCATACTCTTTCCTCTTTGCAACAATATCGATAAATGGTACTCTCAGCTGCAACTCTTCAAACGCGTTGATACCAACCTTATCTCCCAATTTCAAGCTATCCTTCATCTCAATTGGTCTCAAATACTTCAGGTCATCAAACACCAACTTGTCCTCTCCAGTGATTGACAAATGGACGGGGTTTTCAATTGATACGAGTGCACCAACCATGACAATGATGAACCCGATAATGGCTTCGATATAGATATCCAACGGTAAGGAAATTGACTGAAGGGAGTGTTGTTGCTGGTTCTGGTGCTGGTGCTGGTACTGGTGCTGGTGTTGCTGTTGCTGATGGAGGATGTGATGGTTGTAGTGTGTTGCGTATTTATGGAATTCAAATGCTGAATATCCCGAATGGATTAGTAGGAGTGTACCTACAAAGTACAGCAAGTACTTGTACGAGGATGAGGACGAGCCATTCGACGAGGGCATGGTTTTATTATGTGACGATAACTTTTGAAGTATCCCTACCAAGAATTGTGATTGATATGTTGTGGGTGTGATATCTCTCGATGAATGTGTGTGTTACACTGAATAACTTAACGACTAAGAGACAATTTTCTTTTTTCTGTACAGTGCGTTACATTTAATTAATCAATTAAAAATTCAAAATTATCAACATCAGGTTCTTCTTCTATTGCATATATAAATCAGATACGTTTCAACAGGTTTAGTTCTCATTCACCAATTGATCAATCCATCACACTATCCAGAGTTGAGAGCCCTCTTCACCAACACATAACCCATACTCATCACCCCCACCGCCCACTCCTACGCCCACATCTGTAGGCTTTAATTATTATCCAACGGAAAAATTCTTAGAAAATCAAAAATTGAGATAAACAAAAGTCCAAAAAGGGCAAAAAGGCGGGAAGACAACCAAATTTTTAGTCCCAATTTCCCACGCAGTCTCCCCCAAAACAATCTTGACAAATAACATTTAGAACCCCATACAACTATAGACCACTGCCCCAGTTTTGGACCTTAACACGCGTCTGGTGCATCTGTTTTTTTTTTTTCTTTTTTCTGATTCTTTTAGTGGTGACTGAAACATGACTGAATCCACAGTTGCTGCGGGAGCTGCTGCTGATCCTGCTGCTCCTACCGAATCAAAGGACTCTTCCGTAGCTCAGGCCACCGTCACTCTGAGTTCAACAACAACACCAACAACAACAACAACAACACCAATACCAACATCAAAACCCCAGCCACAATACAGTCCCAAGATAATCACTTCTTTGGACTGTAAGTTGTTACAATATCAATATGGGATTTATAAATTGGAAAATTTCATCACCAGTTTAAAGCGGTTACATAGTTCAACTACGGAAATTCCAATGATCCATTATATCGTCTTGCTAACAGGAAGTGTCTTTGCCATCAATGATAAATCATTTGATTCAAGATTTGACAAGCTAGCCAATTTCAGACCAATACAGATTGGTACTGTCAACATTGCTCCAAATGTGTCTCATATCCCCTACGACATCCCTGATTTACCTGTACTGGCACTAGATGACTTCCCATCACTCGAAGATGCATTAAAGTGTTTAAAGCAGGTTGAGATTTTGACTCAAGTTTGTTTATCAGGATACAAGAAAAGATTGGAATTGGCCAGAGGGGATAAAGAAAACTCAACAAAGGGTACTAATCTTGAAACGTATTACTCCAAGGTGGATTCTATAATCTCGCATGACATATTCCATCAGGATATTGATCTTCAATTGAATGATGTATCATTTCCTATAACCGACGATCAACAATCAAATATTCAACATTATGAGGAAGCTTCATTGATCGATATGGATCTCAAAGAGTTGTTTGTAATTATCCAGCAGATGGAGAAACTGTTGGCCAAGTTGAAACCAGAGATCAACACATTGAAAAAGTCCCAAGTTGATGATTCTTTTGCCCTACACAAGATTTTCCTTCTCACCTCCAGATTGAATGAAATTTACACCATTGTACGAAGATTCGGTCGAAAAATTTACCTTTCCAATCATCAGCATCTTGTTGATGCCAAATTCTTGCATCATTGTCCCAATGCCGCCTATTTCAAGACCAATGTATTGAAAAATATGGATGACTACTACAATTCAATGAAGAAAAATGGTACACTTATTGCAAATATTACAAGACTCATACGCCAAGATACCAGATTGGAAATAAACAGCAAGAATGTCAGCACACACATTAATTTCGTCGTTCAAGGTTTGAACGTTACTGAAAAATGTCTAAATGTGCTAAAAGAGTTTGGCTTATCTTGGATTGTTTCTGAAAGAAAGTTTCGAAATGTTTACAATTTACCAAAGGGAAATCTAAACAAAATCTTCGAAAGTGTAAGCGAGTTGAAACCTAAACCACCACCACAAGCAAAAGTAGCATCAAAGACACAACAGCCATTGACTTTGAAACCAAGTAGCCATCAAACTTCAGCCATGGAAAGGCATTTGAAAAGTTTAGACTTGAATGATAATGGTGGAGGAAGACGATCTCGGTCCTCATCAACTTCCAGTGTCAATAGTAATGGCAGCAATTCATCCACTCCATCCTCGGGATTGATGAGAAGAGGTTCATTGACGTCACCTAATAAGGGGGTTTCAACTTCAAGGGTTACTTCACCAAGAGCCAGACCCAACTCAATGTTGTTTCAGCAACAACAACATAATTCCTCAACGTCAAGTCTTGAGAATGGAGACGCTGGTGATGGGAAGGCAGCGACTAGCATACTGGTAAGTCAGAATGCAAAAATTCAAGGTCGTCAGAGATCGAATTCACATCCACTTGCAAATGAAGTCATAGCCACGTCGGGCGCAGCAGCAGCTTTGAAAGCAAGCGGGACAAAAGCCGCTTCTCCTTACAAGCAACTGCAGCAGCAACAGAAAAAGCAAGAGCAGGGAAATGCCGATGTACAACAAAATCAGTCACAACAACGCAGCCCGCAAAGAGCACAACTGCCCCCGCAAACAGAAACCAACGCAAAAGTCTTGAATGGAGATTCCTATAGCTCCATCACAAAGAAGTTGCTAGCTGTTAGTGAAGAAAGCACCGAAGAGGATGCTTCCTCAGGTGTGAGACGTTCTGCTTCACAAAGACTTCAACAACATATTAGGGATGCGGCGAAATCAGGCGACATGATGACAACACAAAGGGAAACATTCAACTCTGTTGTGTATGATCCCAATCAGTCAAACCAACTTCACATGAAGCGATACATTGATAGACCAAAAACAACTGAGTCGCAGTCCCCGGAGCCTACGTTATCGCACCCTCCCTCTCTGGCAACAACTGTAAACTCAACTTCAACCGAGGCTGCTCATGCAAAGACTCAAAGACAGCCATTACTTAGAACAAGGGATCAAGTGACCCGAAACAATACCCAGAGGAATAGTTTCATTCCTGATGTACCAACAAAGGCGCTGGCGGTGGATAGCCAACCTGTTTCACAGGATAATTCTTCCAATTCAACTGCCGCTTCCTCGTCCACCTTGGGTAGCAGCGTTGAAGACATACCGCAAGCTGGGCCAGCACCAACCACGACAACTTCCATTTCTCAGAGCGAGACCAGCACTGATGTAGTGTCTGGATTGGACGATCAAACCACTTTGATTGTCGGTACCACCAATGAAGGTGCAACATCAGTCACCCAATCCACCCCACCGATAATCAAAAAAGTTCGATTCACTGGAGTTCCCGAGTATACCGCTGCTGAGGATGCACCAACAAAGTATTCGCATGCGATATTGAGAAATTTTGCAGTTTTCCGCTCACCTTCCAAGACGAACAAGGAACGCAAACACTATTTCACCAAGAGTGATCAATTGCTAAAGGAAGAAAGCTTGTCATTTAGAGCTAATCAAACATTGAACGAGGGTGAGCCAGTCTTGCCATCGCAGGTGATGCCACAACCAATTCCTCCAGTGTCGACTACAAAGAGGGGGTTGGGATTGTCCAAATTTAGGTTCAAACTGCTGTAAAGATTTTGGGAGGTAGAAAGGGAACTATCTATAGTTTATTTAATTTGTAATTTGTATCAGTTGTAAGCTTGTGGCTCGATTTGATTGTCGCATGTTGCAAAGTCGCGAATGTTTTGTTTTCACGACACTTCAGATCATCGCAAAAAAATTCCACAAACCATTTCTAAATTCATTTGTTATCACACTCTTCCATACAAGTTACCTTTACTCTATCACACAGCACCCTTTTTCAGAATGAGACAAAAAAGAGCCAAATCTTACAAGAAACAAATGAATGTGTATCACTACACGTTCAAATTCCGAGAGCCTTACCAAATCGTAGTCGACAATGAAATCGTACTCACTTGCTCAAACGCATCCTACGATATCAGCAAGGGACTAACCAGAACAATCCAAGCTGAAAACAAACCCATGATTACACAATGCTGCATTCAAGCACTATACAATAGCAAGAACCAGGATGCTATCAACTTGGCCAAGACGTACGAGCGAAGGAAATGTAATCATCGTGAAGCGATTGATCCTGCTGAATGTATCAAGAGTATAGTTGATATCAAGGGTGAGAATAAACATCGCTATGTGGTTGCCACTCAAAACTTGGACTTGAGGCGGAAATTGAGGCAAGTTCCCGGCGTTCCTTTAATCTACATGAATCGATCCGTCATGGTTATGGAGCCATTGAGTGATGCTAGTGCAAAGTATAGTGAAGAATGGGAGACTAAGAAATTGACTGGTGGATTGAATGATTTACAAGCGGGGAAAGTTGTTGAGAATGAGGAAGGTGGTGATGATGGTGATAATGGGGGAGTGAATGGAGAGGATGGTGCTCCTCCAGCAAGGAAGAAGAGGAAAGGACCAAAGGGCCCTAATCCGTTGAGTATAAAGAAGAAGAAAAAGGCTGACCCTGTCTCGAATGGTGGCAATGAGGATAGCGAGAAGAAGAACAGGAGGAAGAGGAAGCATAAAAAGTCAGAGGAGACGAGAGGCGGGGAGGGAGAGGAAGGTGAAACAGGCGGAAGCAAGAGCGACGAAGACAACAAGAGGCAACCTACTGAGTCCTCAACTACACAATCAAATGCAGACCAGGAAGAAGTTGTATAGGTATATACAAGCGATTTATACTACATAAAACGTAGTTAGTAATTCTCATTTCTGTAGATCCTCACCCATGAATCACCAATTCATCCAGTTGCAAAACGTCAAAACTATTCTTGCTCTCACTCTTCTTTCCATCACCATCACCATCCAATACGCCGTCATCAATACGTTTTCTTCGATCAACTTTCATCACAAAACTAACGCTCGGATCAATCAAACACAATTTGCAATCAAAAGCCAACGAATTTTGTCTCAATGTCTTGCGGAACATGTTACACAATTCCTCCAACATTGACTCAAATTCTCGATCCATTTTTTGGAACCAAGCTGTGTCATACAAGATAAATGTAGACTCCTTCAACCAGGAGATAGTGAAGCTTCCACCTTCAGTTTCCTCGTTGCCAACTTGATGGTACTTAACTAATGCATTTTGTAAATCTTCTTTTGTCACACCGAAAAATGTATCTTGAATGATTATGGCATTGAACAATGCATCATCAATTTCCTGCTGCGTCATGGATTCCACTTGCAACTGTTGTTTTTGCTTCATTTGAACCAAGTCTGAGCAAGTTTGAAGCGTTGATGCGGGAACAAATGTTAATCTCGTGATAACAATAAATACTGACCGTTTCGGCTCTTGATCTTGTGACTCGGTGTAGAGTTTATACGATTGTGCAAGTTCGTGAATAAATTGACGTTGTGGTGAGGTCATTGGTGGGAAGTGGTACGACTTCTTGGGATTTTCGACTCCATTGTTGATTTGGTAGTTGTAATCTTCAAGAAACGTTCGAATAATGTTTTCAATTCTGGTACACCATTTTGTTTGCTTGGCATATGTGTTGAGCACATAGTCGCTGTAAATCACTTTTTCATCTTCAGGTACGTCAACTGCGAAAGCTTCACGCAATTTAGCATCTCTTTTCACAGCCGCACAAGACTCATCACAATTTAGTACGGTGCCAATCGCAGTTGGATTGTTTAGTGATGCACCACACACGACAGTTTTCTTTAAATGTCCACATTCACATTCGATATTGACTGGCTCATTGCATTTAACAGCATCGCAATTACCGCTTTTGCCAACTTTGTCGAAATGACACTTTAATTTACACAGGTGCGGACAGTTCTTTCTCAATTTTTGGCACTTCACCATACACTGATTGGCATGTACATGATCCCCTTCCCTTGTGCACTTGGAAGAACAAGTACGCAAACATGGATGACCACATTCTTTCGGCGCCATACACATCTTACCACAACTGACGCGCTCCTGTGAGCACATAATACCAGGAAGATCCAGTCTTGCGCCACAATCACATGTCTTTTTCACCAATACCGTACATTTCGGGCACGCCACGTCATCATTATGACACTCGTGTGGTTCAGGACGGTGCCCACACGTAGTTGGTCGAGTACACTGTTCATGGCAAACTAATTCAGTACCACATCTGACTGGGGCAGGTATAACTGTCCTGCCGCAATGGCAAACCAAATCTTCATTTGTTGATTCCAAACAAACCTCGCAGGGCCCACTATGGCACATTGCTTGGCAATGGTGTTGCCCACATGATTTCAACCGATTGCATGTCTGAGTACAAATGTGTACCGCTTCAATCGACATGATGTCATCACGCAAAGTACGGCGCAAATTGTTTCTCACTGCTTTCCTCTTGGCTCTCTCTCTCTCCAATGCAGTTTGCTCATAGGCGCAACACTCGGCACGATGGTAATGTTTCCGACAACTCAACAAAACTGAACATTTGTGATGGCATTTAATTTTAACACCCAGTCGTACAAATTTGCAAGGAGCACTAAGCTGCTCATGACCACACTCGCATGACACGTCAAATATAGATGTACATTCACATGGTCCCGAATGGCATTTGAATTCACAATGACATCCGCATGGTAACAACTTTCCACAGGTGTTTTCGCATTCCTCCACGGGATCGGTACATTTCGTCCTATTTGATGAGTCCACTCTTGTGGCACCACAATAGCAAGTTGAAATAACGTCTGGTGAGTATATGCATTTTTTATGGTCCATTTTTGGTGGTGGTTGACATGCAAAAGTCTCATAATGTTCTCCGCAATCGTAGTAGTACTTCTTGACTTTCCCACAAGAGCCACCTCCAATCCACTTTTTACCCTGATAATCTCGACATTCAAGGGGCTTGCGCTTTGAACATTTTGTCTTCAATTTCGTGTCACCACAATAACACTTGTACTCAATCTTTTTTTGACATTTACCACATGATCCTCCATGGCAACCTTTGGCACACTTGTGGTTGAGATCGCAAACCTTTTTGCCGCACGGGTGATCACATTTCCATCCCTTCCTGTATGGAGTGATTATGCAAGGTAACTGCTTCTTCTCCTTGCCACATTGACACTTCATAACCGGACCTAGGGCTCCACACACTGGATGCTTTCCTGGATGGCATGTATTCAAACACCTGTGAATACATCCAGGGTATTTGTAATTGCACAAGTTGCCGCACGAAAACGGCATTAGTGGATTTTGGCCCGGGTTCTGAAGTTTGCCACACCAACATGTGAACTTCTTCGGTAGCACCTTGGTTTCAAAATTACAGGCTGGACATCGCCAAGTTTTGTTGGTCTTGTTTGTTGAGGATCCTCTGATGGCCCAGTCTTTGATGCAATCTAAATCATAGACTCTAAAACATTCTTGACAACTCCAAATTGTAGAGTCTTTGTCGATCTCCCCCGTGCATACAAGACAAATATATTGACCGCGTTGTATCTCTGACATTATTGTAGACTCTAACGTTTCATCGGGGGGTGAGCTTTCTCTGCCATCATTTGAGTGCTGCTTGGGTTCCGGTTGCGAATGGGTTTCGTCATGAGCTTCCTGATATGGCTGTATCTCTATTTGTACCCCATTGTGGAGTGTGATCCTTTGCGGTGCCGCCCCACTTTCTGGACCTTGCAAAGAATCGGGTTTCTCTTGTGTCATTTACTTTTTGCCTCCAATGGAAGAATAACCTTTTTGTTCGAGTCAAAAGCGGAATTTCGATTCTTTTTAAATCTCAGTTACTGAAAATTTCTTTTTTTTTTTTTTTTTTTTTTTTTTTTTTTTTTTTTTTTTTTTTT